TTCACTCGAATAACTACGTATCCGATGAAATTTCCCTGCGCATCAACTGAAAAGTACATCTTTCCTCCTCAAAAAAGCCCTGTAAGTTTAGGAGTCTAAAAAATGAGCTCAAAAAAACCATATTTTTTTATTTCCAAGGCGACCTGCGTCACAACTTCCTTCCCTAAGCGTCATAGAACCGAAAAAAGTTTCTGGGAAGTTCAAAAATAGCCGGGTGGAGGAAAATGCATTAAGAAGACGGACCAATAAGAGGATAGAAGAAGGAGGAGAAACACGGAACGGCCTTCCGGTCCGACGAGCTTTGCTCCAGAAGGCCGCGAATAACTTCTCGTCGAAGAACTTTGACCCGTTTCCGGATAAAAGTGCATTTTAGTCGGCGTAAGCTTAGAAAGAAACTTGGTTCAATCAAAAGTCGACAAAGAGTTAATAGATTTGTACGGAAAGGACAACATCCATCTTTACGGTTCAACTAGAAATATTGAGCTCAAATCTTATACTAAAAAATAACTGCTGAGATAAGCGCGATGTCGCTAGCGGTACATCGACGACATCGCGAAAGTCCTTGTAACCGCGCCGATCTTGCATTTTCCTTGACGCGATATCGCGTTTTTCTCAGCGCGATATCGCGCTTCAAAATTCTCAAATTTTTTTTTTGCGTGCGTGAGGAGTTCGGCGCGGTGCATTCGCGATGTCGTTCATGTACCGCCACCGCTTTCCTCCGAATTTTCGCGCCGGGGACGTAAATTCAGTGTTTCATAATGATTCCGAATATGTACACAATATGTGCCGAAAAGGTATGCGAAACAAAAATTTTTAAAAAAATCTCGCCTCTTAAGTTCTTTCAAAACTAGTAGCCGGTTTTTGTGATTACGTAAAAACCATCCATACATTCCAAAAAATTACTGCATGGTGTTTTTTCCAATTTTTTGAGGCTACAACTTTTTTCACATACCCCCCACGATTATAAGGCGGAATTTTTTAGCTGAACCTCGTAAGTTATTTCTTGAATAATGCTCTTCAGGAATATTATTACTTTAAAAAGGAGATTCGGAATAATTGGACATAGAAAAACACGTGGAAAATTTTTCTACACAGAAAAATTGGCTGATCAGCAGTACCATATGAAATTATGCTTCTGGGACTTGTTTTACAGGTATTTTTTTTCCTCAACCTATAAAAATTCGTAGACTACCCCCTTAGGTTCCAAGGAATCCCAGTCAGGTCTATAAATAACCAAATTTCCCTCAAATACGATATTCTGAACTCCTCGGAATCGTTGATCCTAGACACTTAACTTAATTATGAAAGAACTTTGGCGGGTGAAATGGCGAGGAACGGCCTTTCGGTTCAGTGAATATTACTCAGAAGCTCCCGAAATAGCTTTTCGTCGAAGAACTTTGACCTCTTGAGAACTAGAATATATTCGAAAATGAGCCATAGAACCTGATGAGGCCATAAATTTTGAGCCGCGAATAAAATAGCATCGAAAGAAATTCTAACTTAAAGTTTCCAGCTGAACAACTCGAAAAAAAGTTCTTTTGTTTGCCGGAATTCGGAAACGTGATGAATAAATCCGCCTACAGACGTCAACTTTCTTCCCTCGGAAGGACAAAGAAGGAGGAAAAAGAACAAGAGTGTCTTTGGGACAACAAGAAAAAGAAACTGGACAGACAATGGTCTTTAGAAATGGAAGCTTTGGCTCCTCCCCAGTTGGTGGTAACTTTTATTTTTATTTTGGAACATTTCTGGAACCAGGATACTCTTTAATGTACCAATTGAACATCCTGGAGATCTCAGCTCTCAAATATTCCTAACTTTCCAGAAATAAGAACTGAAAAACTTTAAGAGGCTTGTTTTACTAGCTTGAAATGAACTTTTTGGAACTTTAATGGCATTTCTAGAAAAGCTAGAGAATTTAAACTTTCAGGATTGAAATATAGTACATCAAAGAGCATTCTGAACAATTTTGGAGATTTTCCCACAAGTAAAATAAAATCACCTCCTGTTTCTTAAAATATAAGACATTTTTAAATTAAGATCGAGCGGGTTATTTTTTTCACTTAAGGGCTCACTATTTTTTTGGAATCTAGGATCAAATTTTTCGAAAAAGCCTTGCTGAATATTTTTTTATCAACTATTTAAAGGACCCCTGTTCGAGCACCTCAAACTTAAAAACGCCAGAGTGGTTACTATAGAGGCAACCTTAAGGGCCCTTGAAGGATCTCCTCTTAAGACCACTTCACCTCCCCTATAGGGGCCACTAAAGCTTGCAAAAGTGGCCCCTATAGGGAACATGTGAGTCGTTTATGGTTATACAGCATTTTTCATGCGAAAAAAACTCGATAAATTAGTAATTTTTTTGAATGAAAAAAATCAACAGAGGATTAATAGATAAACTTTTATTTACTACGTCTTTCAAATTTTTAAAAATACCATAAAAATTTCAATATTTCTATAAGGACTATTCAAGCTTTTGAGGCTTACAGGTCATATCCTGAACCCCTATAGGGAGCACTTAAATTTTAGCCGCACAAATTATCGGTCTTTATAAGACACAACGTTTTAATGAAACACCGTAAACGCCAGATTTTTCAAAAATATTCAAGGTTTCTTTCCACTTCAAGTGCAACCCCGATGAAAAATCAAAAACGCAAGCCAAAAAACCAAGCCGAGATCACAGAACATTAAGTTGTTTAATTAAGAGTCCCAGTTCTTTGGGCCAGTAAGAGAAGGAGAAGGAAAAAAAAAGCGGAATTGGCCGAAATGTTTACATTTCAACCACTCAGTCCGCTTCGAGGCCATTTTTTTTTAAAGCCGTTCGACAATTTTTGAACGATCAGACTAAACTGAAAACGTCACAGTGCGTGGGTGTTTTGAAAGGTTCGAAGAGCGAAATTGAGATGGAATTTTCTGTGAAAAACGGCTTATTTTTCGAAAATAGGTTTGAATTTCGGTTCTGCGGTAGTTTGACCGATTCGCAACCAAAATTAAGATTTTTTTAAAAAGTACAACTTCTTCGAAATCAAAATTTTGAAATCGCGTTTTGATCCTGTTCATTATCCTTGAAGAACATTATCCCGAAATTTTTAAACATCATCCAGAAATCTCTGGAAGAGTTAGGAAAAAAAGATAAATAAATGAATAGTAACAAAATGCGTACATTTATTGATTCATAAAATCAGAAAATTGAACAGAAGTTTCGTCACCCCATCCAAAATCAATCGTAGCGTCGAAATCCCTGGAATAGTTCCGTTTTTCTCTTCAAAAAAAGATTCAAAAATCAAAATTGAAAATTCAATGAAAATGTGGTGTTAGGTAGTCTTTAGAAGACCCTGATATAAACATCTGAACAAAAATTTCTACCGTATCTCGCATTTCTTGAAAATTCTTTAATAACATATCGACACATTTTTCATAAATATTTCAAACCGTGGTTTTTCTTAAAATTTCCTGGCTTTCCAATATCAAAGATCCTAGAAAAAAATATTAAATTCTGAAGTGGTCACTTGTGAGCGGAATAGCTATCAAGCAAAAAGGCTTTCAAATTCTGAAGCCAGTGTTTAAAAAACACGTTCACAATATATGTTCAACTAAATTAAGAAAAGAGTAATCAACATTTTTATACGATAGTTATAAATTCACCGTAAATTTCAGAAGAAGATGTGTTAGCAAGTACAAGAAACATAAAAAACTTGTAAAAAATGAAAACTAAAAGTCCACTAGCCAAGCAAAGCCGGAAATTCGACTCAAATCATCGAATTAAAATTCGAATTTTACCAGGAAAAGGCTACTTTTTTCTAACTTCCTATGATGACTCCGAATCTTTGCTAAACTTGTTTTTTTGATTGCCCTGAAAGTCCGATTTTCCTTGAAAGAATTTGACTATTTTAGATGAATTATTTCACAAGTTTTTTTAGAGAAGATGATCGAAAAGTTCAAATTGAAATCGCATTTTTCAGTTCAAATTCGAATGTTTGATTTTTTTCTAAGAGAAGCTTCGGTTGAGCAAAATTAGGGAATACTATGAAAATTAAACTTTACTTACAATGTTGTAACAAAAAATCTTTTCAAAATAAACCAACCTTTGAAGCTCCAATCCACTAGAATCCGAAAAAGTAGCGACCAAAAGAAAGACATCAAAAAAAAGTTGTCGAAAAGTAGGTGGATTCACGGTCCGTCGAGCAAATCTTTCAGCCTTTTCCCACTTCTGTTTCTCGGGGAAAAACTCTACAACAATACATTTTTCCCAATAAACGGGGCTTTCATAAGCTGAATCTTCAAGAATAAACAATATTCCTAACCGTAAACCACAGTGGAATTAAAAAATTTGCAGTTAAAATGTTTTTGATTGAAGAAAAACAGATAATTTTGAAATTTCAAATTGATCGTCCTAAACTTCTAAGCGTGAAATTGGTAGTCTCAAAATCAAAATTCATCTATCAGATAATTATGAAAATTTTTCGAAAACTTTGTGAAAAAAAAAATCAAAAACAAAAAACTGTACTGAAACGCATCAAAGTTGCTCCAAAACAAAGCAAAAAACTGTCTCGAATGATCATTTTTCGCGTTTTGGGACATTTCCCGGTTAACATGTGCTTAAAATCTAAAATCAAGTCCATTATATTCACCTAAAATCAAAAGACGGCTCAAACTTGCAAGGTGAGATCAAAATATTAAAAATAAGGGATTTCCAAGCTTCTAACCAAAAAAAGATAATACCTTTATTTTTCCACCCCTTCCTTAATCCTTACCTTTGTCGCGCTAGGAACAAGGAAAAGGCCGGTTCTTTTAATGGAATATTTGACAAAGCGAAGGAAATGCCTTTATTCTGGTTCCCACCCAAGATATGATACACAAAATTAAGTGAAATTAGTCGGATTTAATCAGAGATAAGGAAATGATACCAGTCATGTAAGAATGTTAGGAAAGAGGTCAATGTGAAAGATGGGAAAAATTAACAAAATTAGGAAGAAAAAAAAACGGAGAATGAGGAATTATTTTCATCCGGAGCACATGAGGCAGCCCTCGTCTTCTTCAGGAGCTGCCGTTGGCGCCACAGCCGCCGCCGCGGCTTCCTGTTTCGCCTGGCAACCAAATTTTGTTTAAATTCGAAATTTGGGACATCGTTTCGTCTCAAATAGATCAAAATTTCAGCTAGCGAAAAATGTGGCTTTTTTTCAAAGAGTTGCGAAATTTTCTACTCCCAAGTTAAAATTTTAATAAAATTCGTCTAAAAACGTCTTATTTTTTACTTTTTAGTTTCACTTCTTCTTCTTCAAAATGAAGAAGATTGAGATTTTTGACGTCTTTGAGGCGTCATAACTTAATTAGGCAAAAAAAAACGCGCATTTTTTCCTTAAAATATTCTGAGAGTCTTCTCAAGTGTTTATCCGTCAAATCACCTCTTGCCGAGCCTTGAGAGCCTGCTTGTCAACCGTAAACTGAACGGCGTTCACTGCCGGCTTCGTCCGCAAGTAGTACATTCCGGTTTTGAGTCCCTGAATTGAACATTTTCATTTTTTCTAGGATTTAAAAAAAATAACGAATTTCTTTCAAAATTCCTTCAAAAAGTTACGAAAATCTTCTTCCAAGCTCTATTATCCTAATTTTTTGAGGACTTTTAAAATTTCCAGGAAATCTCCTACGGAATCTGAGAATTATCCTTAATGAATGGTTTCGTAAAACTTTTCTGGCTTCTCAATTCGAAAATTCCGGGTTTGACAGATCTTTTAGAAACTGAGACGTCATTAGCGACAACAGAGTTGTTCGCCTTTTGAAGTGTTCACTTGAATGAAGAAAAAATTTTGCTTTAGTGACCCCTTAAAAATGAGAAACAAGATCTTTCAGAAACTGAGGCGTCGCTTTTTCAAGTGACCATTTAAGTGAAGAAAAAAAAAATGCTTTAGTGACCCCTTAAAAATGAGAGACAAGAAATTTCAGAAACTGAGGCGTCGCTTGTTCGAGTTACCATTCAAGAGAGGAAAAAACAGCCCTTCAGTGGCCCCTTAAAAAAAAGAAACAAGATATTTTGGAATCTGAGGCGTTGCCTTTTCAAGTGATCATTTAAGTGAAGAAAAAACAATGCTTTAGTGATCACTCAAAAATGAGAGACATGATCTTTTAGAAACTGAGGCGTCGCCTTTTCAAGTGATCCTTTGAGTGAAAAAAAACTTTGCTTTAGTGGCCCCTCAAAAACAAGAGAAAAGGTCTTTCAGAAACTGAGGCGTCGCTTTTTCAAGTGACCATTTACAAAAAGAAAAAAAAAATGCTTTAGTGACCCCTTAAAAAGAAGAAACAAGATCTTTTAGTAACTGAGGCGTCGCCTTTTAAAGTAATCCTTCAAGCGAAGGAAAAACCATGCTTTAGTGACCACTTAAGAAAGCAAAACTACTATTTTCTTCCAATTTTCCGTTTTTTAGACCTGCTTCCACCCATAGAAATGCATCGAAGTGATGGAGGCGAAGCTCGGTTTGGCCATGTGGATGTTCAACGACTGGGACTGGTCGATGAAAGCTCCACTGAAACAGAAAAATGATATATTTCCCAATTCAAATCTAACCGATCAGCCGCCATCTCAATGATATCCTTCTGCGAGATCTCCCAAACGGTCAGGTACAACTTTTTGATGTCATCCGGGATTCCCTGCAAACGAAAAAAGGGTTCAAAAATGCACGATTCGCTTCAAAATGCAAACCACAATATTCTGAATGGAGCCATTGTTGGCGATGAGTTCGTTTTTCATGTCGTCGTCCCAGAGATTCAACTCGACGAGGTCTTTCAGAAGATGGGGGTTGACGATTTGGAAATCGCCTAAAATTTTGAAATTTCAAAATTCAAAAACACGATATTTGAAAGAAAAACTGCAAAATCTTCTCATTATACATAAAATTTGTAAAGTGTTCTCAGACCTCGCAATAATCGTATTTTCCCTTTAAGTGATCCCTAGAATGAAAAAAGGACCCATTCACGATTAAAATGATGGAGTACTTATTTTTCATGAGTAAATTGAGAAAACCAAGTGAAAAATTGTTTTTAAACTGGCAACCTAAAAAATTTCAAGCGAACAAAGAGTACCGAAAAAAAATTTCAAGTCATTCCAAGAAGCGGAAACCGCAACAAAATCAATATAAGAAGCAGAAAGGAAATAATCAACTACGAGGAATATTACATAAATTTTTTTTAAGCTTTGAAAGCCTTCTGGAAACAGTAAACTGTTCTATGAAAAGTTGAATAAAGCCAGGAAGTCCGAAATTATATTCAAACTCTGAGAACTATTCAAGAGAGGCTGCAATTTTCAAAATTAAGTCTTCCTAAAACCTAAAATCCAAATATTTACCGGATAAGACCCTTCGACTGTAGATATTCGAAGTGTAGGGCTCAATGGACTCGTTATTTCCCAGAATTTGGGCGGTTGAGGCCGTCGGCATCGGCGCCAACAGGAGACTGTTGCGGACACCGTGTCTGGAAATAAAAGTTCGTAAAAAATTCAGATTATATTTCCTAAGAGCTGAATGGAGACTAAAAACTGACAGATGATCTTGATTTTAAATAGATGAGAATGGGAAATTTCTGAAACTCCTCAAAATACTCAACTATTTTTATTAAAAATTATAAAATTCTAGCACCTAATAGTCTAAAAAATTGCGATTTTTTCACTGGAAAGTTCGCAGTTTTCCTGATTTTCGTGATTTACTAATATCCCTCAAAGATTTAAAAGTAACGTTAGAGAGTACATAATTCTTGAATTGTAAGAATTTTGAAGCCTTCATGTACTCATTTCTCGTGAAAAAATCTTTCTTCATCTAGAAAAACGAGATTTTTTCAAATTTGAAGAACAATTATTCGAAACTATTCAAATGTTATATCTTATTCAAGCACCTTTATTTTTTTGATTATGATTTCTGTAAGATGCGCACTTTTTCTAATGTTTCGAGCTATGAAGGCTCAAAAAAAAAATAACGTTAAAAAGTACCAAAATCTGAAAATTGTAAGAATTTTGAAGCCTTCACATACTCATTTATCGTGTTAAATCCGTCTTCAGCTAGAAAAACAACATTTTTTCAAACTTTAAGAGCAATTATCCACACTTTTGTAATAGTAATTCTTATTCAAGCACCTTTATCCCCCCCCCTTTTTTTTTCCACTAACTTGGCGATTCTCTCCCTAAGCGAGGTCCAATCGCACTGATCCGTCGGCTTAACGTCCCACATGTCGAACTGCAGAATTCCCTTCGAAACTGGACTGCCGGGGTACGTCTGGTAAGGTCCTGAAGCGCAAAATCTTCATTTCAGAGTTCATTTTGCGCCATTTTCAACCATATTTCTCGGCCAAGGTGCACGACTCGTCCAAGGCGGCGTGGTAGATGACCTCGAAAATTCGCTTGTTCAGGTCACGGGCTTGCGGCGAGGTGAATGGATACCGGAGGAGCATGAAAGCGTCGGCGAGGCCCTAGAAATCATATGGATTTCGGAAAAAAGCGCAAATTTTTCAATTTTCTTTGGGAAAAGTCGTCTTTTTTATTGTAAAGGATCGTCTTGCTCATATTTTCAACAAAAAATAGACTACTAACATTTTAAAAAAAAGTCTTTTTTTATCTAATTTTTTTCTGGTGACAACAGAGTAGAATAAATAAATGATCCAATAAAACTAATAAATTATTTTTTTCTCTAGAACCCCATGAACAACACAAGTTCTTTTTAAACTCTTTATTAAACCTATAAAAGATAGTTCGAAGAATATAAAAGTTCAGAAAACACAAAAAAAAATCTTCCAGGTCCCTAAAGGCTAGAGAGCGTTCAAAGATGCCAAACAAAAAAATTACATGAGAGTAATGATTTTTGGACAATTCCTTGTGTTTTTTTATCACCCAAAATCAAAATTTCCACCCCAATCCTCTACCTGAACACCCAATCCGATGGGTCGATGACGGAAATTCGAGTTTTTCGCCTCTTCGACCGGGTAAAAGTTGACGTCGATGATCTTGTTCAAGTTGCGGGTCAGGACTTTTGTCACTTCGGCCAACTTGGCAAAGTCGAATTTCTTGTCGGGGGTTACGAAACGGTTGAGGGCGATCGAGGCCAAGTTGCAGACGGCTACCTGAAAGTTTCGGTTTCAAAAATTTTTTTATTCCTTGGATTTTTTTAAAATAGAAGCTTTAGGAAGTTAGTTACATAAAAAAATACTTGTTTCAAGTTTCTTCTGCTGGAATTCAAAGTCAGAGGAAGAAAGCGGAGCTTGGGACTTTAAAAAAATCTTTTTTTATCGCGATTCTGAAGGTCAAGTTGGAATATATCGAAATTCATCAATTTAAGAGAAATATGGATTTTTTTGAATTTTTTTCTTTTTTTGAATTTTTAAGACAAGCTGGAAATAATCTAACCAACGTGAAAATGAGAAAAAAGACAATATATAAAATTTTTCTTTATTATTTGGTATACTTTTTCCTCTGATCAATAACCACTGTAATCTGTTCAGGTTTTGAATATCTACCCTCTCTCTCAAGCTCCGCCCCTAAACCAATCAGAGAGCGTTTTCGAATGACGTCATTGTACTTGACATTCAAAATATGAACATACTATAAACTTTTAATTTCCTCCTGTTGCTTCAAAAAATATCTATGGACTTTTGTTGTTTCTGTTATGAAGCGCTATCTTTTTCTGAGCCACAATCGAAAAAAGTGTTGAAATAAACAATTATCAAGTTGGAATAAATCAAAAACCATCAAATTGAGAGGAAGATTCATTCAAAAACAGTTCCCAAGTTTACGGGTATATTACATTATGAGCCCCCACATATGTTGATTATATACTTGGCTTGGTGGGGGAGGGATTTTTGGAACGCGAGGGGGGCTTTTTGGAACGCGGGGGAGGGGGGGATTTTTGAAACGCGGGGGGGCCTTTTTGGAACGCGGGGGGATTTTTAGAATTTCCCTCACGTTTCCTCTGTTGATTCAAAAAAAGTCCTCTAGGAATTTCCATTTTCCCTCATAGAAAATGCTATATTCTTTTTTTCTGACCCCTTATGGAAAAACTAATCAAAATGAACAGTTTCCAAGCACCTCATCAGGAGCCGAATATTCGATAATCTCCGTGCAGAGATTCGAACACTTGATGGTTCCCAAGTTCTGTTGATTCGACTTTCTGTTGGAGGCGTCCTTGTAGACAATGTACGGGAGGCCGGTCTCGATTTGATTCGAAACGATGTGTTCCCACAATTTGCGGGCTTTCACCTGCTTTCTGTACCGGCCTTCCTTCTCGTACCTAAACTTTATAAAATGTAATTGAGCCTTTTTTTAATGACATTTGACCGCTACAAGCTTATTAATCACAAAAATTATCTTGAAGATTTTGAGGATTTTTAAATTCAAATATTATTTTTGAATTTAACACTTTCAACTATGGCATTAAAAACTCGGCTAGCTTGTGACGCAAAAAGGGGCGTGGCCTGTCTTTCCTCTCCGCCACCCAGACACTGTCTCTTCTTTTATCGTGTCAGGACCCATATTTCAAAAACTCAAACGAAATCATAGATTTATTCTATATCGGTTTTAATACTTTGAAACTGCAACTTTCAACTATAGAATCGAAAATTTTTTATTTCGTATTACGGTTCACTTCTGACGCAAAAAAGGGCGTGGCCTGTCTGTGCTCTCCACAAACCAAACACTACCTCTTCTTTTATCGCGCCAGGACCTTTTTTCAAAAACTCAAGCCAAATCGTATATCTATCACGATTTTTGAACATCAAGGTCAGAATATTTGAATTTTTAAAAAAATTTTCAAATTTTCTCATCGAAAAAATAAACTGAACAAATTTTAAAAGCTTTTCTGCAACTCATCACAATGAAAAATGATAAAAAAAAGAGAGTATTTTAATAATAATTCGAAATTAAATTTCCAAGCTTACCCAGTGTACAATTTTTCGAATTTCTCGCCCCAGCAGTCATCAAGGCCTGGGCATTCTCCAGGACACATCAAAGTCCAATCTTCATCCCGTTCCACCCTTCTCATGAACAGGTCCGGGACCCACAAGGCCAAGAACAAGTCTCGGGCTCGTTCTTCTTCAGGACCAGTGTTCTTTCGGAGGCTGATGAACCTTTAAATGGGTATTTTGATGATGAAACTTGATAAATATTAGGTACTCAAAGATGTCCGCATGCCAGGGCTCCAGATAAATGGCAAAAGCGCCGGGTCTTTTGTTGCCGCCTTGATCGACGTATCTGGCCGTGTTGTTGTAGACGCGGAGCATTGGAACGAGGCCATTCGAGGTTCCGTTCGTCTGGAAAAGTTTCTCATCAATTGTCAAAAGAATAATTCACTAAAGTGATCCCAATTTTGTAGTCAATCTGGCAGTCGCAAAAACTAAAGTCAAAAATTGTCCCAAAATTTAGAGTAAAAAATTGGGAGTCCCAAAATGTTTAAGCATAAAATTGGCAGTCCCAAATTTTTATAGCCTAAAATTGGCAGTCCCAAATTTTTATAGCCTAAAATTGGCAGTCCCAAATTTTTATAGCCAAAAATTGGCAGTCCCAACCTTTTATTGCAAAAAATTGGCAGTCCCAAATTTTTATAGCTAAAATTTGGCAGTCCCAAACTTTTATAGCCAAAAATTGGCAGCCCCAATTTTTTCCACTTAATAAAAAATCAATATTATTTGCATCCGAGATAGTTTCATTTGTTTTGACTATTTCGATTATACAATCGTTTCAATTAGGTTAAAGATCCTTTCTGTCTTATTTTAAATAACAATATAGTCAATGTCGCGTTTTAAAAGAACAGAAAAAAAGCTACCGTAAATATTTGCCCTACAAAACTGCACAAAATACAGCAAAAAACAAAGGTCTTGAAGCGAAAATGCTCAATCTCAGTCTAATTTGGCGAAAATAAAAACGTGACATGGCGCGAAATGGGCTATATCTCAAAAATTGATCAAAAATAGTTCACAAGATAATACATTTTGAAGCGCTAAAGACTTGAGATCCTGATTTCCCGTTTTTTTGTAATATTTTCATTTTCAAAACTCGAAGTTTTACAGTTCTATTGTAAGCTAGAGGTAACTATTCATTGAAAATTTCATAACAAATCTGAAAAAAAAGATGGAGCGCTAAATACTTCAAACCAAAATTAAGAGGCAGACTTATAAATTTGAAAAAACTTCCCACAAAAGTTATAAACAAAATTCATTTTTATTTTCATTTTCTAATGTTTTATTTGAACACCGCACCCCAGCGATAACAGATCCAGTGGCGCGGATCTTGTGGACGTTCAGGCCGATCCCGCCGGCGTTCTTGGAAATCAACGCGCATTGCTTCAAGGTATCATAAATGCCAAGAATCGAGTCTTCAGTCATGGTGAGGAGGAAGCAGGACGACATTTGGGGTCTGGAAAATATAATTTTCTTTGGAATTTTTATTTTTATTTGAACCGGCAAGTTCCGGAATTGAAAAGAGTCGGAGAAGCGTGGGTCATGAAGCGTTCGGACATCATATTGTAGGTTTCGATGGCGGCGTCGACGTCGTCGCCGTGGATTCCGACAGAAACACGCATCAGCATTTGCTGGGGTCGTTCGACGACCTGCAGAAGTTCTTTTGTATAAGGGTTATTGATAACGTAACACTGAAGATTCAAAAATAACACTTATAAGAATGTGGTGAAACTTGTCTTTTTGAGCCTCGGCTACGAATAGCAATAATTTCACGTTTTTTTTTTGGTCAAGTAACGCGAAATTCGTTGAAAAAAACGTGATATCTATAAGCTTAACTCCGAAATTTCAAAAAACCCGTTTAAATAAGGGAGCTTTCAAGTAGCAACCTATTTTTCAGTTCTTGTTTTTCTTTTTTTCCCAGGAAGTGCGTTTTTAACCAAAAAAAAAAAATTAGACTTTTCGATACCTAAAATTCAAACTAAAAATTTTTATAACAAAAAAGTTTATTTCGACTGTAATACTAGATTTCATTTTACCTGTTTGTCAATCTTCAACAAGTAAGATCGCTCAAGGGTTTTGAACCCGAAATAACTGTAGGAATAATCGCGATCGTAGACGATTGCGGAGTTGAGACGCTGAAAAAATGCTTATTATCGAAAATTTTTAGCGAGAAGAGTCACTTTCTTGAACAAGAAAACTTTGGGGAGACTGTGAAAATCGCAAAAAACAGAAGATTGGCTTCATTTTCGTTACTAGCCAATTTTTTCAAGAAATGTGATTTTTCCTGTTCAAATTTTACACATAAATACATGATACTGACATCAGCATTCTTCATAATGACATCATATGTCGTTTTGCTGATCATTGGAGCATGGAGTCCGGTGTGAGGGTGGTGGAACTCGTAGAGATTCGTCATGACTTCCGAGAAGACCTAAAAAGTTCATTTTATTAGGGAAATTTACGTATTCTTTTCCAATTCGATGATTTAGCGCTATCTATTCATTTTAGTTGAAATCAAAATTATTGATATAGAATAGAAAGAAATTAGAGTCACTCTGCGTTATCGAAAAATGACGTTTGATTTATTTTTCAGTTCAAATGGAGGCTATGAAAAGCTCAAAAACATTCATATGTACCTTAACGTACCAAAAAAGGTTCTTACCGAAAATTTGCATATTTTAATATAATATTATGAACATATTTTCACTGTTTTTCCCAAGTCTTTGAGAGATCTATAAAATAATTGGAAGGCTCAAAAAGGTTCAACGGGTTTTTCCGCGAAAGTTTTTGGTGCCTACGACTCTTTTCAAGCCACGAAAAGCACTCCTAATGTATTCAAATAAATGGTTATGAAGTACTTTGTCAGTCTTTTTGTGCAAATTCGAGACAGCGATTCTGGCCGCAAGAATCGCATAGTCGGGATGTTGAGTGGTCATCGACGCGGCCGTTTCTGCGGCCAAATTATCGAGTTCTACAGTGGTAACTCCCTTGTACAAGCCACTGATAACCTTGATCGCCACCGCCACCTGCAAATCATCAATTTTTCAATTATTTCTTCTTTTATTAATGATTACCGGATCGACGTGATCCATGTTGAGGCCATAGCTGAGTTTCACGATCCTGGATGTGATTTTGTCAAAGTGGACCGTTTCTTGTCGTCCATCTGGATATTTAAAGTTAATAGATTTTCTATAAAATTCGAAAGTCCTAGCAAGGGTTTTTCGAAAATCATGGACGAATTTGGTGGGAGTCAATAGACAAAAAAGACGTTTAAAACAATTCAGAAAAGAGTTCAAACCAAATTATACCTCGCTTGACGACAAAAGTGCTGGAATGTCTTTGCATCTTCATGTTTAGCTGCACGGACTGAAATTTTCTTTTTGTTTTCAGGTTTTCTAGCGATCGCGAAACAAAAACAAAATGATACCAGGACTCTTTTTACGGAATTAAAGAAAATCCCTATTTTTCTTGCTATATAGCTTCTTTCCACAGCTTTTTCAAGGCATCTTTTCAATAATCTTTGAAAAAATTAAGAAAAACTATACAATTTTATTTTGGTAAAACCATGACCTAGGTAAAACCGAGAAGATTTGGAGTTTTTATCAAAACTTGAAAGCCCTACGGCATTTGAGGGTCTGACAAAGAGAAACAAGGACAAAAAACGATTCGGCGATCTAAATCAGCGTTAAACTTGAGGAAGGCCTATCAGAGTGCGGGAAATTTCAAACGAGTGACCGTTGGCGCCTTTTGAAGGTCGACTGGGGAATGGGCGCGAAATCGAAAATTTGCAGTGGGGCACAGCCTGTCAGTAGGCGGAGCTTCTGTGACGTAGGTACCCGAATGTCATTGTCATTTGTCTACGTCACAGCGTCCTGAGGACCGTCTGATGACCTGGTACCAGGCTCAATGGAGAGAGCTGTAATTTGAATATACGCTGATATTTGGGCGGGGCCTGCCGTGACGTCAGAAAAACAGGTCAGAATTTCTTGACCATGAAAAGACCGTGAGATTTGAAATTTGTCGGAAAGCGATGTTAGATTCAATTCCTTAAAAACCTGCTTCATAAAAAGAACATTCTCTAGAAATGAATCTTTTGGATATATATTAGAATGTAATTCTCGAACTTTCTCATTACAAAAACTTTCGAAGAAACTCTGGGATACATCATTCATAGCTACGTTCGATCAAATTTGCAAAACTATAAAAATTTATAAGAGTTGAAAAAAAAAACAACAAAGTTCGAAAATTTTTTTAATTTTTTAGATTACTGTATTTATTTCTAGTGTGAGCAAGTGCACGCATTAAATCTCACGCGCTTTTTCAAATTTTTTCTTTTTCACGCAGTTTTTTTCAAAATAGTGTAACGGCGGCGAAGGGCCGGTCATTATTGCGCTTTCTGCTCAGCGTCCGGCAATTTTTTGAGGTTTTCTTCTTTTTTTTTGCACCGGTTTGTCAATGTGACCGGTCGTAAAACGGTGGTTTTCGTTAAAAATAGAAATTCATGTACTTTGAGACTTAACTACTCTAGTTAACTTAGAATTTATAACAGAATGTAATAAAAAGAAAAAAAAATCGTAAAAAGTTTCTGGCGCTGTAACAGACGGCGCAATATCAACCGCCCGCCTTTGCACTCTCTAAAAATGCATTTATCTTTTCATCTAAAATACTTGTATTTCAGGCAAGGCTGTTGTAAAAATAATGAGTGTTCATCGACGCGTTATACTTGAATCGGAAGATGAGGAAGAGGGATCCGCAGAAAGTCAGGAGATCGCTACTCAGGAAATCGCCACTCAGGAATCAGAAGAGCCGGAGTATGAAGTTAGTGAATTTATTTTTAAATCTTTCATATCAATTTTTAAGGTAGAAGAAATAATCAAGCACCGACATAATAGAAAAGGCGTTCTTGAATATTTTGTCAAGTGGAGAGGCTTCGAACACGATGACGATTCGTGGGTTCCCGTGGAAAATATGGTTATTTTGTATCACTTTAAAAAAAACTACTATAGTGAATTTTGAGGCAGACGGTCCTCTTATTCGGGACTACAATGAAAAACACGACGTTGGAAAAAAGAAAAGGAGTAGAAGTCGATCGGCTTACGTGAATAAAAGCCGGGGAACAAGGGCTGTCAGTAGAGATCTTACTAGATCACCTTCTCCGTTGTCTACTAGAGATCTTTCGCCTGAAGAGGTACAAAATTAATAAAAATTTGTGAATGAAATATTTTTCAGACGCTACCGCAGGCGAAAAATCGCCGAAGAGCTCTGGATCCGAAAGCTTCTTATTTTGAGGTTAGAAAATTTCGAAGCTTACGTCTGTTAGAAATAATATTTTTTTGAATTTTTTTGGCGGATAAAAAGATAAAAATTTTTCTATTCGGCTTCAACTTTTTTAGTGCTTTTTGAGACATTTTTTTGAATATTTGGTTTTTTTGAGTTTATTTTTTTGAGTTTTTTCTTCATCATATTCATAAAGTATCAAAGAAAAAAATTTTTTTATTTTTTTCTAAAAAAATTTGGGACTGCCATTTTTTTCGTAATAAAAGTTTGGGACTGCCAAATTTTTGCAAAAACAATTTGGGACTGCCAAATTTTTGCAATAACAATTTGGGACTGCCAATTTTTTGCTATAAAATCTTGGGACTGCCATTTTCAAACTTCACGAATATTCATTATTCCCATCTTTATGATCACTTGCTGCCCAGTTAATCCCGAAAAAAAGTTTTCCAGTGTTAAATTATTATTTTTTTATTCAGAAAAGCCGAGCTCCACTGATTCGTTTGGCTACTGGGAGGCCTCTAACGCCTCAAAATTCTTCCAAGGTTTTTTCAAATTAGAAAAAAGTGTCAAACAAATTTTTTCAAGGAATGTACCCCAGAACCGGAGGCTTCAGAATCAAATGTGACCACCAGGAATAAAAAGGAGAAGCGTTACAGAATTACCCAAAAGGGCGGACGCTATCATTAGATCAAGGACTTCGTCTATCATGGTTTTTGATTTAAAAAAATCTTTTTTTCTTAATGACAAATTCGCGTAAGTTGTCAATATTCATCTAATTTCATGAAAAAAATTCGAGCGAAATCATATTAAAAAAATTTAAAAAAAGTGAACAAAAAAATTTTTTTCCGATGCCTTGCAGTTTTGTAGAAAAAAACGACACATAATTTTAATATTTTATATATTTTCGTTGAAAACTTCAAACGATTTTTTCTTTAAAAAGCCTTTGAAATGATCTCGAACTATTCCAGACCAGATCGAAAAACTCCAGAAGCGCCATCAAGAGCGAAGAACTTGAGAAGCATCACAACTTATTGCACAGATGAAGTTTGATTTTTTTGATAAATTTGAGAAAAAAAAAAGATTTTTGTGACTTTTTCTATTATTTTTATTATTCTTTAATCGATAATTTTGCTGATATTTCACTGATGAGTTTTGATTTTTTGGGGTTTTCTACATTAAGTTACGGTTTTTTTTTGTAATTTTCAAGCATAGAAGTCTTGTAAAAAATTCGAAAAGGTGCTACAAAGCGTTTTTTTCTCAGCAAGAAACTTCGATCAGGAAATTTTGAAAATCGAAAAAATTTATGCTTTTTTTCAAATTTTCGGAAGATTTTAGCTCAAAAACTAGTTGAAAACTTTTTTTGAGCTTTAAAAAAATATCATCGCTGTTTTTTTCTCTTACTCCAACTTTTTTTGAAATTTTTTTCGTACACGCTAAAAGTCGAAAAGAAGGCTCTATTCTATCAAATAAAACGAAAAATCTTTTAAAAAAATAATATCAGAAAAAAACCGATTTATTTGATAGTGAATAACTAGAAACGTGTTCGAAAAAGAGCCATGGATTTATTTTTTTAAATTGTTTTCAGGCCAGATCAAAAACCCCAGAACCGCCACCAAGTACCAGAAAACGCAGAAGCGTCACAACGATTCCAACAGAAAAAGTTGCTTTTTCCCTTTATTACAATTAAAAAAATTATTTCCAGAAGAAAAATCCCGAAAATTCAATGAGAAGTAGAACGACCTCGACACTGAGATCAGCCTCAGTTTCTTCGCAGGCGGAAAATTCGCGAAATGTTCGGAATTTGACTTGAAAAAATCAAATTAAGCTAGTTTTTCAGCTTGATGCGATAATGCAGGCTTCTACTGAGCCTCCACTGGTTATCGATGGTGAAAATTCTCTTTTTTCTAAAAAAGTTTCTGTTTTAGAAGAACCACAAACTTCGATTTATGACCAAGAAGTTGATGACTTGGCGGAAATCAGAGATATTCCGGACACTCGTTGGTTTTCCAGTTTTTTTCTGATTCCAAAATGGATTTTATCACTTTTAAGAGCTTCTTGTTGGTTTTTTGAAGATGTAGGATATCTATGATGCGATTTTTAACTATTCAAAATGGCCTAAAAAAATCAAGAAAATGATTCTAGAGAAAAAAACGAAATTCCGAAGAAGTTCTACCTGGTTCATTAGCCGAAAAAAATCAGAGATAAAATTCAAAAAAATTTATAAATCTTTAAGATAAAAGAAAATTTTTAGGACCTACTGGGACTATAATCGAGGGCATTGAAGTTTATGAATCAAATGGAAGAATGGGTGGGTTTTGGTTATTTAGATTTTTTGTAAGTTTATTTGGGAAAATAATTGATATCATTCGTTATTTATGTTCAAAAAGTATATATGTTCAATATTAAATTTATTTTTAAAGAAAGCAACTTTTTAGAAAATGTTATATTTATTCTTAGTTTTCAAATCTATGAAGTTTCATACTGAACGAAAAACACGTTCTTCACAATTTTTTTCCGAATTTTCAGTTGTCCGGACAACGAAACCCGGTAGAAAAAGAAAGACCGTTCAAGACGGTAGAACATTTCCAACGACTTATTGAGGAAGCTCAGAGAAAAAAGGCCCAAGAAGAGACCCCGACGGTTTCGGGACTTCCCGAAGTTGTTCATGATAAGGTGAATGATCAGATCCTAACATTCTCTACTTTGAAAGGAAAATTCAAAAATCAGACTTTCAAAAATATATGTATATTGGAAATATTGAGGCGCAGATTTTTTTAAAAGGATTCCAATGAAGTTTTTTTGCACTCGGGAAATTTTTACGGCTTTTCTTTTCATATCGTTCTTTTAAATCTCGATTTTTCTCTGAATAGTGGATCTAGTAATAGTAAAGATAATGAATTCAAAAAAAGGAAACCCTTCCGCCGCTGAAAATTATAGGCCCGTCTCTTTAACCTGTGTGCCATGCCGAATTTTCGAAGCAATTGTAGTGAGAGCTTTAAGAAATCATCTTTGGCGTAGCAAAATTTTTTCTAAAACTCAGTTCGGATTTTTGAACAATCGGAGTGCAATAACTCAGTTACTGGAGAAACAAAGATATATTTTTGAAGAAGTTTACAATAAAAACAATGTTGACTGTATTTACTTGGATATATCAAAGGCTTTTGACACAGTCAGTCACCGTAGACTTTTAACCATACTTGAAGCCTACGGATGTAAAGGAAAACTTGGTAACTGGATTAGAGCTTATTTGACTAACAGGACTCAAAAAGTAAAAGTAAATGATAAATTTTCGGGAGATATTGAAGTCATTTCTGGGGTTCCACAGGGAAGCTGTTTAGGTCCTCTAATGTTTCTTGTTTACATTAACGATTTGGATAAAGCACTTAAATATAGTAAACTGTTGATTTACGCGGATGATTGCAAAGTAATGATTAGCAGTTCTGTTCCAGGATATCAAAACAAGCTACAAGAGGATCTTCATTCTATTGAGAATTTTCTTGCAGATAGACAACTCATACTTTCAGCAAATAAAAGTCTCCATGTTAGTTATGGGATACGAGTTCGAAGTGTTGCGAGTTACGAGCTTAATGGTACAACAGTGAATAACGAGGATTGTGTGAAAGATCTCGGAGTTATTTTTTCATCTAACCTCAAAATGCATAATAATATTGAAGTAATCGTAAAAAAAACTATGCGTATTATAAACAACCTTTTCCGCTGTTTTAGCTTCTCGAAACAAAACTTCTTGACATGCTATACGGCCAAGGTACTTCCCATTCTAGAGTATGGTTCGGAACTAATGTGTCCATTGACAAAGTCAGATATTGATCGATTAGAATCGGTCCAGAGGCGTTTCACTAAGCGCCTTTTCCCAAGAATGGAATATAATGAACGGTTAAAACTTTTTAGGTCTTCAACCTCTTTGGTTTAGGCGTTTAGTTAAGGATCTGGTATTATCACATCAGTTTTTGCATAATAAGTGCTGGTCAGACTCTCCCATCCAGGTACATAACATCTTTGACCGTCCCAGTCAGCTCAGAGGAAATGGTTTTAAATTAATAAAAAAACGAAACCTTCACTGGTTTTTCTTCAATTTCTTATCACATCGCATTACTAATGTTTGGAATGACATTGAACATGAATTATTGGCAGAGGAAGACAAGAAAAAATTTAAGGACATGTTTTTAGTGTATGCAGAAAATGTGGGCGTCGAGCATATTCTTTCAAGTGTTCACAGATTTGTGCCATGATCAACTTGGTTTTTAAATATCTACTTATTATGGTTCTATGTTTCTTTTCTTACACAAAAAAACTTTTTCTTCACAGGTGGGGTTAGTTAATCCACCTAGTGGTCTTTTTCCCTCCCTGCAACATCACCATACCATCCCGACGTTGCATAAACAAATTGAATTGAATTGAATTGAATAAATCTAAATTTCCCTTCTTTTATGTCTGATTCCCATTTCGATTGAGTTTTCTTACTTTCATAATTTTCCAGTTTTTTTCAGGCCAAAAATTCGGAATTTAATGATTTTTTTATAATTTAAAAAAAGTTCAAGAAACATTTTTTTCGCTGCTTGGCTTTTTAAAAATTTTTCTAATTCTGTACGTTTTTCCTTCGTTTTTTTCAACTAAAAAGATGTGCGGTTTCAGAAAATAACCCATAAAAAAATATTGTGTCATTTCCAAAAATTGGATCCAAAAATGAATTTAAAAAAATTATAATGAATAAAATCGGTGAAATTCCAGGACGAAAAGAGTAGACCCACCTGAGAAAATGACCGAATTTCCGCCTGGTTTCTCGTGAGTTTCAGTTATACTGTTGTTTCGATGAATTTTTTTTATTTTCAGATATAAGTGGGTTGATGACCCTAGTACATCCTCTGAGACGACAGAAGAACCGGAAGAACCGCCCAAACATGGCTGGGATCTCGGATTTAAGGTTCAGTTTTGAGTTGAATTTGTTAAAAGAATGGATTGCTCATTGGAATTAAGATAACGAAAAGTCGTCGGAAAGAAGTTTTTTTCCAATTTTTTTCTTTTTGAAATTGCTTCGAATGAAAAAAAAGTAAAAATAGGCTTGAAAAGAAATGGAAAAAGTGGTTTTTCAAGTTGATTTTTCGAACCGAGTTTCTAACGGAATATTGCAGATTATATTCGTTTTGTTGATTATGGAACAAATTTTGATGATACCTATTTTTCTTTAAAATAGAAAGTGTTTACAAAATAGCTATTTTAAAAAGCCTAAAAAAAGGTCCAAAAAAATACGAAAAGAAAAAAAATTTCTATAAAAAAATCACAGAGCAAGCGTCAATGTTTTTTTGAAAATTAAGATTTCTTGTTCCCAGAAGTTGAGTAAAATTGGACGAGGTATCGCTTTCTTAGAAATAAAGCTTCCAAAGAGCTTCTTCAGCGTTTTTTTTTTGTTTAAAAGATCCTTCTAGGAGATTACAAAACGTTCTAAGAGTAATAAGGAAAAATCTTTATATCAGGGTCTTTCTGATGAATTAGAAAAATAGAAACTTTTCCAAGAAAATCCCTTGCCGATTATTATTGGATCGAATTTCTTCAGGCTTCTCAAATCCTCGATTGGATGGAAATGCGTGGCGAAAAGCTGGTCCTCGTGAAATTCGAAGGGGCCGAGCATAAGCAGTGGATTTCGACGAAAATCGTCCGAATCCACGATTTGAAACTTCTCACATCGTTCATTCTACAACGTGGCATTCGTGACTTACTCAAAATCGGTGTTTGACTAACCTAGAGTTCTATTTGTCCTTTTTCTGTAGCCTCTCGAATTATGTTCTTTATTAACCTTTTCCTCCTCATTTCTTGTCGATTCGGGTTGTTTTTTTTGTCCGACTTGAAACTAGGCTCTTCGAATTTTGAAGCTTTCATACTTGATCTATGCAATCCGACACGAATTGGATAATTCTGACTTGTCTGCGCCCTCTTTTCTCTCACTGGCGAGAACAGTAAAACGGGAAGATAGCAAGCGAAAAGGAGAGGGTCAGAGAAATAAGACAATTTCAAATTTGAGCATGTTCTGCGCCAGCTTGTCCCAAGTTTTCGTTCTCCAAGCTATCCTTCTTTTTTCGCCTGAAAATTTCCGCTTATTAAAGGCGCATGCATGAAGACAGCACGTGCGCATCGAAGGGAACGGGTTGTGTAGCTTGGAGGAAAAAATCGTGACAAACTGATGCGAAATAGTCTTCAGCATAATACTCGATTTAAAAAAAAATTCCGGGATAAACGGTTCTGAAGTTAGAAAGGGATTTCTAATTTTTCGGGTTTTCAAACTTTCATAATCTTCTTTTTGATCTTCGAATCTCTTTTTCGTACTTTCCTTGCATAAAAGGCTTCATTCTTACCTTTAAAAAAGTGCTTTAATTTTTTCTTGTCCTCATTTTCCTTCTCCTTTTTTTGTATCCGCAATAATTTTTTCCCCGATTCATTCAATATGTTTCCTTGTGCCTGTGAAATGTTAAACGGTTTTCTCTCCGGTTCCCTGAATAAATTATTTCGCTTCTCATTTTATTTTTTTTTCTGACTGGAAAGGTATTTCCATTTCTTTTTATTTTTCATTTTTTGACGTCCTTTCAAGTTGCTGTTCCGTAATTATCCTGTGAATGTACGTGTCTTATTGACTTATTTTTTTCTGAATTATATAGAATAAATTCATTGATATTTTTACTTTTTTTAATCCCGAAGTTCATCGGCTTTTTCTTTTTATAAAAAAATTTTTAAAAAAATTATAAAAAAATTAAAAAAACAATTTTCGGCGTACGGTGTACCGTCTGGTGGACGAAATATTCAATCGGCGCGAAATTTAAAAAAATTTTTTTAAGTTGAAATATTTTTTTCAATTTTTCTTTTTCATTTATCACTCTTTTTTTCCAATATATTTCTAATTGTTCTTACGTTTTTCGGTAAGGCTCAAGCTTGGCCATTTTTATTTCACAAAAAAATGTCAAAAAAAATAGAGCAAAAAAAGCGTCGGATTAGAGGAAATTATTTTTTTCGTGGACTCCATTCAAGAACTAACGAAGCTTGAATAATTTCATTTTAAGACGTTTTATTATTAAACATTGTAATGTGGAGTTCAAATTAAATTTCTATAATATTTTTTTCTTAATCTCTGACAGTTATTTTTTTACTCCACCGGTCCAGGAAACCATGAATAATAATTAGATTCGCTTGAACTTTCGTCAATATTGTGAGATCGTTTCAAAGTTTTTTCTATGGTGTTTGGAGGTGCTCAAGTCTTTTAAAGTTTTCGGGAACTCTGGAAAAATATCTCATGGAATTTCGAGAAAGCTACTTTGAAAATAATTCAGGGAGATGAATTTGAACGCGGAACCGTTTGATGAAGAAGAAGAGCAGGATATTTGGTGTTTTATCTACAGGTTTTCAATCGATCGGAAAGTTTGAGAATATTTTTTTTTCAGTGTTCTCAACGATTTGCATGCCGACTCTCAGAACTTTGAGGCCTACACGATATCGAGAATAAATGAAGTTTTTTTCGAGAAATATAAGGAAGAATGGTCGAATGAGCGGCCAACCGAGGAGTTGTTGAATCAGTGGGATATTATAACAAAATGAGAAATAAGTCATAGTTTTTTCTTCAGTTTCCGTCGTTCGATGGTGGCGCGACTTCAAAGTGCAGCGATTTCTATGCCAGCGAAACTTTCCCTGTTCAAATGGCTCCAAATACCAATGTCGGATGAAGTCATGACGATGTATTGATTATTCAGAACGATTTGGAGAGAATTTTAACGTTTAGGCTTGAACAAAAGCACGAAGTTGTTTTGAATGTTGATCCAACGACCAGAATTCTTCTCACTTACCGTGATAAAAGTCAGTTTTGAAGACAAGAAACTCGAGGAAGTCGAAAAAAGGAAAACTTCACTGGAAACATAAGTTGATTTTCGTTTATGAAGCTGGAAATAGGCAGTCCCAACAGCAAAAGTCAAAAAAAAATGTTTATGAATCAATTTCCTTCTTTAGAATTTTTTCTGGTCTTCGAATCAAAAAACTATATTTTTTCAGATCAACCTGATGTCATCGTTCTGGATGATGTTGAAGAAGACGGTGAATATTTTTTAAATTTTTTTTAATCTGTTCAAAAATTTTTTTCTGTAATCATAATAGACGAATTCCGAAAATTTCCCGCAAAAAATACACTTTTTAAAGTAAAAAATAGTGCAGAAAGGATTTTTTAACAAATAAACTCAAATAGAATTTAAATTGAAATTTCAGAATCAATGAATCGCGCAAGTTCTGTGGAACCCGAAGAAGAAACGAAAAATTTGCGAATTTTTTTGCACAGGTTTTTTTCTTAAATTGTGTATTTTAAAGAAATATCGATATTCAGAGAAGTTATTGAGAAGGAACGATCGAAGAATGAAATCAACGAAATTTGGGCTAAATATGTTTCGAAGACGAATTCGCAGCTTTCCGTCAGGAAACTTGACGAGATGTTGGATTTTATTTTTCTTCCTGAATGTTTTCTGGGGTTTTTTTGAAAAGAAGAGACATAATTTATTAAGATTTTTGATGTAAAATTTGATTTTTTTGTAGTGTTCGGAACTCCATCGAGGATTTTTGAAATTCATTTCAACTCTGTAAAATAGGAAATACTATCAATTTTGCCTTTTTTCTTCACTTTTGAGCTGTGCGGAAGAGAATATAATAACTATTTATACATTTGAAAAAGTTCATGCGGTGATTTTGCTATTGTTCTGAATGATTTTTCAAAGTAACTACTGCAAAAATAAACCAAAGCCTTCTATAAATAACTCTTTCCAGGTTCTTCTCAGTCATCGCCCCGCAATTGTACAAAGTGGAGAAGTTGAGCGGCCGGACCGTTTTGGAATTATATAAGGCCCTTGAACTCCCAGTCGACAAACATACGGAACGAGTGTACGTGGAAGATTTTTAAATTCACGCTGAAAAGTTAGAAATCAGAAAAACAAGTTTTTTTTTTTCTGGTAAGGAAAAGTGTTCCAATGAGAAGAAAAAGGAATACTCGGGAAATTCCAAAAAAGCGAAGGATATTTTTTTTGAAATCAATTTTTTACAATATTTATTGGTTTTTGTATAACTTTAAAGTGTATTTCATTCTATTAAAATCAAAAAAATAATCAATTAATTTTTTTGAATTTTTAAATCAATTTTTCACCAAATTTTTTTCAATCATTGAACTCTACGGTTCCATAATTACTCTCCTATGATAATTTCGACTGTTTCTCAATAAATATTTTTGAATCATCGATTTTTTTATCTACATTAGTTACGAAAGCTTCTATAAAAAAAATGTAGATCAATTTTTTTACTGAATATCAGAAAAAAAATAAGTGACATTTTTTTCAGCATGGAAACCAAGTACCTGGCGGACGTACGAGTGAAAAAAATGGGAAATTGAGAAGTTTCCAATTTTGGCGAGAGGAAGCGCCCAAAGGTTTTAGAAAGAAAAAAAATAATTTTCATTTTTTTTTCAGTGAAAAAAGAGCCGCGTTGGGCAGAAAATGGCCAGGAAGAGTCGATTTATCAGGTTTGAATTATGGTTTTCGCTTCGAATTTTTAGGACATTTTTAATCTCTATTGTGTTTCTGTTGTAGAGTTATGTTCACTACGAAAATTTTGGTGCCAATTTTTAGGTTAAAAGTTTTTTTTTCATGTTTTCATATGCTTTTCTCCACCAGAAAAAAAAAGCAAAAAATCAACTTCCAAGTTAAATTTCCAGATTTTTTAACTCATTTTTTTAGGCGCGGAAATACAACCGGCCGCCTGGAATGGGGGATCCCAATGAACGATGGCGGAATCCGAAGTATGACGTTTGTCCGGAGGAAGTCACGATGACCGGAATGCCCGGCGGAACGGCGTCTTCAAGGAGTAATGCCACGTCTTGGGTGAATTTTCGTTAAAGAGGCCATTTTTTCGGTCTCTATAGGGACTGTTTTTCTTCCTAACCCCTATAGGGACCACTTTGAAACTCCTGAGTGAAAAAAAAAAATTGGAATTTCACCATTTCAACCCTTTTTGAAAAATTTAGAACTTTCGTAGATGATCCGCTTTACCAAATCTGCGACTGTACGCAAGTTTTGAAATTTGCACGTTCTAGTCTATGTTTAGTCCTAATCACATTGAAAATTTCTTGAGAATGTGTGAAGAACTATTTTTGTTCATAACTTTAACGAACTCCTTTTTGAAAACCAGAAGCCATTGTGTCTTCTTCATCGAATAATTTATCTAGTTGTTTTAGTGAGATGTAATCGACTAGGCGGTAAACAAGAACTTAAAAAGCTATGACGAACAACTGCCTTTGGCGAACTAGAAGTCCAGACGGGTAGTTGGTCAAATTGAATGAAGAAGTTTAGACGTGTAGTTGATCAAGTTGAATCAAGAAGTCCGGGCGTGTAGTTGATCATGTTGGATCGAGAAGTTCAGACGTGTAGTTGATCATGTTGAATTGAGAAAATTAGACGTGTAGTTGATCAAACTGAATCAAGAAGTTTAGACGTGTAGTTGATCAAGTTGAATGAAGAACGCCGAACGTGTAGTTGATCAAGTTGAATCGAGAAGTCCTGACGTGTAGTTGATCACTTTAAAAGCATGGTCTTACGGTCCTTCGCCTCGTTCTTCCGCGCGTAGTCCAACTAGTTGCGCCTTGACAAGCTCAGAATGTAGCTTATGTTGTGCTGGAACCCGGAGACCGTGTTCTAGGTGGAAGCCTCAAAATGAGAGCGACCACTTCGAGTGAAGACTTTACACAGAACGAAGTTTTTACGCGGAATTTATAAGGGGATTTTTTTTTTTGAAAATGTCATTTTCCAGAACGGCGACGATCGTGTGGGATTGGGAAGTGTCCGGCTGAAATACACGATCGAGGAGGAGGTCGCCATGTGGGAGTATCTTTATGAGTGCGTTTTTCATCTCCCAAGGCACTGGCTGGGACGTTCCGGGTTTCCGGCTCTTATTTTTGCTTTTTAAAATTTTTGCGAAAATGCTTTTTCTGAATGCGTTTTCGCATTTTTTTTAATACAAAAATTGTTTCTTGGTAGTTTTATGATACTTATAAATGTTCCTTCTAACTTTTCAAACCGGTTTCAAACAATTTTTGGGATTTTTTTAAATACACACTTTTTTTAATTAAGTAGATATTTTTTTAGTTTTTATGTGTTGAATTTCTTTTTAAACCTGAGCACTATAATGACAAAAGGTGCATAGAAGTGGAAAAAGACGGATTTTATTAGATTATATGAACGAAAAACACGAAAACTTGAGAATCGCGCATGCGCCACGAGTGTCTGAATATTGGGGTTGAAAGGAATAATATCCAATTTTTCAGTGCGATCGAAGGTAACGATAACACCTCCACGGCCGTGAAAGGCCACCGGATTTGGTACGACTACATTCGACAGACGAAATGCCGAAGAACCGCCGACAATTTGTGTTCCCAGTGCGGTTTTATACATAAAATAGGAGAAAGATGGATTGAAATTCGGAGGAAAGCAGCTTTGCAGCTCTCAAATAACAGCGCCAAACTTGCATGCTTTAAAACAAAGTAGCTCATTTCCATCTGTGGTTGGGAATTTTTGAAAATAGTCCAAAACACTCCTTGAAGTACCAAAAAAGGTTTTTGAAAGTCTCAACCTATACAACTTCCGAGTTTTTGAGAGAGGAGACCTCAAAGTCAAACGAAACCTTTAAAATCCGTCAAAAAGACCATTTTTGGGGCGTTGAGTTTTTATTTTTCGAAAGCTAAGAAGTTGAGACTTTCAGAACCTCAATTTGGTACTTCACGAAATATTCTGATGAGTTTTTAAAAAGTTCCGGACCCCAAAGTAAAATGACCTACCTTGTAAAACCCCCATTTCGTAAGCTTTCCCGAATTACCATATCTCAAGAGAGGTATCTGAATTTTTTTGACTACGAAAAAAATCTAGCCACACAGTCATCCTTTATAAATTATTTTTTTCGAAGATTTATTTTTTTCGCAATTTTTTTAAATTTCTAGCATATACTTTTTAACTTTAATAAATTTCAAAAAAACGCAATTTTTTTCGCTTCAGTGGATCGGCTGATTCGCGCAGCCTAGTTTTCAGATACCCCTGTCAGAAATGGATTCAAGTTTACAGCTCTCAAGTGGCAGTCCAAAGTTTTAATTCATAAGAAGCATGAGCTGAAGTGGCAGTCCAGAACTTGCAGCTCTCAAAAATTTGCACCTCCCAAGACAGTCCTAAATTTGCAGCTCTCAGAAGCAGCTTCCAAAAAGTTTGCAGCGCCTGAACGACAGTCCTGAACTGGCAGCTCTAAAAAAACAGCTCCCAGAATTTTAGCAGCGCCTGAACGGCAGTCCTGAACTGGCAGCTCTCAAAAAGCAGCTCCCATAAAGTTTGCAGCGCCCAAACGGCAGACCAGAATTTGCAGCTCCCAATAATGTAGCAGCTCCTAAAAAGTTCGCAGCGCCCAAACCGCAGTCCAGAATTTGCAGCTCCAAAAAGCAGCTCTCAAAAGGAAGTCCAGGATTTTCAGCTCCCAAAAGGCTGTCAAGAATTTGCAGCTCCAAAAGCAGCTCCCAAAAAATTTGCAGTCCAAAAGGCAGTCCGGAATATGCAGCTCTCATAAAATAGCTCCTAAAAAGTTAGCAGCGCCCAAACGGCAGTCCAGAATTTGCAGCTCCCAAAAGGCAGTCCAGAATTTGCAGCTCTCAAAAAACAGCTCTTAAAAAGTTAGCAGCGCCCAAACTGCATTCCAAAATTAGCAGTTCTGAGAAGCAGAAGACCAAAATTTTTGCCCCTAAACCCATTTTTCTATTGAAGCATCATTACAAAAAAACCAGAAAAAGAAAAATTCAGAAAAAGAGTATATTTCAGCTTCCGCCGCATAATGATCAATACGCTGTACAAAAGGCCGCTGCGAAAGAAAACGATGCTCGAATTGTACCGACGGCTGAGGATTCGAATTGATGAGGATGTCAAGAATGTGTATGTAGAAGAATGAAGAAAATGATAGGAATTTCCAAATTTTGAAGATTGGAAACGCAGTTCAACGTTTCGATCCGTCTGCACGATCATTATATCGTGAATTATACGAATTTGGATCCGGGAGGTGGTTTTTTGATTTCCTGTCTGTATTTTTCATTGAAACTTATTTTTGTTCATGCAAAAATTGAATCCCGTCAGCATTTATTTATAGTTGAATTGAATTTTTCTTTGGTCCTTCAAGTTATTTTTTTCATGTAGCGTCAAAAAAATCCCATTTCTTATAAATTTTAATCTGCTTGAAGCTCATGAAGTTCATAGAAAACTGAAATTTTGTCGATTTTTTTTTCGAATATGTCCATTTCCAAGCAATTTTCATAGAAATCTGGAGCTTCTATCGATTTTTGTTTGACTTTTTTCCATTTAGCGTCCCCAGAAAAGTCTCCCGAATCAACTCCGGAACGAGTTGCCCCCAAAGGAACTAAATCCCGCCCAAAACAACGTTTTGATGATGACTATATTGATGATGGAGGTATCGATTTTCAAAGAAGCAAAAAAAGAGAAATAGTTCCAGGACCAATCTACGTCGACAACTGCGAGGAGAACTTTGACATGCGACTTTCGCCCCTTTACCGCCGCTCATCTTTCGTCGACATGAACAAGACCGCTATTGATGGTTTGTTTTTGAAAAAAGGCCTTGAAGTAAATAGAAGTAGAACCTGACAAAAGATCTGTGAATTTCAAAAAAAAATTAGTTCATTCGCCAGGAAAAAACGAATAGAGCTAGCAATATGAACGTAGAAAATTTTCCAAAAAGCAAATTTTTAAATTTTTTGCTCATTTAAAGCTCAAAAAAAAAAAAATCAAAATACCTCAATTTTTTCATAAAATCCGGAATCCTTGTATATTTTTACATCTCCCTCGTGACGTGGATTGAGGAATCAGATTTTTTTACCTCTTGCAAAAATTTTTTTCTATTTGAGAATTTTTTTAATTTATTCTTTGAAAAAAAGAAAAAGAAATTTTCATTTTTTTCCGATCGCAAAAACAGAAAAAAATTATAAAATTAAAAATTAACGTATTTTTTTCTTATAACCAACAAAAAAAATCTTGTGAAGTTTTTGAAAATTGTAAGTGCGCAAGTACAGAACTCAATATAGCTGATTCACGGCTGGCTTTGAGAAAAAGGGTCCTGACACGATAATGCAAGAGATAGCACCTGGTTGGTGGAGAGCGCAGACAGGACACGCCCCTTTGCGATCCAAGCTAGCCTTAAATCGGCTATAACTCGCACCGGACAAGCCACGGACGTTTCTGAGCATTGCTAGTGACCCCTTTAGGGACTTGAACAATTTTAAGTGATCTATTGAAAAAGCTCAGACACTTCCGGGGCGCGTCCGGTTTGCGTTAAGGGTGTCCCGGAAACTTTGTCGACTCATCATCATCATCATTTATTCAATACGAATAATAATACAGTTCAAGGGCCGAAAAGACCTCTAACAGAACCAATTTTTAAAAAGGGAAATTTAAACATTGAAAAACAGCAACAAACCGTTTAAAAAGTTAGAAGATATTTTTAAGAAAGTCAGCGAGAAGATGAGGGTTGTTTTTCTAAATAGATTTTTGAATCGCATAGAATCATTACATAGATCAAATACAACATCGGGAAGGGAGTTCCAAACATTAATTATTCTGATACTAAAAAACGAGGCAACGATGTTACTATTATGTCTTATATTTGAACGTAAATAATAGCGATGGCGACGCAGCGCACGGACACGGGGGAAAAAGAAGAGACTATCGAAATCAATGGGGACTTCTCTAAGTACAATTTTATAAACAAGAGACATGTCAAAGATGAGGCGTCTTGTCTCAAGAGTTTTGAGACTATTTTCAGATAAACAAGTGAAATAAGAGTGGTAGGGCAAGCCGCAACGATGGTAAGCTCGGAAAAAGGAAACTTTTTCTGAACACCTTCAATCAAACAAATATTGTGAGAGTCAATTGGAGCATAGACTACAGAACAATAATCAATAATAGGACGAATATACACTTCAAAAGCATTTTTAAATACAATGAAAGCTCAGTGGATCGAAACACGTTAAACATAACATTTATGCGACATTTACACCGTCTGCAGATTTCAGATATATGATCATTGAACTTAAGGTTATTTGAGAAAGCTACACCAAGATCTCGAACTGAAAGTTTAGGCTGTAAAGCCATGTTTGAAATTTTTATAAGAAATATTTGGGTAACGTTTTCCGAAATGAATAGAATAGCATTTAGTTGGAGCTATAGCCATTTGCCATGTTGAACACCAGTTTTTCAAGTAATTTGAGGTCTTCTTCGATGACAGTAGAACTAGAGGTTTTTTTGTGAGCGAAGAAAAAAATTTTTTTAAATCGTCAGCATAGAGAAGGGGCGCAGAGCGAAAGTTATCCGTAATGTCGTTAATAAAAAAAGTAGAAACAGAAGGGGTCCGATGACCGACCCCTGGGGTACGCCGGAGAGTACAGGAGCGGGGTCGGAAAGTACTCCAGAAAGAGAAACACACTGCACACGATTCGTCAAGTAGGATTCGATCCAGCCAAGAAGAGGACCACAAATGCCGTAAAATTGAAGCTTGTAAACAAGTTTAGCATGAGAGACAGTATCAAAAGCCTTGCAAAAGTCAATATAGATAGCGTCCGTGCAAAGGTTACTGTTTGCATTTTTCAAAAAGATTTGCACAATATTGAATTAGTTGAATAGACGTGTTATATTTAGGGCGGAATCCAAATTGGTTAGAGTTTAACAAAGAGTTAGAGTTGAGAAAAACGCTGAAATCATGCACAACTATTTTTTCAAGACATTTGCAAACTGAACTGGTTAAACTAATTGGACGGTAATTTGAAGGGTCAGATCTACTTCCTTTTTTGTGTAAGGGTTTGATAATGGCTTTTTTCCAAACAGATGGAATTTGACCAGATCGGAGAGAGGCGTTAAAAATAATAGAAAGAGGATAGGCGAGAGATGTGGAACAGTTTTTGAGCAAAATGGAGGGATTTCATCCGGAGTAGTGTTACATTTAGAGGGCATTCTACGAAGAAAAGCTTCTATTCTGTGCGCTGGGAGATCTATGACAGATAAACGGTTAGATGTTTTAGAAACACATGGCGGAGTTTTTCCGTCATCGATTGTGAAAAATGAATGAAATTTTGTAGATAAGAGGTTAGCTTTAGCGAAGTTGCAGGTAAGTGCCTCTCCATCAGAGGTTTTTAGAACGTTGATATCATCCTCAGACTGACCACTCAGAAGTTTGGCATGCTTGAAGAAATTGTGTTGATTGCCTTTTTGAACTAGGTCTTTTTCTCTTTGGATCCGCAAGGACCAAGTAAGTTTGGAAATTTTTTTGGAAATTTTTATAAAGATCGGAGTTTCCCTCTCTTCTCCAAACCAAAAAGCTTTTTTTCGCGAGAGAGAACGAATGATATGGGAGAAAGGTTTGTTGGCTTTTTATATTTTTGAATGGGAACAAAAGCTTCTACAAAACTGTGTATTAAAGAGCAAAAATTGTCGTACATTTTTTCAACTGAAAGTGTAGAAAATATGAGGTCCCAGTCCAAAGAGGCAATGTGACTATTGAGGGAATGAAAATCTGCTTTTTTTGTAATTTTTTTAAAGCTTTTTGACAGATTTTTTTTCAATATTTTTTTAGAAAGTGTTGAAGTAATTATAATACTGCAGTGATCACTAAATAAATCACCGACGTAGGCTTCCTGGACAATGTTAGTGCTAGTGAGGCAAAGATCAAGAGTATTATCAGGATTAAATCTAGTAGGCGATGTTATATGCTGGGTAAGGCCATTATCACAGCAGAATGATAGCAATTTTTTACAAGGCAGATCAAAAGCTACTTTGTTAGACCAGTCAATATGTGGAAAATTAAAGTCACCAAGGATGACGACATGATTGTTAGTTTGGAGAAGAAATTCAAGGCACTTAAAAAAAGTGACTCAGCGTTGATGTTGTGGTTAGGATGGTAAACGGAAATGACACGACAGCAGGAAGAGCGGAGAAAAAAATGTCAGCAGCGACGACCTCAATCTTGGAAAAAGTCGGATGGTATTTCAACGGCGGAAACTTTTTAAAGTTTTTTTGAGTAAGTATAGCTACACCTCCGCCAAAACGATTCCGGTCTTTTCGAAAAACGTTGAAGGAATTTTTGAAAGAAAACATAGCTGACGGAAAACTGTCATCGAGCTTGGTTTCACATAGAGCAATGACGTCTAGATTAAGATCATTAATAATCAATTCGAGCTTAGCAACCTTATTGACAAGAGAAAAAAACAATTAATTGAGGCAAATTTCAAAAAGACTCACAATTTCGCCTTGGGTTCTTGGGAGCGCACGGACCAAGGATGACGTTCGACGCCGGCTGGGAGACGCAGCTTGACAACCTCGAAGTCCCGAACGGTCCAAATCCTGGATGCGGCCGCGTCGTTTCGTAGAACAGCTTCTTTCCAAGCCGTCCGATGCTTCTCCAACTCGGTCTTGCTCATATCCCGTTGAACGGAGGCGGTCCTCAGAGACGGAATTTTGCCTTTCAACTCGTTGAAGTTCTTCAAGACTTTGACGACGGCGTCCTTGTTCTGGAGGTGAACGCGAAGCGGGGGTGGAGGAGTCGTAGACTTTCCAAGCCGAAAAATTTCTTGAGCTTTTTCGACCGACGATAGTTGACAAATTTCTTCCACGATTTTTTCGTCTTTCTTCTCGTTGACCAAATAACTTACAAAAATTTTGAGAAATAAGGTTTGAGAGTAAGGTTTAAACGTTTCTGAGCATTTCTAGTGACCCCTTTAGGGACCTTAAATAATCTTGAGTGATAAGAAACTTCCGGGGCGCGTCCGTTTTGCGTTTGGAGGGCGGAGTGGTCCCGGAAAGTTTTCGACTTGCAAAAATTTTGAGAAATGAGGTGAGAGGATAAGGTTCAACTCCAGGGAGCAAGTGTGACCAGATAAAAAATAAGTTTTGACTTCAGAAGTTGTTTCTGACTTAAGTTTAGGAGGACTCTGGTCCATCTCTGTTGAAGACACCTTTTCATGTTCAGATCGAGTTCAACAAGCAATGAGGGAGGGTGTCAGCGAGGCTCGTCTCCAACGCTTCAAGCGACAGGGCGAGTTCGTCCGAAGGAAACGCCAGAATCCGATCCAAGAAGAGAACCCCGACGAGGAGGATGAGCCTCCGAGAACTTTCGCCTCGCCGGTGACCAAGAGAGTTCCGGTTAGAGCTCATAAATCAACTTTTCAAGGCGAAAGTAGATGATCTTCTCTAGAATATTTCTGATAACTTGTCAAAAAAGCCGTTTTTCGTTTCACCTTCAAGCTAGACTTCAAAGAGAGAAAATCAATTTTTTTATAAGATTTTATAATTTTGGGCTAGGTTTTTTCTGAAAATATTATTTTTCGTTTTTTCGCATATTCCATTGGAAAAATGACCTAAAAAGTTGAGGATATTTTTCACTTTTTTTGATTTCAAAATAGTTCTGGAAAAGATATGACAGTTTTTTTATAATTTTTCGGGAAGCTTTCCGAATTTTAGTACTGAAAAAAGTTCATACTTTCCGAGAAATGAGATCTCAAAGGCTTGAAATAGCATATTTCTCAAATTTTTTCCTTGAATTTGAACCTTTTTTCTCGGAAACTGAGAGTTCAGCTAGTTGAGATATTTATAGTCTTCATTTGGTGGGGCAAGGAACAAATCTTCAGAAAAAAAGGCAGTTAAAATTCCTTCCTTTCAAAGAAATCGATTAAAAAAAGCCTTAGATTATTCTGATTTGCAGGTCGCTGAAACGCCGAACAACTTCCGATACGTCGGAGTTCAGCCAGCTCGATGGGACATACCTGAAAGTGCCTCGAAACCCACCAAAACCGTAGTCCCATTGACGCCGGCGGCTCCTGGAGCTTTTACGAAGACCCTTCTGGTCAACGACGACGACATTGGCAGCCCGTCTGACGTCAGAACGACGGTCCAGAGTACGCCGAGGAACACGAGAAAAAGGGAGTCGACGAGGGTCGAAGCGACTCCGAGGACCCCCCTCGCACAGACCCTCTCGCCGCTTCCGAGAGAGACGCTCACTTATCCGGAATCGGGAAAAAAACGGAGAAGAGGTGATTTTTGTGTGTAATTGAATCAAGAAAACGAGTTCGTAAGTGTAGGAACTGGTCAACCTGAAAAGTTAGGATAGGGTGTAATAAGGGTCCGTAGAAATGTTTCTTTTAAGGTGGCAAAGACTTTTTGTGCCCTTCCATGGACTCTGCAACATTTTTGCTGCCACTCCCTTTTTCCACCATTTCTTGAACCTTTAAAGTCCCAGAAAAATGGGAGGATTGATAAAGGGACTCTTTTTGCTACCTTTTTTGAGCTTCTCCCTTTTAGCGGCCATTATCTCCCATTCCGATTTTGACCAAGAAGTTAATTTACTGGGATTAGAAAAAAGAAGGAAAACAGGGACTTTTCGCGGCAATAAAGACAAGAGAAATGGGTTTCTAAATTTAGGAGAAGTTAAGCTGAGAAACTTATAAAGTTATTTATCAGAAGTCGTTGAAAAAAAGGAAAATAGGTGCTTTTTTAATTGAATAAGTTAAGAAAAGTGAGTTAGACAAATTTGAAAGTGTAGGAGTGGCTTAGCCGTGGGCTTTTATAAAATGACTGACTGGGAACTGGCGAGTAAAACAATATTTGCTTTTTAGGTTAAATAGATAGAAGTGACTTGGAAAAAAAAAAGTCAATAGTTTATTAAAGAACCACAAAATTGTAAAGTAGGAAGGCTTCACTTTTTTTGAATAATTTGCGGAAAATCGCTAGAAATAGGTACCCTAAAGAAAAAAAAATTTAAAAGGTAAACTCGGTAGTGCACAACAGGCTTTAACTTGAAAAAAATTCAAAAAAATCCCAAGTTTTTCGGATTTGAATTTTTTTAAAACTATGAGTGAACTATTAGAATCAATCGTTGGGTCATTCCATTAGAAGCATAGAAAAAATTAATTATTTTCCGACCATTTTTGACAAAAGTGGAAAAAACAGAACCGTCAAAGAATTTGCGAAAGAAAATTGTCCACAATTTCCTTTTATGGAGCTCAACTTTTCTGAGGCTGCTTTTTTGCGAACTGAAAGTCCATCAGAGTGTTACAAAGAACAGTCATCAAAACTCCAGGAAGTTTCAGAAAGATCAAACTCCATACAAGGAAGTTTTGATCAAAAACGCGTCTTGTTTCCTATTTTTTCTGACGGAACTGTACTTTTTGGATGACTCATGTATCTTTTTTTCATCCAAAAACTGTCAAGAATGAAGTAAAATCGATCCCGAAATTTGCAGCAAAAATGGTGGCCGTGGACCCGATAGAAGTCGAGATGGGCCAACATCCGTGCGCTTCAATGGAAAAGCAACAAGCCAGCCTCGAGGAAGACCAGCAGGAGTTTGAAATTTTGGAGCCGGTGCGAGAGGAGCGGGAGCCCGAGCCTGAAAATGAGCCGGAAGAGGAGCCTGAGGATGAGGATGAGCCCGAGAACGAACCTGAACCCGAACCCCCACTGAAAATGACCCCCTTCCTGACTTCTGTCATCAAACTCGGCGCCACCTACCAGATTGATCTCAAAAATCATCCGGATTTGCTGAAAACCATTGCCGCTGACGAGAGGATTGCCATGGGAGAGGTCTTGAAAAAGGGGAATTTTTTAAAAGATGGGAAAGTTTCAGAATACGAACAATTTCACGATGCTGAAGGATATCCAAGGATGGATGGCCAGCGCCAAGGCCAACCATGACAAGGATCTTCAACGATTTGAGGCCATTCGGGTTGGTTTTGTTGGAAAAAAGGCTTGAGGGGGGGTGAAATAAAGAAGTCTGAAAAGTTGAGGGGTCTACTTAGGAGCTCTAGGGTGATTTCTATAGGGGCTTAGGGGCTCTTGAAGGTCCCCCTTTAGGGTCACTTTAACAACCCCGGGAAAAATGCTTAAGAGGTCGGGGGAGGGGGGGGTTTGTTAAAGAAAGAAGTCTGAAAAGTTGGGGGGTCTACTTAGGAGCTCTAGGGTAATTCCTATAATGGCCTAGGGATCCTTGAAGATTCTCCTCTGGGGACCACTTTAACAACCCCGGGAAAAAGGCTTGATGGGGGGTTGTTAAAGGAAGAAGTCTGAAAAGTTGGGGGGTCTACTAAAAGTTAGGGGATCTATCAAGGCTCTAGAGTGAACCCTATAGTCGCTTGGGGACCCTTGAAGGTTCCTCTCTAGGGACCACTTTACCAACCCATATAGGGACCACTGAAGCTTACAAAAGGGCTTGTAGGAGTTTCAGTTAGTGATCCCTATAGGGGACAGACTAGTCGATTAATGTCAAAGCCTAGGGAATTCTTATAAAAAGCGCTCTAAATTTACCCCTATAGAGGCTTTTTCCCGTCTCCTAAAAGAGCTGTTTTTCCCCTGTAGGGACCACTCTGACTTTTCTTTATGACGTCATTCTTCGAAAAACTTTTTTTATCGAGCAGTTTGGAAGAGGGCACATTTTTAAAAAATTCGACGACCTCCAAGGAACACTTGTTGAAAAATGTGAAGGCTGAAGTAAAAAATTGTCTTATTACGTGGAATGGCTTGAAGCGTCGCGGTCGCGTTGCGTTTCGATATTCGATAATTAGGTGCACCCGACTTTTAGCGATTTTCCGTTAGTTTGAAGTTTGCCGCCCTGCGCAAGTATAGCCCGTCCACCGCGACTTGATACTTTTCGCGCGTCTGCGTCTCTCTGTTCCCTCACCGGCGAGGTCAGAGAAACATGAAAATAGCACGTCAACATGAGAGAGACGTCGATAGATGAGGAGGGCGCAGAGAAGTCCTGCCCTTTCAAGTCGCGAAAAACGGACTATAGCATTTTGTGGAGCGCCCATATTTTCGTGACGCGTTTAGCCATTCCAAATGCGACCCTGGCTCTTAAATTCATGAAAAACAATTTATATCTGTGACTCTTGCAGAAAAACAAGCTCATGACTCGTTCCGCCGAAATTTCGCTCAATGACAGAAATTTGCCAAAAGTCGTCCTGCACGATTTGGATGACAAGGAAACCAATTTGGTTAGTTTTGCAAGGATATTCGATTTTCAAATATTTCCTTTTTTGATCGACAAAATGAGGAAGTCGTACCGTCAATTTATCCGTGTGCCACTCGAGCCGCTCTGAAATTTTCAAAAATTGTTTTCCAGGATTTCTTGATTATACATTTGAACATACTTTATATATGGTTTGCCACTGGTTCGCCGGATTTTTATTTGATAAACTATTTTTTGCTCATTTTTTATAGATTTTTCGGAGAGCGTAGGGAGACATTAAAGCTACTTGAATGGATTGAAAAGCTTCAGGAGGTTTTTGAAAGTTTGAAGTTATTTGGAAGAAAAATTTTTGGTTTATGATGAGGTTTAGGTTTTCTTTCAAAGAGATGTGGAGTATTAGAAAAATTGTCTTCCCCTCTTTTTCGAATTGTAGAAAGTGACGAGAAATTTTAGAAATGTTTAGAGAAATCATTTTTTTTTCCACTTCCTCTTCCGATTTTGGCGAGCTTTTGATAAGTTCACGTGCTCCAAAAATTCCAAAAATTAGCTTTTTCGACTGTAGGAAGTGACGAGAAGACTCCGAAAAGCCACGGTGATGGGGCTTCTGACGCCGACTCATCATCTTCCGATTCGACAGCAAGCTTTGGTCGGATCTGTACTTGCTGATGTCGACGCGATTTGCGCCAGGGACGCCGTCACGGCGGTTCGTTTCCTTTTTAGATTCGGTGAAAAGTAAGTTTGGTTAGCGAATTTTACTCACCGAAAGGTTTACTTATTTCGAGGTTCCATGTGGGTTACATATTCGTTTTTTTAGAGCGAAAACCCCATTCGCATACATGGGATGAGCATGATAGGCGGCAGCCAAGTCCCCTCTTACCCCCCCTTGACTTCTTTCTCATTTGACGACTTGAAATTATTCTAAATTAATTTCTTTTCCCTTTTATCGGAGAAGTCTCTTAAGGGATTATTCATAAAGTTAAGCGCCCCGATTGCCCTTTTAAGTGACCACTTCACAATACTCCTAAAGTATTGCCCTTTCGCCTTCTAGCAGTATTCTCTTGAGGCCTCTCGGAGTATTTCCAGAATGTATTCGCCTAGAAGCGCCACGAATCATCTCTTGACCCCTTTACAAGCTCTCTTCCCTTTTTCCAGGTCTTATTGAGACTATCCTAAGTCTCCTCCCTTTTTCCAGGTCTCATTGAGACTATCCCATGTATGCCCATCCGGTGTATGCACAGTATCAATCTGTAGTTTTTTCTGTAAGTTACCGATTAGTTTTTCGAAAGAAAAACCAATAATAAAGTACATTTTTTCCAAAATAACTGTTCAGGACGACTACCGCAAGCTGATGAACTCACAGCGGCCCCGAATCCAGGAACTCATCGAGCGTTTCCATGTTCAAACCATCGAGTAACTTTGATTTTTCCCGCTTGTTTCAACCATTTCACAGATTATTCTAACTAATTTAATAAGTGTAAATTTATGGCTAAATGCTTAATTCAATCATCCTCTGTTTTAACTGGTCCTGGTTCCTATTCCTTCTCCAAAAATCTCTGTTACATTTAATATACCTCAAATTTTTTCAAAACACGAAATTCAATAATAAACACAAGTATTTCGAAATGTTTTGAATTCTGCGTGAAATGGAACGAAGAGAAAAGAAAATGGCCGAATTATTGATTTTCAAATTTTCTAACGATTGAGTGAAATATTGATCATAAAAACTTTTTAAAACATGGGTACAGTAAAAGCAAATTTTTAGAAAAAGAGAATTTTCCAAATGAGTAAAGTTTTTTTTTTGGTTTTGAGTTCTGCGGGGGTCGAGCTTACCTTTAAAAAGTATTACTGTGAGGAAATTTTTCCTGAAAATACCAATAAATGGGAGGTTAGGCTTCAGAATTGAGCAGAATTGAAATATGATAATGGAAAAAGCCAATTTCATGAAAGACAAAAAAGCGGTCAAGTGGTGCCAATGGATAGGGTTAGGAGGGGTGCACAGTACCGGCAAGCCGGCTGCGACTTTTTCAGTTTGGTAACCCACTGACTTCGGACCGCTTCTCTTCCCATCAGCGTTTTGCTGGTTTATATAGGCGGCCGCGTTTTTGCGCCCGACCCCCACGGAGATCGATTGCAGGTGTTTGTCATGGTATTACGAAACATTGCACGAGTCGGTTAGAGTCGGGCGCACCCCTCAGGCCGCCTATATAAACCATCGAAGAATGAAAAGAGTCAGGAAGCGGTCCGGAGTCTCTGGGTTATCCAATTTCATGAATCCTCCCATTGGCACAAACTTGACCGCTTTTTTGCTGAACATTGCAGGGAATTAATTAATTAAACTTACAAATTTGAACTTTATCGACTGCCTTTTCAAAAGGAAAAATAGGCTGTCCAACTTTTTTAATCTATAATATGTTGCATAGTTATAGGATCTATGAGATTTCAGTTTCTCACTAGATCTTGTTTGAATATTTAAGACTTCAAATCTTTTTTCTAGAGTTTTTCAAAAGAAAACTAAAAATAAGGACAGAAAAAAGCAAAAAGAAGACATCCTTGTGGGATCTTGAAGCACAGGAAAAAAATCGGAAAAAAACACAGTTTTTTTGGCCTTAAAAAAAGATGTATGCTTGAAGTTCAAGGTTTTTCAAATTTTTTTATTTGTGTATAACTTTATTTTTAATTTTTCGAACATTTGGTTCAGGATTCCATATGAAACCGAAGCTTTTTAATTTTTTTGTTTTTGTTCAGGATTTTTCAAAAAAAACACACAAATAAGGGCAGAAAAAAAGCAACAACAAGACCTCCCGGTATTTAGGAATTTTAAAGGGATCCCTAAAGTAAGTAGTTAGGGGGATGAACAGCCCTGTAGGAGCCGAAAAAATGGTCCCTGTGGGGGTAAAATCAAGGTGGTTCCTATAAGGCTTTAGGGACTGACTCCTTAGCCACTAAAGCTTAAGTGGTTCCTATAGGGGTCTTTCGATTTCATTTTCAAACGCTTATTTATTCAGTTTTTCGCAATTAAATGCTTCTTCGCATATAGTTCATAACAATTATCGACTAGCATGCCCCCTATAGGGACCACTTTTTCAAGCGATAGGGGTCACTTTAGGAGTCAGTAAAGTGGTCACTAGAAGGGACCCTCCAAGGGCTCAAGTTCAAATCAAACAGGGCCTTCTAATCTTTTCGTTTCTCAGGATTTGTCCAAAGAAACACACAAATAAGAACAGAAGAAGCTCCGACGAGACGGCGGTCAGTCGTGAGCTGTCATTTTGGGGGGAATCTTCTGACACATTGGAACGCAAAAAGTCGCGTCTCGATTTGTGGGCTCTTCTCGTCGCGGAAAGTGGGCGTGGCCCGAGCACTCGGCCAGATCCTACCGTACAAGTCGACCCCATGCTCCGAGCTCTTTGTCATTTTTTTTTCGATTTTTGGAATCTTTTCTCTTTTAAAAGCTGTTTTCAATCAAATTGAGTGAGAATCATCGTTTTTTGGAACAGTTCCTGGAAAAAGTTGTCTCGTTTCTTGATTTCTCCATGTATAAACCTGGTCAAATGATGATCTCCCTACAGTTTGGATCGTTTTCTTGATTTCTGTGAGGCTTTGAATCTTTTTAAGTATTCTAGTATTTAATTTTGTAGCTTTATGCCTCCCCCTAAACATTCCCCCTATTCTAGGCTTTGATATCTTTTTTTCTCAAAAACAACTTATTCTGAACTTTTTGTTTCATTTTCCGACTGAACATGTTTTTTCTTATTTCAGAACTTTTCTCAAGCTTTTTTAAACTTCCTTCCTTGTACCTTGCTGCGATTTTTTCAGTTATTAGTCTTTCTGGAAGAAATTTCAGAGTCATACTCTTATAAAATCCTATTTTTCAGTCCTCAGATCCGTTCTTTGGCTTTTCTTCAATTATTTTTTCTTCGATAGGTTTTTTTTCTCTTGACCGTCAGTTTTTATCATGAATCGAGTTAATTTTGATTTCAAAGTTTTTTTTTTCTTTGCTCCGTAAAATTTTTACAGTGATTTTTCTCCGATTGAGGCCTAAATTTATTCTTCTTTCTAATTTTTATAGAAATTCAGCTTTTTCCCCACAAAATTCAGGGTTTATTTTTGTTTTTTTCATTTTTTTCAAACACATTTGATAATTTTTGGGCGAAATTCTCTTTTTTTCTCATTTTTCCAAGCTTCTCGGCTTTGAATTTTTTTCTATTAATACTTCCGAAAAATTTTTTTGTCTGGGGATTTTTTTCTCATTTTTTTGAACTCACTAAAAAAATTTTTTTATTGCTTTTAAAAATAAATTTTTTTACTTTTTTTACGTTGTTTTCCTTAATACCAGATTGATAAATTTAGCGTCTTCATTTTTTGAAAGTTTTTTTGAGTTTTTTTAAAATTCATCCAAAAAACTTTTTTTTCGAGCCCATCTACAGAAGCATTTTTAATCCAATTTCTTATTCTTGTTATTTTTTATTAATCTCCTTGTCTTTTAACCGGAACTACTGGTTATTTCGGTCCTTAAACACTAATTTTTTATTTCCTCATTTTTTTTCCTTGACTAAATTATTGAAAGGAGCCAAGATAACTCAAAAATCTTTTTTTCAGAGGTCCTTCATTGTTCATAGTTTCTACGAAATAAGAAAGTATTTCTCTAAAACTTAAAAATCACGTGGGAAGAGAAAAAAAAAGCGACACGAGAACGATGCTGATCTTCGCCGTCGCAGCGATTTTGTCGCTCGGAACGGCCCACGAATGTCTGGACCGGCTTTGCGTCGAGTGTCGTCATTACGTGAAGCACGGCGACGTCTGCGACAGCTATGGCACCTTGCCAATGGTTTTTTGCTCGCCGGAAACCAAGTTGGTCCTTTTTGGCGTTTTTAATTATTGTAAAATGTATCGGAATACGTCTTTTTTATTTTTTTGAGGCGATTGAAACGTGGAAAATAACAGAAAACTTGAAAAAAATGAATGAAAAATGCAGAAAAAGGATCAATTAATATAAACTTTTTCCTTAATTTTTATAAATTTTTAACTTTTGGCACCTTTTTCAGGTAGGAACTTATAGTATTGTTTTTTTAAAGTTTTTTTGAAAAAAATAAGCGATACATTTTTTTAATAGGAGAAGTTTTTTTCAGTTATACAATCTCTTCCTCGCAAGTTTGATCCTCAAAAAAGTTGCGAATAATAGAAAAAAAAAATAGGGGGGGGTTCTAGTTTTTTCTTATGAATTTTAATATTCACCTGGAAACTTTCTTCAAATATTTCATATTTCAAGGCCTTGGAATTGATTTTAAAAGGTATTTACTTATTTAGAAGTAAACTTGCCCCAAAGAACTTCAAAAGAGGTATTTTTTTAAGTTTGAGGGTCCTCGGATCTTGGTAACGCAATCGGACGCGTCGGGGCATTTCTAGTGACCACTTTAGCAGCCTCAGAACTCTTAAGTGACCCCCAGAATTGCCCAGAAAAGTCCGGAGCACGTCCGTTTCGCGTTTCCAATGTTCAAATTTAAAAAAAAAATTGTTTTTTCTTGTATTTTGATGATATTCCTATTCATTTCCCTACAGTCTGATCCACGAATCGTCAACCAACTTCCTGGAATGTGTCAACACGAAATGGATCCTCCGGGAGTGTGTTTCCGGAACTTTCTACCAGGCTGGACGAGGATGCGTCGACCCGACGGTGCAGCCTTTCATGCAGGGCTTTTCTGTTTCAGGTCAGAATTTTAGGGTTATCCAGAATCTCGCATTCAGAAAGCCTCTTTATAGAAACTGTGCGATTCGTTTTTTTCTGTTTTTTTGGTGCCAATTCAAAATGAACCGCTTTTTTGAGATTATTTTCTGAAAGAGTCTTCATTTAATTGATAGAATTCCTTTTTAGTTGCTCGATTTTATGAAAAGAACACTTTGAAATAAAGAAAATACTGCAAAATCCAACCTTTCAAAAAAGCAAAATTTCAAAGTCATTGAGTAACCCGATTAGGAATTTTTCAAAACTCGGTTTTTTGATTTTCTTTAAAATTTTCCCCATGGAGGGCCTTCTTTTTCAATCCGTTTGCTGAAAAATTTAGTTTTTACGGCTCTTTTTCATCTTACTGGAAAAATTTTTAGCAACCACTATAGGGATTTGTCGTTTTAGTGGCCACTATAGTAGTCACATTAGTGGCCACTCACGGGTTAAAAATTAGTGGTCACTAAGTGCTACTACTAGACCACTAAAAATTTTAGTGGCCACTTTAGGGGTCAATGGATCATCATAAATGGTGTTTGGTTCAAAATTGTCAGAGTTACTGGAAGGAATACTGGATGAAAAACTACTGAAGTGGCCACTAAATAAAGAACCTCTATAGTGGCCACTAAAACGGAAAATAGTGGCCACTATAGAGGTGGGTTTAGTGGCCACTTTAGTGTCCTCTCCAAGTAGTCCTTGGCGAGCCTCTATAGTGGCCACTGAAAGTTTTCCCAGTACAATGCGAATTGAGTTTTTATTTGAAAATTATCTTCAATATTTTCCAATTTTTGAATAATTCCTTTTTTGGGTTGGGTAGGGTCCAAGTTTGAATGTCTTAATTTCAAGAAGGTGCAAAAAGAGTTCCGAAAAATAAAATTTAAGTTCTTGTGCTAAAAATAAAATTTTCAGGAAGTGGTCGTGTCGGCGACGTCTGTCAGTACAATACGGACTGCCTCGGGGTCAGATTTTTGGAATTTTGAAAAAAAGAAATATGAAATCGATTCCAGGGAATGTACTGTTCGACGGGACTTTGCACCTGCCTCAGCACCTACATCTTGAGAGAATCTTATTGTTACGAAAGTCAGTTTCTTTTTTTTTTTTCATAGAATCGGCTATTAATATTTCGGAACTTGAGCCATGTTCAATGTGTTTCCAAGAACTTCGAAATTCCCTCGTCAGACAGAGAAAAAGATAAATAAATTTTGGAGAGTCAGAGAAAATAATACATTTCATTTTGAACATATTGCAGCTTTTCTATCGCAGAGTCGTTTTTCGAAAAATAACAATATTCTTTCAAGAAGTGAACCCGAACCAGCCCGGGTGCACCTACGACGTTCAATGCGAAGCGGTTTGGCCCGGCGCCAAATGTCGGATGGATAGTTCGATCGGAACTTGTCGGTGTCCAGGTAAGGGGTTTTCTGGGTTTCCGATTTCTCGGGCTTTCTCTGATGCTGCGGGCATTGTTTTCTGGCCTCCTCAATGTTTGCCCGCTTTTCACCCGTTCTTATCCCGCGGTGAGCCCGATTTTATCCCGCTGTTCAACCGGATAAAGTTTCACCCGGTTTTCACCCGTTTTCGTCAAGCGGCGTCATCCGAAGGAAGTTTTAAGCTTTATTCACCCGCTTTTATCCCCCGGCTTCGTCCGAAGGAGCTTTCACCCGTTCTTATCCCGCTGTTCACCAGGAGGAAATTTCACGCGCTGTTCACCCGCTCATGTCCCGCTTTTCACCTGGAGGAAGTTTCATGCTTTATTCACCCGCTCTCATCCCCCGACTTCGTCCAAATGGACTTTCACGTGCTTTACACCCGTTCTTATCCCGCGGCTTCACATGGATCCCGTGGCTTCATCCGAAAGAACATTCTCGCTCTTTTCACCCGTTCTTGTCAAGCCCCTCACCCGTAGGAAGTGTCAACCGATTTTCACCCGCTTTTGTCCCGTGGCTTCATCCGGAAAAACTATCACTCCCTTTTTACCCGTTTTTGACGAGCCCCTTCACCCGAAGAAAGTTTTACCCGATTTTCATCCATTGTTATCCCGATGTTCACCCGAAGGAAGTTTCGCCCGATTTTGTCCCGTGGCTTCATCCGAATGACCTTTCACGCTCTTCTCACCTTTTTTTGTCAAGCCCCTTCACCCGCTTTCCACCCGCTATTCTCCCTCTCTTCAGTTCCCACGTTCTCTCGCTTGTCGATTTTGAAATCTTCTGTTTTTGCTCAGTCAATTGAAAGCTTCAAACAGCTTCAATAAATGAATCAAAATTTTTTTTCCAGAAGAAACCCACGTGGCCAGAGAGACTCGCGACGGTTGGGTGTGTGTTTCTTTGAAAGATATTGGCTCTGGCGGCTCGGCTCCGCTTTATTTTGTCTGTCCACTTCCCGAAGGCGCCGGATTCAAAATCGGTTCGTTTTTCCCCTATTTAGATTCGCAATGAAAAACTCTACAAAGTACTGTTTTGAACTGAAACACCGTTTTTTACTGCATCTATGCCTTTAAGGCCTCACTTTGGTACCGAAAATCACCAAACTTAGTAAAATATAAGGTTTTTATTGGAGTCATGAGTTTTCACAGCTTATTATTGCTTGAAATCGTTATTTTCTGAAGCTTCAAAAAAGGTAGTTAAATGAGGTTTCTTTTGAGTTCGTGTCATCTACCTTTTTCACGAAAAGCTTCTCCTTGTGAATGAAAATTTCTGAAGCTCTGAACGATCCGACGCCGTTAATGGGCGGCTTCCCCGTCGGATGTACTGTCGGATCCTCGGCCACCATCGAGCCCGTACAAGGACTTCACGGCGGCGGCGCCTGCATGTGGCCTTCCGACGGAGAATACATCGGCGACATCTATGACTGCGTTCATACCAGCCCTCATGTGAGTTGGAGAAGAAGATGGGTCTTGAAAAGTTGGAACTATCAATGGGAAAAAAAACTCATTCCGCTTGGAAGTAGGCTCATAAGAATTTTGAAAAATCTGGAGTAAAGTCAAGTTTTGACCTCAGAATTTTCAGCCTCAACAGTACAAGTTTTAGCCCCCCCCCCCCTTATTAACTTTAATTTAGGAAGACTTGGGAGGACCTTTAATATGATTTGCCCATGTATGGTTGGAAAAGTTATAACCAAGGAAGGATACTTTAGTGAAATTACACCTTGGTCAAGTTAAAATGCTTTTCAAAAAAGTTCGACATTCAAAAATAAAAGAAAGAACATCAAGGAACTGAGAATGCGCTGGGTTGACCTTCTAGCTACTTTTCAGCTTCCAAAAGATCAGATTAGATTTTTCGCCTTACCACTTTTAGGTTCAGATTTTTCCGAAAATCGGCCAGAACACTCCTCAAATTACCAAAAAATGATCCTGGAAGTTTCGACATGTAAAACTTCTTTGTTTTCGAGAAATAAAGGTTCAAAACCCCCAAAACGACCTTTTTAACGGACTTTGAAGATTTTATTTCGCTTTGAGGTGTCCTTTCTCGAAAACTGAAAATTTTTGCAGGTTGAGATTTTTAAGGGCTTTTTCAGGTACATCAAGAAGTGTTCTGACAAAGTTTCAATTAAAAAAAAACTGATCTTCCCGGTTCAATTTAATAAAATTCGAAATTAGCCGCCTAAAATCGTTTTTCAAAGGTTTTCTAGACTTTTATATAACATTTTCGGCAGTTTTTGAGCAAATATTGGTACTTGGGATCTCTTTTAGAAGTCTTATAGCTAGCAGGATCATGGAATTTTTAAAAATACCTTGATCGTTTGGAAGCTTCTCAATTTTTCGAAAGTTTCTTTTTCCTTCGAGTTTTAGTACCGTCAGAAAAGATACGAAATAACGCGACTGTGATCAAAAATTTCTTGTAAGTTTCTGAAGCTGCATCTGTGACCTGAATCTTCATCAGAGTGTTAAAAATAACATTCATTACAACTACAGGAAGTTTCAGATAGATTCAGTTTCTTACAAGAAAGTTATGACCGAAAACCCGGTTTTGTCGTAACTTTTCTGACTGCTATGGTCTGTGTGCCACGACTTGAAATTTCAAGGAACGACATTCCGCTGTTCCGATGCGTGCGTTCGCGAAGCGTCTTTTGAATCTAGGTCACACTTTCAATTGATTTTTATTGCTGTGGAAAGTAGAGTACCTTAATAAAAGAAAAAAAAAATTAAAAGCGCGACCGAGATTCGCAAAGGAGCGCAGCGGAACAGCGGAATGTCGTTTGGTGAGATTCCAAGTCGTGGTATACAAGCTATACTGTCTGTAAAGACTGTAATTAATACAGAAGCAATGACGAGGCGATGATAAGCGTTCGATCTTTTGTTTGTATTTGCACAGAAAGGTGTGGAGCAGCCTTTTGGAGGCCTCGGACTTACCGCCTTGCCAAGTGCTTTGGTAAATAAGATATCCTTCTTGGTGATTGGCGTTCCGTACAGAGAAAAGATGCTGGGGAAGATTTGAAAAAGTTTGAAATTTTCGATTCTCAGATCAACCTCGCCACTCAATTCCCCCAGTCGCAGTACAATCCCACAGCTGATGGAGTTTGCTGTCCAAGTAGAGGTTTTTCAAACAGAAAATGTTAAAACATCTTCAAATGATAATAAATTTAGCCCTGGCTTGTATTCAACCTCAATTGACTGGACCAAATCCGTCAGAACCTCGTTGGTGGTATAATTCTGTGACAGGTAAAAAATCTTCAACTACAAATTAAAGAATGCTTGAAGCTTATTACGTCATTCACTAGAAAGTTTGACTTCTCTGCGCCCTCTTCTCTCTGAGCGAGACAATTTTTTGTCTTTGACAACTTTGGGACTGCCAATTTTGAGCTTGAAAAAGTTGGGACTGCCAATTTCAGCTTGAAAGATTTGGGACTGCCAATTTCGACCCTGAGAATCTTGGGACTGCCAATTTTGAACTTGAAAATTTTGGGACTGTCAATTTTTAGCTTGAAAACCTTGGGACTGCCAATTTTGATCTTGGAAATCTTGGGACTGCCAATTTTGATCTTGGAAATCTTGGGACTGCCAATTTTGATCTTGGAAATCTTGGGACTGCCAATTTTGATCTTGGAAATCTTGGGACTGCCAATTCGCTTTCTCTGTTTTCTCTCATTCCTCAACGGCACTCTCACTTTACGTGCTTTTTTCATGTCGATAGGACCTCACTGAAGAGAGAAAAGAGGCGCAGACACGTCAGACTCTTTCAAGTCTTGGCGAAAGGAATACCATTTTTATAAATTTTTCTTTCATTTTCCTAACATCGTTTCAGGAACCTGCCAACAGTTCATGTGGGACGCGACGGCCAGCGAAGCCAAATTCCACTCTCCAAATAATTTTAAGACGATCCAGCATTGCGAATCTTACTGTAGAGATAGTGAGTGAATATATTTGATTCCGAAAAGTTTTTTCAACTGGTCTCATTTTTTTAAACACTTTTCGGACCTTTATTTTACCGTCATTTTTTGAAGTACGATTTTTCAGGTAGCCGCATCTTGATTCCCGTGAAATTTTAATTTTAACGATTAATTTTATTAGAAAATTCGGAACGCTGAGAAATTCGGCCAAAAAACTCCAGGAAAGGGAATTCTGGAAATTTAAAGCTTGAAAATATTACTTTTTGAGAAAGAAGGACTGAAAGTTCATTCAAATGAAGTTTGGGCATGTAAATGGAGCTTAAAAAGTAGCGAAAATACGCTTTTTCCAAGTTTCAGGGTCCTCATCTAGTGATTCAAATATGATTTTGACTTCTTTAAAAAGTTCTGAAGATCCGTGTAAACTTATCTTCCTTGTGAAGCTTGGGTCCAATCCATGGACAAATAATTTTTTTAAAAACATGATTTTTTTTCAGCCTGTCAACGAGGATCTCCCCAATACTCCTCCGAAGCTCAAGTTCATTCTGAACGACCCATAACTTCCTGCGCCGCCTCAGTCTCATGCGGCAGCGACTTCCAGTGCACAGCGATCGGGAGCCAGCATCTCTGTTGTCCCACTCCGGGTACTGTACCTCTTATTCAACTGTGTTTTGAACTTATTTATTAGGATCTGTCTGTTCTGCAAGAGGAGGTCGGCCATTCGATGTGCAGCCGAGGAATTCGGTCTTCCATCCTGGATTTTTGGTCAATACTGGAAAGGAGAGCATTCGGTGGGTTTTGAGGGTTTCTCTGCACCCTCTCACGCTGGCGTGCTATTTTCCCGTTTCTCTTACCTCGCCGGTGAGGGAACAGAGAGACGCAGACACTCGAAAAGTTTCAAGTCACGGCGAATGGACTATGGCCGATTCACAGCTAGCTTCAAAGCGTGGCTTGTCTGCGCTCTCCACCAGCCAGGCAATATCTCTTTTCTTATCGTGTCAGGACCATTTTTTGATGGCTCAAGCCAGCTGTGACTATATATCATGTTTTGACAAGGAAAAATGACTTACTTGAAATTTTACAGGTTCTTCTACGACCCAAGTGCAGGCAGGTGTCAGGATTTCGTCTACAAAGGCGCCGGCGGAAATTACAACAACTTTTTGTCGAAACACGAGTGCGAGATGTACTGCGCTAGATGTGAGCTGATAATTTGTTAAATTATTGAAAAATTGAGCTTCAGTACAATGCGAACGAGGATCGCCCCTCAGAATCGGAGAAGAATCCCAGAGATGCCAAAATAATGCCCAATGTCCATCTTCGCATGAATGCAAGGCCGACCAGGGCGTCTGTTGTCCCAGAAAACGTTGGAATTTTTTTTAGAAACTAAAAAGTTTTTTCGGGATTGTTAAAAACGATTGGAAAAGCTGAAAGGATGTTCTTGTCAATTTTTCAAACTTCATTTGATAATTGATAAGCTTGATAGGACTGGAAATCATGAGAATAAGCGAGAGAACAACAGTGGTTTGAAGAGACGCCAGAGAATCAGAGATTATGCGACTTCTCTGGTGTCTCTGTGGAGCGCCGTTGATCTCTAATTAAAGTAAAAAGTGTGCATTTTTTTGAAAAATACAGTCTGAATGATTGGAGGATATCAAGGGACGCTAATGACAAATTTAAAAGAGCGCAAGATTATTTAGAAGGTGAGCCATTCCAAGTGCGACCACGGCATTTGAATTTCAAAGACTTCAAATTTCTTTAAACCAAGGTTTTTTTGAGGTCGTTTGTAAAAAAGTAGAAACTGACTTTTTGGAGTTTTCATGAGAATGGAGTCTGAAATTCGCTATAAATTTTTTGAATTATGTCTTTTTCTGAAGTTTGAAAAATTTTGGAGAAGATTCAGGAAGGGAATAAAGAATTGCAGTGTGAAAAAGACGGATTTTAATCATTTTCAAATTTCAGGAAATTCGCGGGAAAATATTTTTCCACTTTAACGTAAATGTATACCTCTGTTTTTGATTCAGTTTATCAGAAATTATTTCTCCGATTCTCGAAATTCAGAAGCTTGTTCAGAAACGATTTGCGCCCAGCCTTTGCGAATCGGAGACTGTACCGAGAATGTCAAGAGATATTGGTACAACGCCAAAACGAGACAATGTCAAATGTTTGAATACACTGGTACGTGTTTCTTTGTCCCTAATAAAGGGATTCTGATAGTCGCATTTCATGAAAATTGGCTGAAGTGTACTTTGGAGTCTTCTGATTTTAGAAAACTTGAAAAAATTCGTGACTCTTGCTTTACAGTCGAGTTATGACGCTTTGAATGCTTCAAATAACGCCATTTTTCTTAAATTTTTTCAAGTTGGTGAATTTTGAACGGCCATAACTCCATTATAAAAAAATTGAGGCTTTTCTTTTTTTTAAAGATTCAGGAGACCTTAAGGTCTACTTCAGCCAAGTTCCATCAAAAAGGCCGCTTTTATTAATTAATTTAAACGTTTCACCTTTTTTTCTCAGGTTGCCAAGGGAATGACAACAACTTCGACACGATCCTCGATTGCCAGAACTTTTGCAAAAATGCCATTCGTGAGATTTTTTCAGGAAAAAATGGAATAAACTTTTTGTGGATTTCAGCGGAGCCGAAATGTATCCAAGGACAAGCTTACAAGGACGTTTTCGGCAATTTTGTCACTTGTAGCAATGGAATGGGTTGTCCGGCGAATTATGAGTGTTATTATGACGGCAGTCAGTGGGGATGCTGTCCGGCTAAAGGTAAAAATTCATTTCGGAGAAGAGTAACAACTAGAACAACTGGGTAGATGAACGCGATGTCGCTTACGACATCGCAAAAGTGCTCCTTTGTAGCCGCGCTAGACTTGCACTTTCCTTGGCGCGATATCGAAATTTTCTGCGACATCGCATTTTGGGAGTTTTCCAACTTTTTTGAGTCTATGAGGAAAGCAAGCAAAACGCGAGTCCGTTGTGGCCACAACGCGGTTTATTCACGATGTCGTCAATTTCCCGCTGGACGACATCGCAAAAATTCTCATTCATTGCCGTGCTGGACTTGTATTTTCCCTGGCCCGAAATCGAAAATTTCTGCGACATCGCATTTTGAGAGTTTTCAAACTTGTTCGAGTCCATGAGAAAAGCGAGTCCGTTGTGGCGACAACGCGGTTCATTTGCGATGTCGCCGATGTACCGCAAAGGTCTCGCGACGGACTAAGCAGTTATTTTTAGTTTCGAAAAGAGTTTTTGATAGTTCTGTACTAAGAACAACTGACAAGATAGGAGCTGGGCGACATCGCGAAACTGCTTTTTTTAGCCGCGCTAGACATGCACTTCCCTTGGCACGGTATCGAAAATTCCTGCGACATCGCATTTTGTGATTTTTCAAATTTTTTTGAGTCTGTGAGAAACGCGAGTCCGTCGTGGCGACAACGTGGATCATTTGCGATGTCGCTAATGTACCGCAGAGGTCTCGCGACGAACTAAGCGATTATCTTCAGTTTCGAAAAGAGTTTTTGAAAATTCTGTAGGTTTATTTTATTGTCAGGAGTAGAGAAGAAGCGAAAAATGTTTTTTCTGGGACACGAAAGAAAATTTTTTACGTGGAACTGTGTCGCGAAACAAGGAACACGGAAAAAATTGAAAAAATGATTATAACTAGTTCCAATAAAATTATTATACTAAAAAAAAAGGAAGACAGAGGAGCAATTTTGGCAGAAAAGGGCACCCCGAAAATAAAATTTGCAGCCTTCACCTGCTCACTGAACCCTGACGCCGGTGTACAGTGTGGCGCTGGAAGCACCTTCAAATATTTCTACAACTCCCAGACGCAAAACTGCGAGAGTTTCCAGTTCAACGGATGCGATGGAAACAGCAACAATTTCGCGAATCGCGACGCCTGCGAACAGTTTTGCAGCGTCGGGGGTGGGTTTTTGAAGCGAAGGACTTGGTTTGAAAATCCTTGACTCTAAAAAAAACTCAGTATGATAGTTTTTTCAAAAATGGTAATGTCCTGAGAAATACTAGTTTTTTTAAAGATTCAAAAAATACCCTCATTTGCCAGTCAATCTTGCCGAACGGAAAAAATCAGTTTGAAAAAAAAAACTCAAAATCTTTGAAATGCTGGGAAAAGCTGAAGTGGCTTCTAAAGGGATTTTGAGTTTTAGTGGGACCTATAGGGAGTTTATAAGGGCCTTCTAAAGGGATTCTTAAAAAACCCTTTTAGAACCACTTAAAAGCCCCCTAGGATCGAAGGGCGCAACGCGTTTCTTTCTTTTCGCCTCGTTTCCTAAGATTATAAAAAATCTCTTTTCCCGAATATCTCACAGTGTTCCCAAACAGGCGGCAGATGTGGTCATTGGGCGTGGCTGTATGCAATGGGGGCGCGGCTTATTGCAATAGTGGCGCGACATTGAGAGCCGATTGTGCATTTACTGGATGAAAACATAGCGTTGAATAGTGTTTTTCAAGGCTCCCTTGAACTTTTATAGTAGTTTTAATATAGTCTGTTAACCGTTTTCTGCAAACTTCTTATAATGGGTCCGAAATGACCATTTAAGGGGTCCTATATGGGGCGCAATAGGGGGTTCTTTAGTATACCTTTTTAGAGGGGCATTTTTCTTCCTATAGCTTTTCCTAGATGTACACCTCAAAATTAGTCTACTTTGGTCTATTTTTTCTTCGCTTCCTTATTTTTTTTCGCTTTTTAGGTTGTCCCAATGGAGGAACTCCACAACGCGACCATTCTGGAATGGTTATGGTCTGCGGAACTCAGCAGGTTACTTACTTTTTTGCAAAGTTACATTTTTCACAGTTTTTTTAGCGGATTCTTGAAAAATTAAGGTTGAAAATGTTGAATTTTTGATTTTTCATAGGTTTATTAATATATTTAGAAAAATATATCAAGAAAAAAGGATTTTTTAGACCTGTCCCGACAGCCATGAATGCGTGCCGGTGTTGGTTGGAGCTTCAATGATCAATCGGTGTTGTCCGACGAGAGGTAAAAATATATATTTCAAATTTTGAGCTTAGAGAACCATAGGAACTTCACGAATTCTCAAAGAATACATCCATTTTCAAAAAACGAAAAATGGAAAAGTAGAATTTTTGTGTTTTACTGGGAAAATTTTTAGTGCCAACTATAGAGGCTCCACAAGGACTACTTGGAGAGGACACTAAAGTGGCCACTATTTTCCGTTTTAGTGGTCACTATGGAGGTTCTCTATTGAGTGGCCACTTCAGTAGTTTTTCCTTGGAGTATTCCTTCCAGTAACTCTGATAATTTTTTAACAAACAGATTGAACCAGTTATGTTGATCCATTGACCCCTAAAGTGGCCACTAAAATTTTTAGTGGTCTAGTAGTAAATCATAAATTTTTTCGTTTTTCATGAAATTTTTTCCAGCTTACATGTGTGGTCTACCTCCACAGCAAGGAACTCAGTGTGGAACGAATTTTGTTACGAGGTAAATTTTTCAAATTCAACTTTTCCTAGCCCTTCAACACCATATAATCTGTTTGGGAACGAAATGAAAATTGATTGATTAGAAAATTTTCAAAATTTTGAAAAACAAGCCAATGAAGTCGAAAAAACTGAGATATTACTAATGAAAATTTGAAATTTGAAAATTTCCAGGTACTATTTCAACATTGTCACTGGCCAGTGTACTTCGTTCCAATTTGGCGGTTGTGATGGAAATCAGAATAATTTCCTCACGATCCAGCAATGCCGGAATTTCTGTATGAGCAATTGTGAGTTTAAAAAAATATAAAGATTTCGAATTCATGAAAAAAAAAAATTAATATTGAAGTTTGTTGAAATATTCATTTTTTTTTATCAATTATTCGTTGAGTAAGAAGGTGTAAGCCATATTTTTTTGGACCTTAAAGGCGTTTTTTTGACAAACGAATCGTGTTTTATGGATTTTTAGGCTTGTATACTCTATATTTGACAGGAACTGGTTATTTTTGGGAGGATTTTAAAATAAATTGCAGCCCCCCCCCCCCATGCCTCAGTCTTGGGGGGAGAGGGGGGGGGGGGTGGTCGCTTGTTTGAGCGTGGGGACGCATTCTGGGCTTTTCCCCAGCTTGGGACTGCTTTTGGGACTGCCAATTTTTCGGGCCAAAATTTGGCTGTCCCAACTTTAGTTTCACTTCATTTGCATATAGAAACATTTTCATGTTTTCAAGTCCAACTGAATATTTGCACAGTTTCTAGTTTTATTTCAAATTTAAGCCTGTCCTGCTGGCAACGTCGCCTACGTTGATCCCAACTCCCAGATGCCCATCAACTGCAACGAGGTCGGGTTTGGAGCTCATTTCATTGATTTATCACTGGAAAAAGCAATCAGTTTTGAAAAGAAATTTTCATTACAGGCCCTCAGCAACAGCTGCCCTACTGGATACACGTGTACTTTCAACGCACTTATCAATAATCACGTCTGCTGTGGCGCTACTGATTTGGGTGAGGATTATTAGGAAATCAGGAATCAACTGAAAACTACCCATTTGTGAAAAAATAACTTGAAAAAAGATAGAAACAAATTCAAGTAGATGAAACTTCAAGGGAAAATCAGCAAACAATTCAGGAATTTGTATTGAAAAATCGACATTGTTTTCAGCCAAGTTAGCATTTTTCACTTATATTTTCACTTACTAGGAAACGTTTTTTGCCTTTTTTTTTGTAATAGATCTCGTTTTCGAGTTGTGAACCTTTAAAGTGTGCAAAATACGCAAATTAGGCCAGAAATGCGCTATTTTAAGCTTTTGAAGCATCCTAACTCGAGAAGCAGATTTATTGCGAGAAATTTTTTTCTTGTTCTGCAATCAGGAGGTCCTAAAGCGCACTTCAGCAAATATTCAGCAAATTTCAACCGGGGGGGGAAGTATAAAACGTTCTCTGGTTAGGTTCAAAAAAAGTTTTTATTCAGTGAGGAAAATATCCGATTAAATGAGTCTTTTTATTTTTTCAAAGCTAATATGCAGCACGCTGTATCCGAAATTGTCTCTTTTATCGATTATTTGATATATTTGGTTTCAAAAAATCTTTTTTTGAAGCTTCAAAGCCACTTTTAGGTCTGAAAATTCAGGTAAAAGTCGATTTTTCTGGAAGAAAATCGAGAATTTTATTGAATTTAAGGGGGCCATAACCTTGAATATTTTTTAAACTTCAGGAGTCTGTCCGGATGGCGAGAAAGCTTTCATCGACACGATCGACATGTCGCCTCGGGAATGTTTGATCAATATTGAGGCTTCTTGTCCTGCTAACTATCTCTGTCGGTTCGTTTTCGAAATTAAGCTGATTAGATTCAAATTTTGAACTTTTCAGCTTCAACATGCAGAAGAACAAGTATTACTGTTGCTCTAGTGTTGGCGGAAGTGAGTTTTGTATTTTTTTAAAGGTTGAAAAATTTTTTTCCAGAAACTTGTCCGGTTGGAAAGTTCCTGTTCAAAGATCTACGGACTCAACAGGTAATTTAGCATGAAAAAAAACTTTTATAATGAATATTTGAAAATTCTTAGCCGATCCGATGTACTATTGGCCGAAACGATCAATGTCCCGACAGTTATACCTGCCAAAGTTACCTGCCTCAGGCCTTCCAGGGCTTCTGTTGTACAGCAAATCGTGTGTTTTTTGGTGGTTTCCTCGTTGAAAATAATGGAAACTAAAAAATTTTCACAGATAAATGAGTCGATAAAAAAGCCCAAAAGCTCTATCGGAAAACGTAGGAGTTAAAAGACTTTGTTTTGAAAAGTCTTGGCTCTAGATTCAAAAGAACTTTGAACAAGGTCACCATGAGAAAAAAAAAGAGGAAAACGTCAGAGAAAATTTTTTATTTATGGGGTTCCGTGAAGGGTCAGTACGTAACGAGAAGTAACCACGTACTAAACTCTATCATACGCGCAAAGTTTTTTTTGGAGTTTCAATTTCTTTAGTTCTGGTTTTGCCCTATTCCGCAGATCTTTGCAATGTTCTTAATTTTGAAGTTTGTTCAGAAGTCCTTGATGAGGTTTTTCAACAAAAGTTTGCAAAAAAATTTTCACGAGTTTGAGGCGGGGAGCTGTTTTAAGAACTTTTTTCGGCCTTGTGAGTCTTTTGCGCTTTTAAAACTTATCAGCGAGGTATCTTAGCGCAATATTGTTATTTTTTTCACATTTGTTTATAAAATGATATTATTTCAGCGGTATGTCCGGATGATGCCGAATATTTGCTGGATGATCAATCCCAACAACCAAGAGCCTGTACGATGGGAACTTTTGTCTCTTGTCCCAATGGCTATGTTTGCAGGTGGAAATTCGAACCTTTGTATTTTTCTCCGTATGTAGTGGATATTAACGTCTTCTTTCTTGAATATTTTCTGTTTTCGAATCGATCTGATTAAAAAATCCTTTCGAAAATGATTTACTTAGGTCCGCTACATCGAACACTGAAGGATTTTGTTGCAAGACGGGAACAACGGCATTGCCACCTTCTGTTACAGGTAACGGTAAAATCAAGTAAAATAGTTCAATCTTTAAGGTCTTTGTATCGAAAAAATTCAAAAAGACTTACGAAAATGGTTGGAAAAAAAAAGTTCAGACGGCTGCCCGCCTGGAAACTACGTCTACTTGGTTGGCGGAGAAATCGCTCAATGTGATCCATTTAATCCGCCAAATGCGCCGTGTCCTGGAGGATTTACCTGTCAATGGTCTACCTCTAATCAGAGGTATCTTTACCTTGTTTTTCAGGACGCAAGTTTGAAAATAGAAAGAAAATAACGACTGGGATAATTTTGAAGGTTGATAGGTTGTTCAATGACAGCTTTTCCTTGTGTATGAATTTGATCATTAATAATTGGAATTTCAAAGTTCAGAAATTAAGCTTAACAGTGAGATTTACAAAAGTTATGACGAAGGATAATCGTTCTGCCGTTTGAGACACGAATTAAAAAATATATGATTCATTGCTTTGAGCTGTTTTCACTGTGATAAATAGAAAAGTTGAGATTCATAAAACTCAGAAAATAATATTTTTAGGTATCAATGCTGTGGCTCCAATCCAGCACCGCCCCCACAACGAATTAGTAAGTTCAGGAAATAAAAACAGAAATTTAACGAAGCAATACCAAAAAAAAAAAGATTTTTCATGAAATTAAGTAAATATTTTGTCCTGTAACTATGGGCTTGAGGAAGGCAATGTCTGTGTCTCCACAAATTAAATACTGTTTTTTAAAACTCGCGTCATGACTTTTTTTTTCGAGAACTGAAGCCAGCTATGATTCCATCATATGGTGTTTTTAATTTCTACAAAAAACGTTGGGACTGCCAATTTTAGCTCTGAAAGTTTGGGACTGCCAATTTTGAGCTCTGAAAGCTTGGGACTGCTAACTTCAAGCTCTAAAAGAGTTGGATTGTCATTTTTGAGCTCTGAAAAAGTTGGGACTGCCAATTTAAAACTTGAAAATCTTGAGAATACCATTTTTGATTTTGAAAAAGTTGGGACTGCCAATTTAAAACTTGAAAATCTTGAGAATACCATTTTTGATCTTGAAAAAGTTGGGACTGCCAATTTAAAACTTGAAAATCTTGAGACTACCATTTTTAATCTTGAAAAAGTTGGGACTGCCAATTTTCAAGAAACAGATAGAAATGTATGGGCTCTTTATCAAATACTCTGTCTTTCATCGTTTCAAGACGCTTTTTCGACGTCTCAAGGCAACCGGGATCGGTTTCATCAATTAAGGGCCTTAAAGACCAAAAAACTCAAGAAAAAAAGAAATTATCTTGTCTTAATAATCTTAAGGAAAATTCATTTTGATTTCGACGTTTTTTTCTCATTTCTATATCGATCGGAAACCATTTCCTAGTCCTGAATGGGCAGAGGAAGACTTTTAGATCAACCAGATGGAATAAAACGAGTATTTCAATCAATTTTTAAAAAAATTTCCAAGCTTTTTAAGCCCTAAATTAGCTGCCTTATTTTCGATAGATCCTTTAGGTTTAACAGTTTGAAAAATTCAGACCAGTTTTCAGAAAATTTCGAAAGAATAATATCTTTTCGAGCCCAAAACTGACCATTTTTGTTTTTGATAAAACACGTAGTGTTTATTGAAACTACGGAACTTTTTCTTGAAATTCATGAAATATTCAACAGACGACGGATGTCCGAACGCCCAAGTCGCCTTCCGAGACCTCGACACGGTTCGAGTGTGCAGCGCCGGCGCCACAAACTGTCCTCCGGGATATTTCTGCCAATTCTCCACCATGAACAACCAGTTCCAGTGCTGTGGCGTCAGTGGAGGTGCTGGATTTTGACTTGAAGAAATGCTGAAAATAGGGTCACGGATAAGCTATATCTATCGTTTGAATAGATATTTATTTGGCAAAGCAAGAATCATACATGGGATAAGCATGACTGGCGACAGCCAAGTCCCCCCACAAGAGAATTTTTTTATTTTTTTATACATGCATTTTTTTGATTTTTAAGATCGGCCGGCTAGCGCGCTCCCTCAAAAATTTTTTTATCACGGTTTTTTTATCGACCCCCCTTTAGGTCCCACCGAGACTATCCCATGTATGACATGAGTTGAGAAAACAAGATCGCAAATTTCAAGATATTCGATCCATTTTTTAAAATAAAAGCATGTTTTTCTTCAAAAAGGATCGCGGTCAAGTTTGTGCCAATGGGAGGTTCAATTTCAGTGATAACCCAGAGACTCCGGACCGCTTCCTGTCCCTTTCCATTCTTTCCTGGTTTGTATAGACGGCCGGAGAGATGCGCCCGACTCTAACCGACTTTTGCAATGTTTCGTAACACCATGACAAACAACTGAAATCGATCTTCGTGGGGGTCGGGCGCAAAAACGCGGCCGTCTATATAAACTAGGAAAGTGCTGATAGGAAGAGAAGCGGTCCGAAGTCAGTGGGTTACCAAACTGAAAAAGTCGCAGCCGGCTTGCCGATCCTGTGCAACCCCTATCCATTGGCACCACTTGACCGTTTTTTTTTTGGGTTTTTTGAACCCTTGAAAAAGATCAAAGAGATTTTTTTTTTCAAAATTGATGATAGAACTTTTAATAAACAAAAAATGAGAAGAAAAATATTAATTCGATAGAAAATTCTCTAACTTTCTTCAGGCTGTCCTGATGAGTCGGTGGCGTTTGTTGGCATGTCTGGAGAGCCGGAAAAATGTGTTGTTGGTGAGTTAAAATTTTTTCAGGAGGCATTAGTTTGAAAAGAAAAGCTTTTTTTCTTTGCAGTAAAGTCCATTAAAACTGGTTTTTTGAGATTGTTAGTTATTTTAAACTAGAAAAATGATCATCCCCAGACTGATATCAGAAAAAAATAAGCGATTTTCAAGTTCTGAAAAAAATAAATTTTTTTGAAGAAAAGGATGAAAAGCATTTTTTTCCCTATTTGTCATCAAAAAAATCAATTTTTTTAGGGCAATCAGAATTGTCCAAGAGGATTCGCTTGCCAGAGAGCCCTGGGCGGTTATCATGTCTGTTGTACCGTTAAACAAGGTTTTTTTTATTGATTTTATCATTTTTCATTATTTTTTTCTATTTTCCAGTGGCTTGCGGCAATGATGAAGTTTCCATCGATGGAAAGTGTCATGAGCAGGTTATTTTTTCGATTTTATTTCAGGGTATTTGATGAAAATAATATAATCATCCAAAAGGCGAAAATAATTAATAAGGTCAAGAACCGGTTTAGGTCGCTCTATTTCAAAAAAGACATATAAATTCATCAAAAATCCAAATTTCATTATTACCAGCAGCTTTCCTCAAGTGGTAATAAAAATTGGGTTTCAATCAAATCAGATTTTTTCAAAGGTTAGTAGAGTTGATCTTGGTGACCTCTAAAGAGAGATATTGAAAGCATTTTAGAGCAAAATTTGGATTTTTTGAAGGTCTTGAACTTTTTAACATAGATCCGGAGCCAGTGTGAAAAACTGCACCTAGTGAGTTTACTATTTTTTTAAAAGCACTGTGAATTTTGATTATTTCATTCTGACATATGTGAACCTTTCACTATGAAGTTTGGAATTTCCTCGTAGGATGCTCAAAAAATCCTCTCTTTTTTTCAAAATTGGACTTTTTTGATCGCTACCTGCGCCAAGATTTAGTTTTTCATATGAGAAGTTTCAAAAATCGCATTTGGCCCAATATTCAGTTCGAAACGCATTTTTCACAACTTCAGAAGCTGCGCGAGACCTTTCTCTAGACTTTCAGAGTATAATTCGGTTAATTTTTCAAAGATTTCAAATTGCACATTTGAATGACCTTGTTGTGAGAACAGTTCAAACACAACACGAAACGTGTTGACCCTGGTATTGCGAAATAATTTGCAAGACGGTTAGAGTCGGGCGCAAGTTTATGGGCGCCTATATAAACAGGGAAAGGCCTGACTTCGATAGGAAGCGGTCCGAAGTCAGAAGGGTATCATCACGACAAGTACTGTCCAGCTGCGAACTCCCCATGACGCCTCCTTGACCGCTTCTTTGGGCAATTTTAGTTTCGAAACGGAGCTTTTGTTACATGAATTTGCAGTAGATTTCCAAAGTTATTTTGATATCTTTTTTGGGTTTTCTATGAATATTGATTTTCAAACCACAGAGTAGGATCGTAAGAAAATTCATTGGAAAGAAAAAAAGGCAAATTTTTTGTACTAAAAAGCTTCTAACCAACAGAAGGATTTCTAATTTTGAAAAATTCATAAAATCGTATTTATCTGATATCTCTCGTTTCGAGGTATTATTTCAGCTTTTCTAAAATCTGGCCGGTGAGAAAAAAAAGGCTCGAACACTGTTAATCGAATAAAAAAGTTTATACAGGAAAAATGTGAAAAAAAAATACTTGAAATTTTATTTGACCCTTTTAAGGAGTTAAAAAGCTTTTTAAAAAGGGTAAAGAATGAAAAAAATCCGCAGTAAACAGAAGATTGTAAAGACCAGAGGGCTTTTTTATATGAGAAAAGTAAGAAAAATGGGCTTTTAAAATACATTTTTCTCTTTTCCAGGGATTTGAAAAATATCGAAGAGTTCCCTGAACATTTTTTAGGATAAAAACGTTGGAGATTTTACCATTTTTGATAAATTTCGAAAGCGTTTTCTTGATTTTATTCATGCAATCAATATCTTCAATTAAAAATTGAAAAGACCTGTAATTTTCAAGGTCGGACCAGGAAAACCGTGTCTGGCGTCGGAACAATGCACTGGCGGATCGATTTGCCAGGAAAACCTATGCGAATGTGTCTTGCCGACGAAGTTGGTTGGAGGGTTCTGCCAGGAAGAAATCGGTTATTAATAAAGTGTCACTTTTGTGTAAGATTCGAAACTTTCAGAATGCTCCGAACATCAAGTCCTCCACAACGGACTCTGCCATAATAAAGTCCGACTCGGAGAACCTTGTCTGACTATTGCTCAGTGTCAAGAAGGTGAGGAATGAATAAACACTGAAAAAAAAATGATTGAAAAGCCGTTTTGCAGAGCTTTAGGTTGATTTATGGCAAAAATTTGGAGAAATTAGGGATTAATAGATTTTTAAAAAACAGTCAAAAAGGGTGAGATATGAGCTTCAGGACTTTTTAAAACCCTGTTAAGTATGAAAAAGGTGAGAAAGAGGGTCAGAAAGAATAAAATCAAATAGTTTGCATCTAAAATTGGTTGAATATTTTAGGAAAATAATGAGATTAAATTGATCAAGCTTTTTTTCTCAGTGCAAAGCTGCTCTATCGAAAGAAAGTCAGGCAAACTATTTGATTAGAAGGAAACATGAGGTGTTGCCAGAAAGTACACAATGAACTAACTTTAAAATAAACGAAGCTTTGGAAAATCATATCTGGGCTCCTAAACTTTTTGAGAAATATTGATGGCTTTTTTCGTTGAACAAGGACTACATACCCTCCAAATATCAGCTCAATCAAAGACATCAAAATTTTCGACTTTGATGGCCCATAACTTTTTTCAAAAGCCTCTAGGGCAGTTTTTGATGCCAGATTTGGAATCAGCATGAAAAACTACATCTAGTAAACTTGGCCTGATTCAGATGTCCCACTGCGAATGGAGACCATTCTCTAGTGAGATTATAAATTTGAGAAAAAATTAAACTCGATGAACCGTTTAGAATAGAGTAAGATGATTTTAAGTTGCTCTATGGCTAAATGAGATTTTTCACATTTTTAAAAAAAAATTTCAGGAGCCGGATGCGTCGATGGCATGTGTGAGTGCAAAAAAGGACTTGTGGAGAAAGCTGGAAAATGTATCTCGCCTCAAGTTGCCGCCAAGCCGGCTCAACCCAAAGTCATCACCTCTACAATCACCAGCCAGAATAAATGTGAGCAAAAAAGGATGGGCCGAACCGGGGATTGAACCCGGGACCTCTCGCACCCAAAGCGAGAATCATACCACTAGACCATTCGGCCGACGAAAATTTGTCCCAAATTTTCCAAGGAAAAGGTGTTTCTCCGATGCTTTGCCCCTGGAAGGAGGCCTAGAAACTGGATTTTTGTCCGATTTCTGCGCGGAACATGGTCAGAGATAAAAGCGCAGAAACTATTTCAGTGATCCCTCGAGTGTTTTTAACTTTTAATAGAGCTTATTAATTTGTTAAATATTTTTGTACCACGAGAACAAGTTGGTTCCAGAGTATCATATTCAAAAATTAAAATATTTTGTCAATTCTTCAAAATTGTCAAGCTTAATTGTGAAAAAACAAAAAAAGAATGGGCCGAACCGGGGATTGAACCCGGGACCTCTCGCACCCAAAGCGAGAATCATACCACTAGACCATTCGGCCGACGAAGATTTGTCCCAAATTTTCCAAGGAAAAGGTGTTTCTCCGATGCTTTTTTCCTGGAAGGGGGCCTAGAAACTGGATTTTTGTCCGATTTTGGCTTCGGCGATAGTTCAGAGACCAAGAGGTGTATAGGAATACCTTCATTTTTACCTACAGCAATTTAAGATCAAAGAAGAGAGTTATCAAGTTGCAAAGGTTGAAAACATTCGTTTTAAATTTTTTTTTTCCCCTAAAAACGTTTGAAATTTTTTTGAAAAATCTTTCCTCTCTGAATTCCTATTAGTTTTAATCATTTTTCCTTTTTCCATCCAATCATTTGTCTTTCTTGGGTTGAAAATTTCAACTATATTTCTCATTTTGCAATAAAATCAAGCTTTTATGAAAGCCACAGAAAAAAAGCAAAAAATGTTGGGCCGAACCGGGGATTGAACCCGGGACCTCTCGCACCCAAAGCGAGAATCATACCACTAGACCATTCGGCCGACGAGGGTCGCCGCCGTCGCCTCGAGGCAAATAGCCGGTGTGCGCTGTTGACAAATAGGAAGAATTGCGAATTAAATTTAGAAATTTTTGAATTTCGTAGCTTTAGAGATTGTATTATTAAATGTATCAAGGTGAAGAGTTGTATGAAATTTTAAAAAAATCCAGAAGAGGGTGATCATTTTTATTTCGAATACTTTTCAAATGATGATCTTGAAATGATTGAATTATTGATAGAACTGTCTTGTCTGAAAATTTTGATTTAAAAACGTAGTATTTTTTGTCTCGGAGGCAATCCTGAGTGACCTTCGGAAATTCTGACAACAAGTTTTGAAGCCGGTTCCGTACTTTTTCTAATTAAAAAAGGTGCAAAAAAAGCGGTCAATTGGTGCCAATGGATGGGGGTTGCACAGGGTCGGCAAGCCGGCTGCGACTTTTTTCAATTGGGTAACCCACTGACTTCGGACCGCTTCTCTTCCTATCAGCACTTTCCTGGTTTATATAGGCGGCCGCGTTTTTGCGCCCGACCCCCACGGAGATCGATTCCAGGTGTTTGTCATGGTATTACGAAACATTGCACTAGTCGGTTGGAGTCGGGCGCGCCCTTCAGGCCGCCTATATAAACCAGGAAAGAATGGAAAGGGACAGGAAGCGGTCCGGAGTCTCTGGGTTATCACTGAAATTGAACCTCCCATTGGCACAAACTTGACTGCGATCCTTTTGAAGTGAGATATGATCGACTTGAGTTTTTTTTTTTCAATGATAGAGTTGAAGCGATTCTCTTGAAAATAGGCATTTGTTTTATTTTTGTTATAAATTTATTTTTTTAGTATGGTTCTTCCCATTGGCTGGCCATTTCCGATCACGATCAAAATTCAGTTCACTGTCATCCATGTTTCAGAGAGAAAAAAGTTGAGAACGGCTACAGATGGGGTCGGGGATCCCGTGAAAAAAGCCGAGTAGGCCATTTTCAGACCAAATTTGGTTTTCAAACGAAACTTCGAGGTCATGGTCAACCTGAAACCATTCCAAGTCGCATTGAGAATCAACAATAAAGATATATGAATGATCTGGAAACAGAGCTTGAAATGAATCTTCAAAGAAACTGCTGTCAGACATCATGGACTTCACCCATTGTCGCCGCAAGACCACGATTGTGCGCCTTCGGAGCGATTTTGCAAAATGATAGCCCACCTAAAATTTTTCAAACTGGTATCAGCTTGTAGAGCTTCTCAAAAAATATCTAGTGAGGAGCTAGGAAGCATGAATTTCCCGGCTCAACCTCATGGTAGCCGAAAAACTATCTCGGCAGACACAAAAAGTACCGTAACTCAAATTTTTTCCACAGTAACCCATTATGTTATGTACTGTAAAAATTCTCGAAATTGCATTACCTATCGATTGATATACATCATGCCTGGTGAAATTTCATATTTCCCTAGATACGCAGGTGCCCACCTGCCTACCGTAACCCGGCTACAATAAAAGGAATTGACTCAAAAAACTGCGTCCGCAATTCTGATGACTTACAGTCATACTGGGTGAAGTCTCAAAATACTTTTTTTTAAAATTGTACCCGTTGTTTTTGAGAATTACAGAGTCAGCGTGTTAAAAAGTAACTTATGCGAAATAATGCACAAGTCGGTTGAAGTCGGGCGCACCGTTTTGACCCTCTATATAAACAAGAAATGAGTTTAATTGAACAGGAGCGGTCCGAAGCCTTTGGGTTATCGCCACTATGAACATCCATTGACGTAACCATGACCGCGATCCTTTTTGTAGTTATGAAGTTACTTGATTTTTTTCAACTCCCGTACCTAGGAAATAACGAAAATATTTTTTTCATACGTTTATATTTTCACTATAATTCTTCTCACCAGCTGTCCAGTTATGGATATCTGATTCACAAAATATTTCTCTTTCCTAAAAAATAGAAAAGAGGTGAAGATTTTGAAGCAAATTACGAATATAGATATATTCAGTTTTCGGAGAAGATTTTCTACTGAATTATGAAATAATTAAAGAATTTTTGACGGTTTTCGAAACTGTCTTTGATCAAAACGGCGTGTAGAACATCTATTTTTTTCTGATGATAGTGGTAGAAAAAGTTTGATCAGCTACTTCTCCATGGAGAAACAGTTCGGCGACCAGCTGGTCCTGACAGGTTTATTATTTTTTTTTCCTCAGACGAGAGCGGAAAGAGAACCGACCACTCCGCGTATAGAAATGAGATAATAATAATAAAACTTTTGATAACGGATAAGAAAAAAAAAATGCAAAAGTCGGTTGAAGTCGGGCGCACCGTTTAGGTCGTCTATATAAATTAGAAATGAGTTCGAACAGGAGCGGTCCGAAGTCTTTGGGTTATTGCTACGCTACTATGAACATCCCATTGACGCAAACTTGACCGCTCTTTTTTCCTTTTTGAAGTATAATTGAATAGAATTTAAGAATCTCCGAAAATTCCTGTCACTTTTTTTGCGTTGATGGGGTCCTTAAAAATCAAAAATATTGCCAAAAAAGGAATTTTATCAATATTTTTCAGTGGCGACAGCCTCGTGCTCGAAACCTGGCTGGAAACCGTTGCGAGACGCGGAAACTCAGAGGGCCGTCCATTGTAGTCCCATTGGAAAAGGATGCCCAGCTGGCCATGAATGTCAGATCAACAGCAGGAGAACTCAGTACTTCTGCTGTACTTCTGGAGGCGGCGGCACGGCTACCGAGAAGGCCAACGCCAAGAAAGGAGCTGGTAATGGTTTTTCTTTGTATTTACAGTGTTAGGGTTAGAGAAGCTGACAAAAAAAAATGCGAAATGTGTTGGTAGAGTAGCAGGCTTGTATGAGGCCTCGCCCGTCAGCCGATCCCCCGGGCCACTTTCTAAGTCCCCGCCCCTTATTTTTTACGGCAAAAAGACCGCACAGCCTGTAGAATGAACTTCTTTCTGGATAATGCGCTCCACCGATAACAGTACCTAAAGACTGAATTAGAGTTTATTTACTACTTTTTTCCTATTCCCTTTTTCCTTGAGCAAAAAACATAATTACCTTTTATGTACAGTATAAAAATACAAATCACTTCTACCGTATTTTTTGAGATATCCTTTACAAATTTTTCACCAAATTCACCCTCATAAAATATACATTAAAATTCTTGAACATATAAGAGGAAAACTCGATCCAATAAAAAAGGACTGAAGTCAACGAATATCGGATACTGTTATCCGTGGAGCGCAAAAGGCGCACGAATTTCCGCCAATGAAAGTTTTTCGCTGCCTCGTTTTTTCTCAATCGATACGTATTTCCGCGCACCAATTATGCAATTTGATACAGAATTTTCTCACTCTGAATTTTCGATAACTTGCAACGAACGACATTACAGTATGCCCCTACGGTCGGATACCGTACCTGCTCAATGGAAGTCCGCTAAAGTGCACCGCGGCCCGCTGCCCCAAGGGCTACGAATGCACCTACCGTAACCAGGATTATCACTGTTGCTCTTCGATTGACGGCGATAGCCAACTTGGGTCAACGACGGCTGTTTCTGGATTGGCCGGAGGCCAGAAAGGTGATAAAAAAAATGAAATTTTTCAGAGAAACTTTTTTTTTATTGTGATCTTGTTTAGTATTTGAAGCTTATGAAATTTCGAAGTAGAAAATTGAGCCTCAAGGCTTACAACTCATCTTCAAAGATTTTAATCCAGCTCAAAGGTTGTTCCGAAGCTTGAATTTTCCTGGAGTAGCTTCAGGATTAAATTTCATAAAGAAGCTTGTAAATTTTCATTTTTTTTTTTTGAAGGTCCAAACTTAGCTAAGAAGTTGATCATTTTACCTGAGAACTTTTGATTAAATTACCTTATCCGGTACTCGTATTTTTTTGCTGATTTCTGTTCAAAGCGCAGTTGTTATAGAATTTTAGGTATATATTTTCCCGAATTCAAAGGACTTTTCCAGCCACTCCATCACCCTTGATGGACCAGTGTCACCGAGGAAAGCCGCTCATTTATCCAACGACAAAAAAACGCCAGTTTTGTGCCAACCTGGACATCGCGGCTGTCCCGCTGGGTAATTTTATCTTGTTCAATTATTTTTTTAACTGTCTTGTTATCAAGTTGTCTTTTTATTTGGCCGCAACAGTCCTTAAGCAGTTAGAAATAACATTCAGAGGAACGAAGATGTAAAATAGAATATTTTACTTGTTAGGTATTTTTCTTGGAACCTACACATAAGCTTTTGAGAAAAATGCGTTGACTGCCCATTAACTTTATTGCATTGAACTGGACCCTGAAGACGTTAGGGTTTCCGAAATAAGCTTGGAAATCCCGGAATCACCTGGTGGGAAGCTAGAATCTAGAGCTATTGTAAAAGTCCGTCCTTTTCTGTTTCGCAAGGGCTTCTGGGACGATCTTGAGGTTTTTAGGCGAGTTTAGCTCAAAATTTTGATACTTGAGAGCGAAATTTTGGTTGACCTCGAAGGGAGTCGAACCAGAAATTTTCCCACGTCAGACGTCAGCTTTTACTTCTTAGTGACTGCACATATCTATACAAAAACTGTTTTTTCGATGGCAACCTTGTAGGAACAGCGCTAGGATAATGAAAGTTTGACTCTGGGGGTTATTTTGTGCTCTGAATCGAGTGACACTCGCAGATTTTTGATATCTTCACACATTTTTGCCAGAAAGTCCAAAAATCGAGGGGGGTGTCCTATCCTTGTTGGAAGCAGTGTATAGATGCGCAATTAAGCACCGGTTACTCGTTCATTCTTTCTAAAATTGACTTGAAACAGATTATAAATGTATTTTTAGATTCGTCTGCACGAAGAGTCCAACGACGCCCTATCACATCTGCTGTTCTTCAAGACTCAGTGATCGGCCGGGTTATGGGGCTTTCGGAGGCCTCAGTCCACCTGCGGGTACCTTTTTTTCAAATATTCAGAGGCTAATTAAGAAAGAAAAAAATCAAAATTGAGTTTTTTTCATGTATGAGAAAAGTCGAGAGAATGGTTCAACTTCAGATTTTTTTAAAAAAATAAGCATTTTTTTAAAAAAATTGTTCTGAAAAAGTTCGTTTGATTAGAAATTTGGTCTGAAAAGTTTATTTGGTCAGAATTTTTGGCCTTAAAGGTTCATTTGGTCAAAAATTCGGTCTAAAAGGTTTTTTTTTTTGGTTAGAAATTTGGTCTGAAAAAATTATTTGGTCAGAAATTTGGCCTGAACGGTTCATTTGGCCAGTTATTCTGGAGTCAGGGCTAGATAAATCGAAAAATCGAAAAATTCGGTATAACTTAGACTCGACAAGAATACTGAAATTATACAGTAATAAAGGTGATGTCCAACTGTCCTTTGTTTAAAAACCTAATTGTTTGATCTATTAGTTTTTTTTCCTCCAGAAATTTGTGTAATTTCTAGCCGTAAATCCCTGCGAAGGCTTCATGGTCCTGGTGAGCCGGATCGTCGATGGACGGATCGAAAAACGATGCGGTTTGTTTCGAAATTCTAATTTAAAAAAGGGATGTTGAAAAATGGATTTTCGAACTTCTAATAACGAGTTTGAACTAAAATTTGATTCAAAAGTTTTTTTTCTTTGAATTTGTTATAGTTTTGAGGAAAGCCGATCACCATAACTTTTTGTGAATTTTTCATTTTTTTCAGAACGAAGCTGTCCATACCCTCAAATACCGATCGGAGGCGTATGCTACGAAATGAAGAAGAATATTTAAATTTTTAATCGCATATTCTAGTTTTTTTCTTGTCAATTCGAAACATTTTCTGTTCCCATATATCCTTTTTTGTACTTGTAGGTTTTTTTCAGAGAGATTGGGCTGTCGAATTTAGGTTTAAAGCGATTTTGAAGAGCTGTACCGTATAATATTATTATGTAAAATCAAATCTCTGAACCTTTATTAGGTAGCTAAGAACTTTAGGGACTCGAAAATTGAATAGGAAGGTTTATTTTTTTTTTGCTATTTTGAGACCTTTAAATCTTCAAATTGACTTCTAACATAATTTCAAGAGGCCAGCAAGTTTGAGAAGCTTTTAAAATTGAAAAAAATTATTTTTAAATTTTTTTGGTAATGGAATTTTCATTGGTTTCCAAAAAAATTGAGGGAGATCCCGGTTTTTCTTCAAGTTTCTAGCAACTTTTGGGCCAATTTGAAATTCAAAATGAACGTCTGTACTTTAGGCTGAACGCTTTGAAACATAGGAATCGAAGAAAATTACCCAATTATTGCTTTTTTGAAAGTTTGAGTCTTTTCCTAACTTCTGATCAGAAGCGATTAGAAAGCCAAATCTTTGAAGCTCTAAATTTTTCCAAAAAATAATTTTTTTGAGGTCCCCTTTCCCTAACGATAGTTGCTACGTGTAGCAGAAAGTCGTGAGCTCGTGAGACGGCTCATTTTGACAGATTCTTGGGTCGGAAGCACGAATTGTCTTACGTGAAAGGTCATAACGGCCTTTTGGCGACGATTTGACAGCTCTGACCATCAAACAGTCGCCGCGTGGCCACACCTCCACGCCGGACTTCCTCCTCGGAACTCCGTCCGTGTCGGCTGTTCATTTCTCCCTCATTTCAATAGTCTTTTTGAATCATCCTTATGCTTTTTAAGCTTCTAGGGGATCTTGAGAGGGAACTAGGGCCATTTTCTCATAGATACTGAGATTTGGTTTCAGTTTTAATGACTTTTCTTGAAGCTTCTTGACTTTTGATTAGGATGTACTACTGATATATTTTATCTTCTAGTGGTCGAATATTCTTGAAGCTTTTTTGAGCCTCCAGGTTACTTTTATGAAGTTGCATTTTAATTTATTTCACTTTTAATTATTATTTTTTCTTCCTTTAGGGTATTAGGTCGGTTTCTTCGAGACTTTTCTTCAACTTCAATCTTCTTCTTCTTACGCCTTTGTACCGCTTGAGCGGTGTCGGCGCCCCAAGTCGATGAGCCGAGGTCCTATCCTGATATCAGTGGACTGGCTCCAGTGACATATCCGCCCTCGTGTGTGACGGCTGGGGATTTTGAAGTCGTGGTTTCCCACTACCAACATTTCTTATGCCGTGTTCAAAGTAATTTCCGCGAAATGCAAAATGATCTCTGACTCTCCAAAATTTAGTGATCTTTTCCTTTCTCTAACGGGTATTTTGCATTTCGCGGAAATTACTTTGAACACGGCATAAAACCCTTGGTTGGGTCGGGGCGGGGATCGAACTTGTGACCCTGTGGACCGTAGACAGGCACACAACCTGTTGCGCTACGGCGCGCCCCTTTCTTCAACTTGAATGAAAATTGAATATCGATTTATATAGATTCAATAATATATAAGTTCAATATTAGTATCTTTCCGAAGATCCTTGAGCTTTTAAGTACTCTTCAAGAGGGTTTTTTTTCAATTTATCATTTTTTGACCTGGTTTTATAATCTTTTGAAATGTTAAAGAAGGTTTTGAGGAAGTCAGTAGGTTTTATGGAACTTTATGTTTTTTTTTTCTGAATTTAAAAGAAATTTTGAACTATCTGTGAGGGTTCGTATAGATTTGTAGTGCTTCTAGTGCTACTTTTTGGAATTTGAACATCATTTTTCAAGCTTTTATGTCTCTCTAGTCGCTTTCCTGGATGATTTTTTGAATTTTCGAAAATTTTCAACTAAATCCTTGGTTTTTTTTTTTAGCTTTTTGCAGGATTCTGATTATTTTTTGTGAAACTCTTCATTTTTTTTCAAAATCTGCTTGCTTAGACCTTTTCTTGAACCTTAGACGATTTCAGAACTCGAAAAATAAATATCAAATTCGACAGCCCAAGCCTCATTTTCTTCATTATTTCTTCTTTTTTGCTCAAAATATATTTTTCTTATTGTATTTGTGCCCCTTTTTTGATATTTTTGCCAGAATTCCATCTCAATTTTTTTTTGTCTTTCACAGTCAAACTCGTCCATTTTTCCCTGTCTTTCGCGTTTTTTTTTTCATTTCAGTATTTGAATTTTTTTGTTTGAGCTTTTCCTGCTCCTCCTCAATGGCAGGAAAGCAGCAGTGGCTGCTGCTCACATCATTCTTGGCGCTTAGATGTGCAGGTTTGAGCCATTCCCTTTTTTTCTGTCCTATGTGGGATCGTATTGTTTTTCTGTAGGTACCATGTCACCAATCGTCTTTCAACAGTTATATATGATATAGCTCTTCGAGTTTTAATCTATTAATCGCTTTAATAAAGATATTTTTTCATTATTATTCAAGAAAAATTTTCAGGGTGTGTCATATTTTCAAGTTATTATTTGGAAGGTGTATCTTTTCAGGTCCTTTTTTTAAGTTTCAAATTTTTCGTGAGCTTCTTCTGATGATTGGAGGAGCGGAAAGCTTGGGCTTTTTCTTTGAATTTTTTTCGAATTTGAGAAAAAAAATGAGCAAATACAAGACTTGTTAGTATGTAGAAACTTTATAAAACGTAGGATTTTACACTATTTTTCTTTTAGAGAAATGTTTTTGAATATTAGAAGATAAAGACCAAATTTGGAACACCTCTGAGAAATACCTTTCAAAGGGACTCTGACAAGAAAAAAACCAGAATTATAATATTTTTTTGGTTTAATTTTTAAGATTGAAGTGTCCACCTACTGTAACAGTCTCACGCGAAAAAAATTCGCCTTTTTTTCCAAGTTTAAAAAAAAATTTTTTTCCCTATTTTTCTTTCATTCTGTAATCCTGTAGAAAGCTTCCCCCGCGCAATTAATGTAGAAAACCCCCCCAACTGCCATTAGGTCTTCAAAAATTGTTTTTCAAGGGGTTTTCGAAACTTTTAGATTTTTTTAGTTATTTTTAAATAAAGCAATACTTTTTATGCCGTCCAACGAAAAAAACGAATCAGCAAAGATTCTGGAAGAGAGATTCACCCCCCCCCTGGCATTAGGTTTTTAAAAATTGTTTTCAAGAGTTTTCGAAGGAGTATAGACAATATTGATGAAGTTCTGTGGATTTTTGTAGTTATTTTGAAAAAAGCAAGAAAAACTCCAGCAAGGATTCCTTAAAAAACCATCAACTTTTCAATTTTTCCGAGTATTCCATTCCTCTTTCAGGCCTACATGATCATCGACGGCAAGAACGACAAACGGGCAGTGGCCGTGTCGGCGATGCCTGCGCCTTTAATACCGATTGCCTGACGGTATCTTTCAGAAATCTGTAGAAAGAAGCCAAGTGGCCACTTCAGGGGATGTTCTGCAACTCGGGACTTTGCTCCTGTTTGACGACGTACATTGCTGCAGAGAGTTATTGTTACCAGAGTGAGTTCTGGTTGGGAAATTTGGGAAAACTCCAAAGTGGTTCCTATAGGGGCAACCTCCGGGACCCTCGGAGGTTCCCTCTAGGGACCACTTTACCAACCGTTATAGAAGTCGCTAAAGCTTGCAAAAATGGTCCCTATAGGGGATCTCAAAGCGAAGAAGCATATCCATGCGAAAATTAGAATGAATAAGGGTTTTTTTTTTCAAATGATTTTGAGAGGCCCCTATAGGGACCTTGATTTTACCACTAAAGGGACCACTTTTTCGGCCTTTATAAGGGTTGTTTGACTTGTAATAAAGAATACTTCACGTTCGAGAAGGAAAAAACGATGTGGAGGGTAAAATTTATCAGTTTTGACCCGAATTTTTTGAAATTCAATCCTCTGAAAGTTATTTTTCCCGGCTCAAAAAATGATTATCATAGTCATTTTTAAATGAGGTTCAAAAGAATTTTTCATTTTTTTTTTCTTCCAAAACTATGATTTTTCATTCATTTCAGTTCGGAAATTGTGAAAATTTTCAAATTTTCAGCCTTGGGAGTTTTTTTCAGTTAAATATTCTGAATGGTTTCGTTGTCCGTTTTCTATTTTTCAAATGATTTTTTTTTCTCTCAACTTTCTGAGGTAATATTCGAGAGATTTTTTTCCCGAGGCTAACCTGAGATATCATACCTATACATTTATCATATTTCATTTTTCTCAAAGCATTTGATTTATTTCGCCCTCAGAAATCGACCCGGGACAGCCCGGCTGCGTCTACAACGAACAGTGCGCCTCGGTGTGGCCTGACGCTTTTTGTGATACTTCAGCTGGAGTTGGAACTTGCCGCTGCGGGGAGAATAAGGTCGGCTTGAAAAAAAAAAATGGGAAAAATTCCATTTTTAAGGTCGAAAGAGCCACGAGAGACGGCCACGTCTGTCTGGACGTCCTCGACGCCAACCACAACACTTTAGCGATCACTTGTCCGCTGCCGGAAGGCGCTGGGTTAGTTTTGAGTTACACTTTCTAGAAAATTCCTTCATTCTTATTCATAGAGCTTCTTTTCTCTGAGAATATATTTTTAACTATTCTTAATAGGCAATTTTGAGTTCCAGGTTCAGAAAAAAAAAAAAAAATTCAAAAAAATTCGTCAAAATATAGCCTTAAAATCGCATCGTTTTTCATTCTCAAGAATATCTCTCACTAGAAAACATATTTTTTTAACCAGTTTTAATATAAATAGGGAATTGGGAAGACAGAAATGGGAACAGGTTTAGAAAAAAAGTTTCTGAAAAATTCGGCCCTTGTGACCTGAGGTTGAAACTTAATTTTTTTCCTAATTTTTCTAAAAATTTTCTTAAGCCAACCCCTCCTCCCGGGCTGAATGAGTTTTTTTCACCTGCCCACCTGCGTCTTTTATTGAAATAGTGTGGAATTTTTTTCCGTTTTTTTAATAACTGTTGTGAAGTACCATTAGAATCCCATTAATAAGCGCTTTTGAGAAGTTTCAGTTACGAAATGCGACGTTAAATTGCAGGAAAATCGAATAATCACGTTGTTTTTCTATATTTTTTTAGTGAATAAATAACACTAGAAACATGATGGATAAGAAAAAATTCATCGGAAACGGTCAAAATAGAGTTCCAAAATACCTCATGAACTAACTAGGGAATGTCCTCAGCTCCCAGGAGGACTTCTGAATGAGACTAGCTTTCCTAGATGCTGTTTTTTCACGCTGATCTGCGCTCAAAAGATTCCCTAGAGGCCTGTAGGGAGGTGTAGAAAAAAGTGGGGCTAGTTAGATCCTAAGTTGATCCTCAGGGCTCGAAATTGGCAGTCCCAAGTTTTTAGATTTTAAAATTGGCAGTCCCAAACTCTTGGGCAAAGTCGAAATGGTGGATAATGGCCACTAAAAGAGAGAGGCTCAAAAAAGGCAGCAAAGAGAGTCCTTTTATCGAGCCTCTCATTTTTCTGGGATTTTAAAGGGTCAAGAAATGGTGGAGAAAGGGAGAGGCTGCAAAAATGGTGCATGAGGACTGATGAAATGGAGAAAAAAGGGAGCCTTGGTTACCATAAAAGAATACTTTGTTATGACCCTCGGAGGGTCCTTCCGACTTTACCTATGCTTTTAGACTCCAAAATTGGCAAACTCAAGTTGTTAAACTCCATGTTTTAAAGCTTAAGTCTAAGGGCCTATCCGTTTATAAATAAATATTTTATTTTGAAACTTTCAGGTACACCTCAGCCCTTTCCGATCCAGCTCACCCAAGACAAAATGACGGTCCAGGCCCAGTTTTGTGCAACACTGACAGTATTCTGACACAACAGGCTGATAATATTGTGAGAAATTACAAGAAAACAAAATGTAAATTGGTAACTTGAAGCTCGGCGACGGAAACGCGGCCTGTCTGTTCCCGTCGGATGGTTCTTTCATCGCCGATTTGTACGATTGCGTTGAATTTGTGTCGGCAATGGATTTGAGTACTTCTGGGTACAGTGATAAGGCCAACGGCATCTGTTGTCCTAATCGAGGTTTGGGTTTTTGAAAATGTAGACGAAAGACTGATGAGAAAATGACCCCAAAATTTTCAAATGTTATGCTCCGTGAACAAAAACCCTTTCTTTCAAAAGGGAAAGATTATACAACTGAAATAAAAATCACAAGCTTTTTTTCACGGTTTCCCTCTGGCCATCAATGAATTCATTTTAAAATCATTTGTACGACTTTTTTTAAAGAGAAATATAGAGAATAAGCAAGTTTTTTTAGCGTTTACCTGCGTTCAACCCACAGCCACCGGTCCGAATCCGACGGAACCACGCTGGTGGTACAATTCTATCACAGGTAATTCCGGTTCAAGAAATATTGTTCATAAAAAAAGCCAAAAAAATTGCGAAATTTTATAATAAATTACTAACTTCTATAGCGTACTTTCTTTTTATCAACATTCGATAAAAATGCTCACACTTTCAGAGCTTTTCTGAAGCCTTCAAAAATTTAGAGTTCAGAAAATAAGTTAAAACCTGATTCAATTGCAAAAAGTACAAAGAATGAAAAAAAGCGAGAAAAAAAACTTATATGCGCGTGGAAAAAAGTTTAGTACGTGAGCACTTCTCATTGCGTACTATAGACCTACAGTAACCAAAAAAACTATTAAAAGAAGCGCTTTTTTTGGCCCATGTTTTTTTCTATTGAAAAGTTTTTTTCTATGATAATATAATTTCGATAACGACTAACAATAATAATTGCTTTTCGCTTTGATACCTTCAGAAAGATTTTCCCACGCGCCTTTGAATTTTCAGTAATATTTTTGAATGAACCAAAAAAATGTTTCTATTGCACACGTTTAGATAATGGAAACTCTGATCCTGCTGTCATCGAAAAGTTTTCAAAAGTCGAAATTTTATTTTTTCAGGAATGTGCCAACAATTCCTGTGGGATCCGACGGCTTCAGGCCCCGGAGAACATTCGCCGAATAATTTTCGAACCGTTGAACACTGCGAAAGCTTCTGCAGAGATTGTACTTTGTTCCGAAATTATGAAATTCTGATGCTTTATAAATTTAGCCTGTACCCGAGGAGCACCGGAATATGAGCACCGGTCGAATATTCTGGAAGAAACACCGATCACCGGATGCTCCCAATCGACAACTTGTTCCAATAATTTCGAGTGCAAATCGGTTGGAAGTGCTCAGTGGTGCTGCCCCACCGTTGGTGAGACCATTTTTTCAGAATTTCAAAAAAAAAGATTGAGTTTTGATTTTCTCGAAACTTCCTTGTTGATGAAGTATCGTTTTGGGATTTAGTTAAGAGAAAAAATGAAGGATATTTTCAACTGGTTCTCCTGGAAATCATGTCTGAAAGAGAAAAAAACTGATCAGAAGGAATTTTTGTTAATAATTTTTGAATTAAACCGTTTTTTTCTGTTGTTAAAAAGAAGGTATTTTTAAGATTTTTCGTCACAAAAAAATTTTTGTAAAAACGATTTTTTTAAAGCCGCTCTACGTTGAAACCACTAACATTAAAAAAAATATATTTCCGCAATTTTTTTCGAATTTTTTTGGGCGTAAATAATCATTTTTTATCTCACTGAAAAGATGATTTTTTTCAAGATTATTAACATAAAAAAATTCAAAAATTTTTTTGTTCTGAGTTAGTTTTTCATTTGACTCTTTAACATTAAAGAAGCTAGTTTCCGCAATTTTTTGAATTTTTTGGGCGTAAATATGTTGAAGGATCATTTTATTCCACAGAAAAGATGATTTTTCAAGATTATTAAAATAAAATTTTGAAAAATACTGTTTTTAGTCTGTTTCCATTTGATACTTTTACATTAAAGAAGCTATTTTTTTCGATTTTCCTTCCGTTGGTCAAGTTGTATTTTTGTCGTATCTTTCGATTCTGAACTCAAGTTTTCAGCTGCGATTTGCGGATATATTGGAGGACGCCCTCTTGATCCATCGATTCATAATCGAGGAACCGTTTTCCATTCGGGAGTCGAGAAACAGGTAAATGAAGTCTGAGAATGATTATAACTGTAAAATAAGTATCAAAAAGGTATCCTGCAGAAGAAAATGATACTTTTTCTTTAAAGCGCCCACTAAATCTTGCGAAAGTAATCCCTATAGGGGTCCTAGCTAGTGGTCCCTATAGCGGACATGGTGGTATGAAAAAACCACCAGCGAAAATTCAAACGGCGACTTTTCCGATTTTTTCATATCGCTAGGGAACTTTCCGACGGCCACCTTTCCGACGGATCCCTTTCCGAATTTTTTCCCTTAAGTTTTTCGGTTTATAAAACATCTATAAACATTGTTTTTCTATTTGTATGTGTTTTAAACTTGAATAACTTGCCTACTTTATATAGGGAGATTTAAAATGAAAAGTTTATTGAGAAAAAAAGTCGGAAAAAGTTTCGTCGGAAAGGTGGCCGTCGGAAAGTTCCTTAGCAATATGAAAAAATCGGAAAAGTCGCCGTTTGAATTTTCGCTGGTGTTTTTTTCATACCACCGCGGACATGCTAGTCGATAATTGTAATAAAAGCTAAGCGAAGAAGCATTTTCATGAAAAAAACCGAATAACTAAGCGTGAAATCTTAGCGGCTAAGAGTCAGACCCTAAACCCCTATAGGGACCACTCTAAAATTCCTAACTATTTAAGAGTTTCGAGATCTGTTTTTGAAGTTATTGGGAAGAAATAAAGCGCTAAACACCTCCCAAAGTAATCTTTCATTTTCTTCAACATCAATAAAAACTTCAAAAGTTCATACAAACTGAATATTGAAGGGAACCGCCCCGTCGACCCGATTCTACTACGATTCCAACAGTGGAAAAATGCAGCCCATTCACTTATATGGGCGCCGGAGGAAATTTTAACAATTTCCTGTCGAGAATCGATTGCGAGTTGTACTGTGCCAGATGTGAGCATGATTTTCAGCAAAATTTTGCTTTAATTATTTATCTTTTAAACCTAGTTTCAAAAAACTTTAAAATAAAACAACTTTGCAAATCATATCTCAACAATGAGAACATGTTTCTTACAAGGGAGGTCATTTTTCTTGGCGGTTTGGAATTTTTCTGAATTGCTCAAACGCTCTCTGAATTTCTAAAAAGAAGATTTATCATAGTCGCTTCCGTCGCGAAAATTTCTACTTTCTAGATAATTATTTTGAAGTTTGAAAAAAATTAGGCTTAAAAAAATATCTCAAAAAAATTAGAACTTTTTTTCCTTGCCAAAAACACATTTTTTTCCCTAAATTTGGCTTGCAATCAAGATGGTTGATTTTATTCCTTAAGAACTCGATGTGAAAAAAATCATTTTTTTCAACACTTTCTGACTTGAAAAACTGGTCAGATTTCAGATTCTGATCATTCATAATAAATATCTTTGAAATTTTTACAAAAACAGTATCTGAAAAGGTATAGAAAAAGTATGAAGTGTGTTGTGGCCGTTGTAGTAGAAGATTTATTAGTAACACGAAACTAGACTATGCTAGCCCCCTTTTACCATAACAAACAAGGGGTTATATAGTGCTGAGGGAAGAGATCCCGAAGATTATGGAATGTTCCAGAATAAAGGTGGAGTTTGAATAGTATTGATATTAGAGTAAAAGATGGAACATTCCAGAGTTTTAGAGATCTGTCCCGAAAGCATTAGAACATTCGAGAACAATGTGGAGCCTTCTAGAAAGGTAGAGAACAAATGAGAAGATTGTGGAACTTTCTAGAAGGGCTTAATATAAGCGTTCTGCTCCAACAAGGTGAATTATACTTTCTTCGCAAAAAAGAATATATGATTACAGTACAATGCGACCGAGGGAATCCCCTCCGAATCGGTGACGTCACTCAATCTTGTGGAACCAATAACGACTGTCCTTCCTCTCATGAGTGCAAAATGGACCAAGCCGTTTGCTGCCCAAGAATGCGTTCGTTTTTTTCTTATTTTCGGAAGGGAAAATTCAATTTTTTTAAAACAAGGATCCTACTACAAAAACAAAAAAAGAAGGTATAAGATCCTATTTAACAAATTTTTAGAAGAAAAGATAATTTAAAAAAAAAAATTTCAGCTCAAAGTCTGTAATCCTTTTTCAAAGCTAGTTTTGGAGAGAGAAAATTCCGGGTTTCTGGGAAAATTTTTAGTGGCCACCATAGGGTTCTGACGTTTCAGTGGCCACTATATTAGTCAAATTAGTGGCCACCTAAGGGGTTAGAAGTTAGAGGCCACAATAGAGGTCCAAGTGCTACTACTAGCCCACTTAAAACTACTGTAGTGGCCGCATGGCGTTTTTTTGGCGACGGCCCGCCCATTTTTCGTATAGTGTGTTGTGTGCATACACTGCGGCGCTCTGGCACACGCCGCGTTCGAATCGAAATTCAGTTATATTTTTCACTCTCTGGTAACTATTCTGAATTTCGCGGAACTACTTTCAACACGGCATGTTTTTTTAAACAAAAAAAAAACAGAAAAATCGTTTTTTCAAAAAGAGAAAAAAATTCGTTTCAAGACCTATTTATGCGCCTTCAAAATTTCCTGTTATTTCCAAAAATTTTCCCAGTCTATAATTTTTTTGAACGGAAAGATTTTTTAATAACTAACACATAATATAAAAAAGCATCTTCTCTGCATTTTCTAAAACCATATTCAAAAAATGCAAAATGCTGGCGGTCAAGTTTGTGCCAATGGGAAGGGGGTGCACAGACACGGCAAGCCGGCTGCGACTTTTTTCAATTGGGTAACCCACTGACTTCGGACCGCCTGCGGAAAAATGCCACTAGCGTCGGGTTTATATAGCCCCTCGTCTCCCTGCAACCGACCCTCGCCGACTTGCGCAACTCTGTCTGCGTCTCTGTGCCGGCGAGTTTTTCGCCCTGGTCGCCGGCGGTCGCGACTAACTATGAAAAGCGAGAAAAGTGCGCATTTTTCGGTCAAAGTCGGCGATTTACTAATAGAGATGGGATAACCGCATTTTTTTGGATCCGTTTGTTGAAATCAAATATAATGAAGTAATAGGAATATTTTTTTGAGACGTTGAAAAATCTTGAAATTTATCTCAAAAAATTATAGCCCATAAAAAGGAAGGTCATGTCACTTTTTCGATTCCTTGAAATTAGTTAGAGCGCTCTTTAATGTACCAGAATCAGGTTGGAAATTCTCTCCCTGCACACTTTTTCCAGTTTTAGAGAGGGGGAAGGGAAGTTTAAAAAAATAGGCCGTTTTGAGGGTTTTGATGGTTTTCTTTGACTTTGAGATGACGTTTTTAGAAAATTAGGAAGTTATGCAGGTAGAATGTTTCAGGATTTTTTCTGGTACATCAAGAAGTGTTCTAGAAAATTTTATGAAATTCCCTACCAAGAAGTAGAAAGGCTATCAGGAAAATTCAGAGTTGCAACTTTATAAAGTTGAAGCTCAGACTGGCCTTCGTTTTCATACATAATTAGGAGTTTTTTTGGGAATCTTAACATGTTTTTTTGTATATCAAAAAAATGCTCTGATCGTTTTTTTCGGCTTTGAGAAAAAAATTAGTTCAGGAGGGATTAGTCTCAACTTTGAAGAAAACTATTCTCATTCGTCAAATCATTTATCAAATCATTTATTTTGTTGTTTTAGTCTGATGTAATCGACTAGGCGGTGAACAAGAACTTTCAAAGCTATAACGAACAACCGCCTTTGGCGAGCTAGAAGTCCAAACGTGTAGTCAAAAGAGTTGAAAGCATGTTCTTACGGTCCTTCGCCTCGTCCTTCTGCGCGTAGTCCATCCAGTTGCGCCTTGACGAGCTCAGAATGTAGTGGATGGTGTAGCTGGAGCCCGGAGACCGTGCTCTAGGTGGAAGCCTCAGAATGAGAGCTACCACTTCGAGTGAAGATTTTACACGGAATGAAGGTTTTACACGGAACTAAATGTAGTTTCTAGAAAAGTTCAGTATCTTTTTCATTTAACTAACAGAGAAGATTTTCGTGAACAGTTTTGAGTACTCAGAGTTGAAAAAAGTTAATATTTTGATATCATTTTTTGCGAATTTGATAGAACTGTCCGTTCGATAGAACTGCCCATGGCGATCAGGAAGAACCGATTATTCAAAATATCGCAACATACCCGTTGGTGCTTGAGATATTCCAGAAAGAAATCCTTTCAACGGTTTTTGAGCCGTCATAATTTTTTTCATAGCCTTTTTGGACTTTTCGAGGCACATACTTGGAAACAGCTCAAAAAACTGCATCTACGTCTTTTAGAGGCTCTACTATGATATGAGACCATTTCCGGGTCAAAAAAAGGATTTTGTACTTTCTAAACGTTCAAAAATATGTATTTTTGCTTTTTAGATCGACATAATGAAGCCTGGTGACAAGAAAAATCGTTTTTGAAACTCAAATTTTCAGAAACAATCTGCACCCAGCCGCTTCGAATTGGAAACTGCGATCGGTCGGTTCGCCGATATTGGTACAGTGCCGCGACACGAGAATGCCAATCGTTTGAGTACACTGGTGCGGAATTACTGTAGCTTTTATTCATCTGTGTTATTTTTCTTAGGTTGCCAAGGAAACGACAACAATTTTGAGACCCTCGTCGACTGTCAGACGTTCTGTCGCAATGCAGCTCGTGGGTTTTTTTAATATTTTGAAAATTGAACGTTTCTCTCCATGGAGAATTATAGAAGAAATGGTTGATTTTTTTCCTGATTTTTTTGACTTTCTTCAGAAATTCTTTCTGAGCTAATTAAAAGGAACATGTTGGGTGAACTTCATAAAGGTCTCGAGGGGAATGCTATTTTTGGTCGTTTGTGACATTTAAACGCCTTTAAAGAAAAATTTCCATTTTAGGAAAAAAATGTAATAATTATATATTTTTGTACCACTAGCGAAAGTGAAATTTTTCATGGAAAATACCAAATTTTGAATTTTTAATGTTCATTTTTATGGAGTCTGATTTCCTGTTTCACGTTTTTTTTAAGACGGGTTCAAGATTTCAATGGTAACTCTTCATAAGGAATAGCTTCAAAAAACTTCTTGACATGCCTAAAAAATTCGGCTTTTTCAAACATTTCGAACAAGGCCATTATAGATGAAAACTTTCGCTTTCAGCTTCATTTATCGATTATTTTCTAGCCGAGCCTCGTTGCCTTCAAGGTCAAGCCTACAAGGACAGTTCCGGGAAGTTCATGAGCTGTTCAACGAATCGACAATCGACCAGTTGTCCGGCCAATTTCGAATGCTACTTCGATGGCAACATGCACGGATGTTGTCCCACTAAAGGTTTACTCTTTGTCCTTCTCTCTACGGGGTCGCCTGTTGAATGGCTCGATTGAAACGTCTTCCGCAGGAGAGCATGAAAATCATTGTTCTGTACCTTTAAATTTGTATGCATTCAAGGTTGCCGTGACGCAACCGAGACGCTTTGAGCCATTCTAACGCGACGGGCCTAGGCGCGATTAACCGAGAAAGATTTTGCAATACAGAGGTGCTACAGCAACCTGCAAATTGGTGGCATATGGAATGGCGCTGCTTTATTACGTTCGTCCGACCCAAAACGGCTTGCGCAAAAGACATCAAAATTTTGAGTGCAGCCGCGACGCTTCCAGCCATTCCAAGTGCGGCTAGGCCTAGACGCGATTGACGAGTGAGATATTGAAAATGATAGATGCTATGGCAACCGGCCAACATCTCTTGTAAAGATCCGAGCTGTGTTTTCGTCGCATTTGGAATGGCTTGAGGCAGCTTTTCGAAAGACTCGTCCGACTTAAAACGACTTACGCGAGAAAGCATCAAATAGCGTCAAAGCTGACTCTTTGAACCGCCATGCGACCCGTGCGACCAGCCCTAGGCGCGATTGAGAAAAGAGCGTGGGAAATTGAGAGATTACAGAGTAAACTGCGAATTTTTCTGTTAAAGGTCTGAGTTATATCATGGTCAGACTTGGAATGGTATAAATCTGCTTTTTTTTTTAAGACGCGTCCGACTTTAAACGGCTTGCGCAAGGAAGCATCAGAAAGTTTTAGAGTCGACTTTTGAGTGTCGCTCGCAACCGCGACGCTGTCAACCATTCCAAGTGCGACCAGCCCTAGGCGCGATTGAGAAATGAGCGTGTGAAATTTAGAGATTACAGAGTAACCTGCGAAGTTTTCTAGTAAAGATCTGAGCTATATGTTGGTCGCATTTGGAATGGCTTGAGGTTGATTTTCAAAATGCGTCTGACTCGAAACGGTTGCGCAAGGAAGCATCAAAAATAATCAGAGCAGGCTTTTGAGTTCCGCCTCCAATTGCAACGCTTTGAGCCATTCTGCGGGCGAAAATAATGTTTTAAAAATAGGCGAGAGAGTGTGTAAAAATGAGAGGTTGGGGTTTTATGCATTTTTGCGAGTAAAAAATGAATTGAAGCTGCGAAAACATGCTGGAAAAGTCGGTAGGTTTGGAAAACTAGGCCATGCCACAATTTCGCTCCATGGAACACTTCGAATTTCAAACTTTTTCGTTTGTTTTCTGAATTTTCTTCCTTTTATAATTTTGAGAAGGTTTTCGCTTTTTTCTTCCTTCAACTATCCTCCTCGGGAGCAAAAAACGATGATTACTACATTTTAAAGAATTATAAAAAAAAATTCTTCCAGCAGGATTGCAGCGAACGAATTATTGGAAATGGATATCGAATCTCAATTCATAAGTCGTTCGAAACAGAAAACAGTTTTTTCAGCCTACACTTGTTCTCTTTCGCCGAGTCCTGGAAAGACGTGTGGACCTGGAATTTCCTTCAAATATTACTACAATCCTCAGAATCAGGTACATATTCCCAAAAAATCCCTTTCTTTTTAGTTAAAGCTTGAAAGGGCTTCAGAATTCAATCAAAAACCGTTTTTTATTCAAAAAGCCGTGAGAAATTGAGGCATTTTCAGTCTGAAAAGAAGCTTTGGAGGCTTTTTCGCATCAGAAAATCAAAACTGAAGGTTTTTTCTCCTATTTGAGGTTCCAAACATCAGTGAAGTACATAGAGTTAAACCTAGTACTTTATTTTGAAGCTCATTTTAAGAAGAAACAGTTGAAAAATCACAATTTCGTGCAAAAAGATTTCCTTCGAAAATCGAAAAAAAATGATGAAAATATTCGAATTTTTTTCAATTTTTTCGTCTAATTGGGACACTTTATTGGTAATTCACCCAATTCCAAAGTTTCAAACAGAAAAATATGGAAAAATTCAATTTAGGAATGCGAGTCGTTTGAGTACCTCGGATGTGACGGAAATTCAAACAATTTTGCGTCAAGAGCCGAGTGCGAAACTTTCTGTGGTGTCGGAGGTATAAAATAAACTATTCCTGAGGAAAATAATGAAAAAAGACGAAAAACCGAAATTTTCCAACGCCCACTAATACATGTAGCGGCAAAGAGCCGCATGCATGTGGTCCTTGCGGCGTTCGCCTGTCCGTGGCCTTGTGGCCTAATGGATAAGGCGTCTGCCTCCTAAGCAGAAGATTGCAGGTTCGAGTCCTGCCTGGGTCGGAATTTTTTGCCGGTTCTTTTTTCCAATTTAGGAACACTTATAATCGTTTTTCTTCATTAGAAGTTGAAAAATTAATAGCAAATGAACGATTTCGAGTGGTTTTAGTTATTTTTTGCCAAAGATTAGAGGCTCACCTGGATAGAATGGTTTTTTTTTTCGGCTCTAGATCTAGTAAGACAAAATAGGCGAATAAAACTAGCTATAGGAAAATAAATTCAGAAAAAAAAAACTTATTCAGGCTGTGCGAATGGAGGCTCACCATTGCGGGATAGCAGTGGGTCCCTTCAAAGTTGTTCTGAAAAAGATGGAGGTTTGAAAAATGAGTTGAAAAGGGATTATTTCCGATTTCCAAGGTTGCCCATCAACTCACGAATGCAATGCGGTGAGCCTTGGGACGGATATCACTTCTTATCGATGTTGTCCAACAAAAAGTTGACCTTTATCCCTTTGAAAAACTAAAAAATTGGAGTTTTTAGCATATATTTGTGGCCTACCTCCCCAACAGGGCTCTTCTCTGTGTTCTGGAGGGTTGACAGTGGTCACCAGGTTTGATTTTTTTGTTGAAACTGGAAAATTAGGAAGTTTTCAAGATATTACTTCAATATTGTGACGCGCAAGTGCTCGCCGTTCGTTTATAACGGATGCGACGGAAATCCGAACAATTTCGCCTCCTTGAATCAGTGCAACAACTTTTGTATGGCTTCGGGTGAGTTGGAAAGAGATAAATTGAAGAAAACTTGACTGAAAATTTGAAAAATGGGCTCAGAATGTTTAGCTTTTTAACCGAGTTTTAATATTCAGAAAGATAATTTTCTATGGAATTTTTTTTGAAAGAGGTAAATGTTCCTTTCAACCTTAGGACCAGAAGTTGTAGAATTTTTATATTTCAAAAGTCGTAATTTCTAGATCTTAAAAATTGATAAAAGTAGGGGGTTTCAAGCTGTAAATTTGATTTTTTCAGCTTGCAACGCCGGCGACGTCGTTTATTTGAATCCAAACACGGGCCTGCCCATTTCCTGCAATGATGAGCTTCAGAATAACTGTCCCAAGAATTTCCAGGTCCTTTTTTAGTTTATAGCTGAGGATTTTCTTCTTCTTCTTCTCGACACATTGAATGGGTTGAAGCATAACGACTGAATTCATTTTTTTTTCTATGGAACTTTGCGCAAGTCGTTTCCAGTCAGTCGCGCACATACATGGGCTAACCAACTACTTTTTGTGACGTCATCACGTACCCCCCTCGAAAAAGTACGTACCCCCCCGCGGATGACTATCAATGTGAAATGATTATTAAAGTTAATATAAGAATTGAATGAGACTATTATCTTATTTCGCGGGCTTTTGGAAGTATATTCAGCTAGGTGTCAACACTGCAAAACAGAAATATTTCAACTTTTAGCGTAGACCCCCAAAATCCGAAAATCGATCTGTTTTCAATGTTATCCTACATTATGAATCGAGTTTTATGATCTGGCAGAGTTTCAGACCTTCTGGATGAGTTTTAAGGAAAATAGATTTTTGGACCACCGGGAAGGGATATTTTGAAATTTTGAATTTTTTGGCTCAAAATCAATATTAATCTTGAGTTAACTCTAAATAAGGTATATCCTCCAAATTTCCAACCTTCCGGACGTTTTTTGACCAAGTTACAGTGTTTCAAAGTGTTATCACTTGACGGTTTGCGTACCCCCCCGTACTCCCCCAAAATCGGAAAATCGATCTGTTTTCAATGTTATTCCACATTATAAAGGGAGTTTTATGATCTGGCCAAGTTTCAGGCCGTTGGGATGAGTTTTTAAGGAAAATAGATTTTTTTGGACCACCGGGAAGGGATATTTTTGAAATTTTTGAATTTTTTTGGCTCAAAATCAATATTAAACTTGAGTTAACTCTAAATAAGGTATATCCTCCAAATTTCCAACCTTCCGGACGTTTTTTTGACCAAGTTACAGTGTTTCAAAGTGTTATCACTTGACGGTTTGCGTACCCCCGTACTCCCCCAAAATCGGAAAAATCGATCTGTTTTTCAATGTTATTCCACATTATAAAGGGAGTTTTTATGATCTGGCCAAGTTTCAGGCCGTTGGGATGAGTTTTTAAGGAAAATAGATTTTTTTGGACCACCGGGAAGGGATATTTTTGAAATTTTTGAATTTTTTTGGCTCAAAATCAATATTAAATCTTGAGTTAACTCTAAATAAGGTATATCCTCCAAATTTCCAACCTTCCGGACGTTTTTTTGACCAAGTTACAGTGTTTCAAAGTGTTATCACTTGACGGTTTGCGTACCCCCCGTACTCCCCCAAAATCGGAAAAATCGATCTGTTTTTCAATGTTATTCCACATTATAAAGGGAGTTTTTATGATCTGGCCAAGTTTCAGGCCGTTGGGATGAGTTTTTAAGGAAAATAGATTTTTTTGGACCACCGGGAAGGGATATTTTTGAAATTTTTGAATTTTTTTGGCTCAAAATCAATATTAAACTTGAGTTAACTCTGAAATAAGGTATATCCTCCAAATTTCCAACCTTCCGGACGTTTTTTTGACCAAGTTACAGTGTTTCAAAGTGTTATCACTTGACGGTTTGCGTACCCCCCGTACTCCCCCAAAATCGGAAAAATCGATCTGTTTTCAATGTTATTCCACATTATAAAAGGGAGTTTTATGATCTGGCCAAGTTTCAGGCCGTTGGGATGAGTTTTTAAGGAAAATAGATTTTTTTGGACCACCGGGAAGGGATATTTTTGAAATTTTTGAATTTTTTTGGCTCAAAATCAATATTAAACTTGAGTTAACTCTAAATAAGGTATATCCTCCAAATTTCCAACCTTCCGGACGTTTTTTGACCAAGTTACAGTGTTTCAAAGTGTTATCACTTGACGGTTTGCGTACCCCCCCGTACTCCCCCAAAATCGGAAAATCGATCTGTTTTCAATGTTATTCCACATTATAAAGGGAGTTTTATGATCTGGCCAGAGTTTCAGGCCGTTGGGATGAGTTTTTAAGGAAAATAGATTTTTTTGGACCACCGGGAAGGGATATTTTTGAAATTTTTGAATTTTTTTGGCTCAAAATCAATATTAAACTTGAGTTAACTCTAAATAAGGTATATCCTCCAAATTTCCAACCTTCCGGACGTTTTTTGACCAAGTTACAGTGTTTCAAAGTGTTATCACTTGACGGTTTGCGTACCCCCCCGTACTCCCCCAAAATCGGAAAATCGATCTGTTTTCAATGTTATTCCACATTATAAAGGGAGTTTTATGATCTGGCCAAGTTTCAGGCCGTTGGGATGAGTTTTTAAGGAAAATAGATTTTTTTGGACCACCGGGAAGGGATATTTTTGAAATTTTTGAATTTTTTTGGCTCAAAATCAATATTAAACTTGAGTTAACTCTGAAATAAGGTATATCCTCCAAATTTCCAACCTTCCGGACGTTTTTTTGACCAAGTTACAGTGTTTCAAAGTGTTATCACTTGACGGTTTGCGTACCCCCGTACTCCCCCAAAATCGGAAAAATCGATCTGTTTTTCAATGTTATTCCACATTATAAAGGGAGTTTTATGATCTGGCCAAGTTTCAGGCCGTTGGGATGAGTTTTAAGGAAAATAGATTTTTTTGGACCACCGGGAAGGGATATTTTGAAATTTTTGAATTTTTTTGGCTCAAAAATCAATATTAAACTTGAGTTAACTCTGAAATAAGGTATATCCTCCAAATTTCCAACCTTCCGGACGTTTTTTTGACCAAGTTACAGTGTTTCAAAGTGTTATCACTTGACGGTTTGCGTACCCCCGTACTCCCCCAAAATCGGAAAATCGATCTGTTTTTCAATGTTATTCCACATTATAAAGGGAGTTTTTATGATCTGGCCAAGTTTCAGGCCGTTGGGATGAGTTTTTAAGGAAAATAGATTTTTTTGGACCACCGGGAAGGGATATTTTTGAAATTTTTGAATTTTTTTGGCTCAAAATCAATATTAAACTTGAGTTAACTCTAAATAAGGTATATCCTCCAAGTTTCCAGGCTTCCGGACGTTTTTTTGACCAAGTTACAGTGTTTCAAAGTGTTATCACTTGACGGTTTGCGTACCCCCGTACTCCCCCAAAAATCGGAAAAATCGATCTGTTTTTCAATGTTATTCCACATTATAAAGGGAGTTTTATGATCTGGCCAAGTTTCAGGCCGTTGGGATGAGTTTTTAAGGAAAATAGATTTTTTTGGACCACCGGGAAGGGATATTTTTGAAATTTTTGAATTTTTTTGGCTCAAAAATCAATATTAAACTTGAGTTAACTCTAAATAAGGTATATCCTCCAAGTTTCCAGGCTTCCGGACGTTTTTTGACCAAGTTACAGTGTTTCAAAGTGTTATCACTTGACGGTTTGCGTACCCCCCCGTACTCCCCCAAAATCGGAAAATCGATCTGTTTTCAATGTTATTCCACATTATAAAGGGAGTTTTATGATCTGGCCAAGTTTCAGGCCGTTATGATGAGTTTCAAGGAAAATAATTTTTTGGGCCACAGTAGATGTATGAATGTATGCTGATCACGATTTTGCTAGTTTTTTTAATTGTTAAACTTGTATTTTTTTTATCGTTCACATGTGTGGTAACGCCGTAGGGTGAGTTGAAAAAAAATGAGCGTTAGGGTGAAACTTTCTCTAAATCAAACATGTTGTAGAACACGATTTTTTTAGGATTTTTTTGAAAAACCGAATATCATCACTCAAGCCGTTTTTCGAGATACTGTGGCTCAAAAAAAGGGGTACGGTCGAACCCTTCAAAAAAATCTATATCTTGACATAAAAATCGACGAAACTCTTCCAAAGTTTGTAATAAGGTGCAATATAATCTTATTCAATTTTTTTAAAAAAATCTTAAACCTCATTTTTGCTCATTATTGCTCATATTACAGAGTTTTTTTAAAAAAACCACAAAAAAAATACTCTTTATTGAGTCAAACATGGATTATTCGAATTTTTCCATCTAACACCCGGAAATTCCAAAAAACATGTGATTTTGGGTAAGTTTCCCGAATAACTTTTTTATCTCCTGTTTTTTTGGATTGAAACTAGCAAAATCGTGATCAACGCGCATTCTTACATCCACTAGGTCATTTGCAAAACGAAACGAGGAAAAAATTCAAAATTTCAAAATATCCCTTCCCGGTGGTCCAAAAATCTATTTTCCTTAAAACTCATCCCAACGTCCTGAAACTTGGCCAGATCATAAAAACTCACTTTATAATGTGGAATAACATTGAAAAACAGATCGATTTTTCCGATTTTTGGGGGAGTACGGGGGGCACGCAAACCGTCAAGTGATAACACTTTGAAACACTGTAACTTGGTCAAAAAACGTCCGGAAGGTTGGAAATTTGGAGGATATACCTTATTCAGAGTTAACTCAAGTTTAATATTGATTTTGAGCCAAAAAATTCAAAATTTCAAAATATCCCTTCCCGGTGGTCCAAAAATCTATTTTCCTTAAAACTCATCCCAACGGCCTGAAACTTGGCCAGATCATAAAACTCCCTTTATAATGTGGAATAACATTGAAAACAGATCGACTTTTCCGATTTTGGGGGAGTACGGGGGGGTACGCAAACCGTCAAGTGATAACACTTTGAAACACTGTAACTTGGTCAAAAAACGTCCGGAAGCCTGGAAACTTGGAGGATATACCTCATTTAGGGTTAACTCAAAGTTGATAATGATTTTGAGCCAAAAAATTGTAGATTTCAGAAATCATTTTCTTATGGGGTCAGAAGTTGATTATTTTTTTCAATTTTCCAAACGGCTTAAAATTTGATGAGCATGTATATATCATCCATTGGTACCATTTAAACTAGAATTCAGGTCGATTAATCAGCTCTGGAATTTTTTATAAGGCTATTTCTACGATTCCTCTCGATTTTTTCTACCGTTTGGAGCTAGGCAAAAAGATAGGCAACGAATTTCTCACTAAATGTACTTTAAAAAGCTCGATAAATAATATGGATGCATTTTCCGCGGCTTAGAAAGCCATCTGAATGAATAGGGGGGCCCGAAAGTGAAAAACAGCCTGTTAGCCCACGTATGGTCGCGCACTTCAAAGCAACTGTTTTTGTAGTAATTTATAATAATTTATTCAATTCACAAAGTAACGAGTGCAGACGCCGGAACTAATTATACACATATATTTAAGTAATTGAGAAGAATAAAATAGCCAAAGAAGTCTGACCGGTACGTTGACCTCAATTCGATGTTTGATTTGAAAAAATAGGGATTTGAAGAAATGAGGACAGAGATTAAAAGTTCGCTATATTCTTTGCTATCCAACAATTCGATAGAGGTAAAGTCGTCCCGAGCTGTGAAACCGGGACTTCAAAAAATACATTTTTCTCAACTTTTACCAGTTTGATTTCTACTCATTTTCTTCATCTTCACTCATTTTTAATTTTGCGAGGGGGATGGTCCGGGGCGACTGTTGAAAGGACGGTTCAGCTCAAGAATCGTCAATAACCATCCGATCCTTTGAAAATTGGACTTTTCCAGTGTATCTACGATGGCTTGACCGATCAGAGCGTTTGCTGCGGAGCAACTGACATGGCCGTTTGTCCGGAGTCGGAAAAGGTATGATTTCCTGAATTTATGCTTCATTCAACTTTGAACGATCCCGTTTTTCTGGGCGCTATATACTCTATCCAACTTGAAATGATCTGATTTCTCTGCGCTCTCTTTTCCCTCGACGACACATTCATCTTTGCATGTTTTTTTTGTTCCTACTCCATGACCTTCTTGGTGAGAGAAAAGAGAGCAGACAAGCCGGGCTTTTGGAAGTATAAATGAATGGACTTGATTAAAGGGATCTCAAAATTTCATTTTGAGGCCTACATCAACGCCGTCGACATGACCGTTCGAGAATGCCTCATCAATGAGCACAACTCCTGCCCCAAGGACTATCTCTGCAGATTCAACCCCTCGAAAAATCGATACTTCTGCTGCGGATCCATCACCAAGAGTGAATCTTGTCTTTTCATGAAAATTGGTCAAATTCAAGGGTTTAGAGGGAACTTTAGACTTGTAAGAGCTTTCAAGCTAGTAATCAAAGTGTATGGATTTGTTGGACTCTGAATTTTGAGATCTTTCATGAAAATGTTCCAGATTATTGCCCACCCGGCCGAGCTCCATACAAAGATCAGATGAGCATGCAGCCGATGAGGTGCACGATGCACGCGACGGCTTCTGGATGTCCCGACGGGTTCGAATGTCAGAGCGACATCAAAGATGCCCTTCAAGGATACTGTTGTTCTGTCTCTGGTAGGTCTCATGATGAATACTTTGGAAAAATAGAGCTATGGAAAAAAAACATTCTCATATCTTCCTATATGTTCCGCGTCATCCCTCCCCAGCTTGTCACGATTTTCTCTCTCCTCCGAGCTACAGAGCCCTTCCTTCGGTCTCTACACATGCGCCTTTAACTCAGCCTTAAATCCCGTTATATTAAAGGCGCATGTACAGAGACAGGAAGAGAAGGGATTTTAGCAAAAAAGTTGACTATCACCGCTATAACTGTCAGACTGTGTAGTGTTTTCTGTGCGAGATTGTCACGTTAACAAAAAAAAAGAAAAGAAAAAAGGGTACCCCAAAAAAAGTTTGCTTTAAAACTTCAAAAGATACACCAAAAAAAGGTCTCGAAGCGAAGTTGGTAAGGTTAGGCCTGGGATATGAATTCACAAGTAGCGTTCCGAAGATCAGCTGTCATGATAGAATGGGCTTTGAAGATATGAAAATAATTCTTTTGTAAATGGAAAAAAATTCAGTTTATTTAATAACTGATTTCAGAAATCTGTCCACACAAAGAAGAGTATTATGTTGATGAGTCTTCTGGAATGCCAAGGTCTTGCACGATCGGTGAGTTTGGAAACATTGAATAATAAACTTGGGGTAGAAATTTCTTGTTACGGCAGAAATTTTAAAAAAAATCTAGAGCTTCTCTTATAGTTCAAAGGACCTATTCAAACTTTTTCAGGCCATTTCGTCACATGTCCAGCCGGTTTCAGTTGTATGGCTCAATTTGATGGAATCGTTGGGTATTGTTGCAGGTAATTTATTTTTTTTTTTAATGAAAAATCGTGAAAAAGTACAGCATCTGAGGGGTGTTATCAAATTTTCATATTTCTCTGGAAAGTAGTGGAAAATTTGGAACTTCATCATATTCGTTACGCTTGAAATTTGCTCGAAATAGACTTTGAAAATTGAATAATTTTCAACATTGTAGAGGCCAACCCCAAATGACGGCCACTGACGGATGCCCACCCGGCGAAATTGTCTATATGGAAAGAAATGAGGTAATTTTCACGGCAAATGAAATATATGAACAGTATAAACCTCATAAAAATTCCTAGAAAACGACTTTTTAAACTTTTGAGGTCGTCTCTTGTGACCCATTCAATCCGATGAACCAAGGCTGTCCTACAACTTTCTCCTGCCAATGGTCGATTCGAACCCAGAGGTTATTAAATAATTTTCAAGTTAAAATTACGGTTTTTAAGGTATCAATGCTGTGGAGCCGATGCATTACCGCCACCGATGGAAAGTGGGATTTTTCGAACAAAAAAAGAATATAACTGTTTTTTATTCAGACGACGGGTGTCCTTCACGCCAAATCGCTTTTACTGACCCTGATACGAAGAAACCAAAAGTAAATGAATTTTTAAAAAGAAAAAATGATGAAAATCGACGCTTTGGTGTACTGTGAGCGACTAATACGCAATGACAAGTGTATGCACACAAAACTCGTTCACACGCGCAAATTTAATTTTGATTTTTGAAAATTTTTTTTTTTGAGTTTATTTTCGTATAAATGTTCTGGAATTTATTTCAGGTCTGTACCTCGGCAACGCACTCCTGCCCATCCGGATACTTTTGCCAGTTTTCCACACAAAATAAACAGTTTCAATGCTGTGGAATCCCGAGCGATTGTCCTGTTCAAATGGTTTTTGATATCTTTTTTGGTTTTATCAAAATATTATTTCTAGGTGGCTTTCATTGGGATCACTGGTGATCCACAGGCCTGTTCGATGAATGGCGGCCAAATTTGTCCCGAAGGGTTTTCTTGTGTCCGAGGAAAAAGTGGCCAAGAGTTGTGTTGTGCTGGTGGAGAAGGTAGTTATATAGTGTGTTCGGAGAGATTATCAGGGTTTTAAAATAAAATAAGACAATTGGTTTTAACTGTCAAAAAAGAACCGTCTTCGAAGGTCATTTTTTAGGGTTCTCCATATTTTTGCGCCTTTAAAAGCTTCATAACAAACCATGAAATAGTTAGATGCTTGAATTCAGGCTTTTCACGCCTGTTTGAGGTGGCCGGTCGTATTACGGTAGTTTGGATAGGTTTTTCATTGATAAAGTGGAATCTTGTGTACTTTTTGTGACGTAACTTACCTTGTAACCTCGAGAAATAGGTCCTTAAAAAAATTGCAGAAAATTAAAAAAATCTCCTGGCTCCGAAACTGACTGTGCAATATTGACCGGCCGCCGTAGTACTGTCTCAAACATGCGTGTTTTATAGGATTTTTTGATTACCAAAAAAATTTTTCTCGAAAAAAGTAGCGATTTTTTTTTTGGATGAAACCAGTTTTTTCAGGCTATCGAATTCGAAATCCTTGACCAGTACTTCAGAAAGTTTTGAGAAGTATTTAGAAGAGGGTTGTGTCGATCAAATAATGTGTTTTTATTTTTATTTTCGAACGATTTGACGTTTTTAATTATTCTCTTCAAACAAAATATAACCTTTACCTCATCTACGTAACGGTTTTCTATGCGCCCTTATAGTCTTTTTCCGTGCCAATTCACGTTTTTTTTTTCTGGCCCAGGTACCGTATACCTTTAGCTCATAGGTCTCGAAGCGAAAAAGTGCAAGTCTTTTAGCGGCTCTGTATACTGTAGTCCAAATTTTTTTTCAATTTTTGAGCTTGACAAGCTCGCGCGGTATTCAAAGTCACAAAATTCGAGTAGTAATCGAAATTAAGATGCGAATTTCAGTCTGTGACGCTTCCCAAGTTTCGGTGAACGGGGTTTGTATGGCGAGAATCCTGATAGGACAAGCCTGTGAAGAGACGACCCAATGTGTCGGCGGCTCGAATTGCCTCGGCGGAATTTGTCGATGTCCGCCTCTGACCAATGAAGTTCAGCAACAGTGTGTGGCCATCGAGGAGCAAAGTATGGGTTCAGCGAAAAAAAAAGATCAAATTAGAGAATTTTCCGATTTTTACTAGGCATGTGTTTCTGTGTAGCGCAGAGAAAGTTTAAAGATTTATATAGTTTGTTCAGATTTTGATTCCCAAGTACAATGACGTCATTTGAGAACGCTTTCTGGTTGGTCAAGGGATGGAGCTTGTGTGAAGACTTGGCTGAACAGGCTATAGCTGTTTTAGGGGATAGAATGACAACTATGTGACCTTAACTTTAAGGACATTTGTTAAGTTCAAAAAAACGTAACTTAGGCTCTGAAAGTTTAATTAATTCATGTTCCTACTAATGACACCTTGAAGCTCAGAGAATCGGCTGAATTCTAAAATTTTCATTAGATTTTTTCAAAGATATGAACTAGAAGTATATACTTCATATAAATAACATTTTTTGAGCTTTTTTTTCAAGTGTTTTCTTTCAAGAGTGCGCGGATCGTCAAGTGAAGGTTGGCGGAGAATGCCTTCCAATCGTGTCTTTGGGACGAGCTTGTGTCCATTCTGCTCAATGTACAGGGATGGGCGAATGTCTCGAAGGCGTTTGCGACTGTCCTCAGGAGCTCGTGAGAAAAGTGCGACTTTATCCTTTTTCTTAGCTTTGCGCAAGTTCTATTTCAAGGGAGAACGATGCGAACGCCGACCAAAACCTCCTCCTCAGCCGGTATCTCCTGTCGTCGTGGGACCAGTTCGACAGATTCAACCGGCTCTTCCTGTCAAAAACCGACCTGAAACGGCTCTCGCCTACACTACTGGAACCCCACAGATCGTCACGACTGCCATGGCTGTTAATGAAGGTGAATCAGAGAAAAAAAAAAAACAAGTAAAATTATTCTTTCCGCTCAGGGCTGTGCCCCCACCCCCGAGCACCATTTTTGGTCAACGGAATCGCTCGCCAATGTACCCAGGGCCAAACTTGCCCCGTTGGATATGCCTGCACCTGGAGCCAACAAGCGAAAAACTACTTTTGCTGCACGAATAACAAAATGATCGCCAGGACTAATGGTGCTGATCAACATGATTCATAATTCTCATTTCTCTCATTTTTCAGCCAATCTCAAGGATATTTGCCTGGGAAGCGAACCGTTGATCTTCCCGAACACGAAGGCCCCAGTTTTGTGCTCCCGATTCTCATCTTGTCCCCAAGGATTTATGTGCCGACGATCTTCCAAGACTCGCCAGGCGTTCTGTTGCAAAAAGACGGAACCCGTCTCGATGGATATTTATATTGCGCAGGTTTGTTTCAGAGAAAAAAATGTGGTGAGGTGCTGAAAAACACGTTTTTTGAAGAATTTTTTCACGGTTCACTGAGAAAATGACTCTTTTAGAGGCTCTTCTTGTGTTTGAGTGTCAGCTAGAAAGTGAAAATCGTTGAAAATTCAGAGTTGAAAAAAATTTTCGGACATCGGAAACGAAATTCGGACGTTTCTGAGCATTTCTAGGGATCATTTAAGAGTTCCTGTTATTTACGCTCCTAGAGGTGAAATCTCTGCCGTTCCCATGATGTCACGTGGGAACGGTGTATATTTTGGCTCCGCCCACCGTGTTTTTGGTTTCGCATTTTCTTCCACTAACGAAGAAGGCGTGAATATTTATGTAAAATTTGATTTATTGGGATTTTAAGATAAGTAGGACAACTTGTAAGACAATGGACGCCGGATTAATGTAGTGACTTGAAAAAAAAACAAAGGAGGCGGCCCGCTTTTAAAATTTCATTCCCCGCCAAAAGTAATTATAGTAAACTTGAGTCCACCGTCTTGAGTTCTAGCGAAAATGGGCTAAATCCAAAAAGAAAATAATGACCTTTTTCAGCTCAAAGAATACGTCAAAACAAGGCCTGAAGCGGCGACGCCGAATATCATGCGACACGTTGCCGCGACGGCCTACATGCACCCCGGCCGGAGGGTCAAACCGAAGGCCCCGGCGAAGAAAATGGCGGCGCCCCCGAAAAAGTCCGGAGTCAAGCCCGCCAAGAGCAAAAGCAAGCCTTGTCCCGGCAGTTTGGTCCTTCTGGAGGTCGAGATCAACAAACGGGTCATCAGCAGATGTCGTGAGTTTCTTGAGGCTTTGGAAAGAGACTTGAAAAAAGAATGGGCCGAACCGGGGATTGAACCCGGGACCTCTCGCACCCAAAGCGAGAATCATACCACTAGACCATTCGGCCGACGAATATTCGTCCCAAATTTTCCGAGGAAAAGGTGTTTCTCCGATGCTTTGTCCCTGGAAGGAAGCCTAGAAACTGGATTTTTGTCCGATTTTGGCGCGGTAGATGGTCAAAGACCAAAGCGGAGACACTATTTTAGTGATCCCTCAAGTGTTTTTTTAACTTTTAATGGACCTTATTAATTTGTTAAATATTTTTTTGTACCCACGAGAAGAAGTTGGTTATGGAGTTTAATATTGAAAAATTTAAAAAAATTGTGTCCATTCTTCAAAAGCTTAACTTTGTGAAAAAAAGCAAAAAAAGAATGGGCCGAACCGGGGATTGAACCCGGGACCTCTCGCACCCAAAGCGAGAATCATACCACTAGACCATTCGGCCGACGAAAATTCGTCCCAAATTTTTCCGAGGAAAAGGTGTTTCTCCGATGCTTTGTCCCTGGAAGGAAGCCTAGAAACTGGATTTTTTTGTCCGATTTTTGGCGCGGTAGATGGTCAAAGACCAAAGCGGAGACACTATTTTTAGTGATCCCTCAAGTGTTTTTTTAACTTTTAATGGACCTTATTAATTTGTTAAATATTTTTGTACCCACGAGAAGAAGTTGGTTATGGAGTTTAATATTGAAAATTTAAAAATTGTGTCCATTCTTCAAAGCTTAACTTTGTGAAAAAGCAAAAAAGGATGGGCCGAACCGGGGATTGAACCCGGGACCTCTCGCACCCAAAGCGAGAATCATACCACTAGACCATTCGGCCGACGAATATTCGTCCCAAATTTTCCGAGGAAAAGGTGTTTCTCCGATGCTTTGTCCCTGGAAGGAAGCCTAGAAACTGGATTTTTGTCCGATTTTGGCGCGGTAGATGGTCAAAGACCAAAGCGGAGACACTATTTTAGTGATCCCTCAAGTGTTTTTAACTTTTAATGGACCTTATTAATTTGTTAAATATTTTTGTACCCACGAGAAGAAGTTGGTTATGGAGTTTAATATTGAAAATTTAAAAAAATTGTGTCCATTCTTCAAAGCTTAACTTTGTGAAAAAAAGCAAAAAAAGGATGGGCCGAACCGGGGATTGAACCCGGGACCTCTCGCACCCAAAGCGAGAATCATACCACTAGACCATTCGGCCGACGAATATTCGTCCCAAATTTTCCGAGGAAAAGGTGTTTCTCCGATGCTTTGTCCCTGGAAGGAAGCCTAGAAACTGGATTTTTGTCCGATTTTGGCGCGGTAGATGGTCAAAGACCAAAGCGGAGACACTATTTTAGTGATCCCTCAAGTGTTTTTAACTTTTAATGGACCTTATTAATTTGTTAAATATTTTTGTACCCACGAGAAGAAGTTGGTTATGGAGTTTAATATTGAAAATTTAAAAATTGTGTCCATTCTTCAAAGCTTAACTTTGTGAAAAAGCAAAAAAGAATGGGCCGAACCGGGGATTGAACCCGGGACCTCTCGCACCCAAAGCGAGAATCATACCACTAGACCATTCGGCCGACGAAAATTCGTCCCAAATTTTCCGAGGAAATATGTTTCTCCGATGCTTTGTCCCTAGAAGGAGGCCTAGAAACTGGATTTTTGCCCGATTTCGGCGCGGAAGACCAAAGAAATTCTTTTAGTGGTCACTCAAATGATTTTTGCGCCTTTTATTGTTAATTTGTGACAGAAAAGCTCCAGATTGTTTGAAAACATTGAAAATAATATTTTTGGCACGAAATTTGAGCTTCTTTTGCTGTCTTAAGCTTCGGAATAGCAAATTTGATGTTTAAGAAAAGGTTGAAAGGGTGGGGGGCGAATTTATTAGAAATTAGGCAAAAATATTTAAAAAAATTATGATTTTTTTATCATATTTGAAGCGTAAAATAACTACTACAAGCCTGTAAAATTTTCTCTCGGTGGGATTTTAGCGACATTGATAAAATCGATTCACGGTCAGTCACTTGTTTGAAGGTAGTCATTCCAAGTGCGACCGTGGTTCTGAGATTTACAACTTGAAATGAGAAATAAGCGAAGCTATTTAAGAACTTTTCCAGAATCAAGAAGCTATTTAAGAACTTTTCCAGAATCGGGATGTCCGACCGCAATGAAGCCGGTCAACGGAGTCTGCCGAGTGCCTCGAAATAAGAATTTATAGCCCAATTTTTCCCATTTATTTTCGATTTTGCAATTTTCTCCTGTCTGTACGGTGTATCACCGATGTCTTTCATTTCGCAGATTTGCTTTATTTTTTTCCATTTTTTTCACTTTTTTTCTAGAAGAAATGTCCTTTATTCTGCGTCCCTTGCATAATAATTGCCCTCTTCTGAGCCTCCAAAATCGCCTTTTTTTTTGTAAATTGTCCCGTTTTTTTGAAGTATTATCGAAAAAGGTGGATATGAAATTATAAATTTGTTTTTTTGCGCTTTTTTTTCATGTTTTTAAGTATGTTTTGTCGGTCGACGTGATATTTTTTCAAAAAAATCGAAGTTTTTGTATATTTGAACTGTTGTAAGGTTTCAATGGGATGTTGAGATTTTCTCGAAAGTTGGCCAGAGGACTTTTTGACGTACCAGAAAAATATACCGAAGGTTTCAACCTTCTGGACTTCGAGAAATGATACCTCAAGCTTGAAAAACCCTTAAACACAACGGAGATTACGAGTTTGCAGACCCCTATTTTACAAAAATCAGAAAGTTGTTTAGGTTGAAATTAAAATAATCTTTATTTCATGACTCAAGGAGTATTGTGACCAATTTTAAAAGAAGTTCTCAATTTAAAATGACTAAATAAATTTTTTGAAATAGTAGAAACTGCACAAAAAAGCAACTTTTCTAATTGTTGATTGATCAAATCTATCAGTATCGTGAACAGAAACGGATTAAAAACGTCATTTTTATCGTTATTATCATTTTGACTGAATAAATTCAAATGCGACGTATAGCTGATTCACGGCTGGCTTGAACCATCGAAAAATTGGTCCTGACACGAAAATGCACGAGACAGTGCCTGGCTCGTGGAGAGCCCAGACAGGTCACGCCCCCTTAGCGTCCCAAGCTGGCCTTGAACTATAAAAAGGCTTTTTGTTTCGATTATGAAGAAAATATTAAATCGCCGTAAGCTTAATTTTCCGGTCATTTTTATATTTTTTATCCTTTTCAAGCGGTTATGTCTGAAATAGAGGATGAAGGTTATTTGAATTTTTTTCAGCGAAGGAATTTATTCATTTAATTCAATCTTATACAGTTCTTTTTGTTGAATATTAATTGATTATCTTCTTTCTCGTTATATGTCTAATTTTTTTGTACTTCATATTCATTTTTTCAGTTCAAGTAAGCGAGTTTTCCGAGTCTGAAACTTCGGAAAAAGAAGAAGATGACCCTCTCGAATGGGTCGAAAGTTTATTGTGCTTTCATGGGTTTGAAATTGGAAAATCATTCAAATAAAATAAATTTTCAAGGTTTCTAACGACGTTCGATTTGCTGTATTTTGTGGAAAATGCTGGCGATTTTCTGATTTGGACTTCGGAATGTTTGAAAGTGTCACCAAACCTATTTTTCCATGTTTTGAGACTTGAAGATGATGGAAAAGTTCAAATTCTCATAACTGTCGGAGTTTCGTTGGATCAGTGGAGAGCTGAGCAAAATAATCGCTGTGAGTTTTTGAGGATAGTGCCCGGAAATCATTGATGGGGTTTTTAAAGGCGCATAGATTAAGTTGATAAATGTATCGAGGCGAAGATTGTTGTAGACTTTTGTGCCTCAGGAACTCTAAAGTGGTCCCTATAGGGTTAGGGGGAAAAACAGCCCATAAAGGGACCAAAAAAGTGGTCCCTGTAGGGGTTTGGGGTCTGACCACTCAGGCCCTAAAGCTCAAGTGGTCCCTATAGGGGTCGTTCAATCTTATTCAAAAAAGGTAATTTTCTAGTTTGCTTCTTCACATAGAGTTCATATAATTGTCGATTAGCACCCTACAGGGGCCACTCACAAAAACACTATAAAGACCACTTTTGCAAGCTTAAGTGGGCCTTATAGGGGTTGGTAGAATGGTCCCCAGAGGGAATCTCCATGAGCCTTCAAGTTTGCCCCTATAGGGACCACTCTGGTGTTCATAAGTTTGAAGAGCTCTAAATGATAATTTTCTAATGATTCATCGATTTTTAAAGATATTTTCTGTAAATGTTGTTTTTTTTCGAAATTCTTCACTTTTCTGAAGATACAGAAGCCTTTTTTGATTTAAAATAAAGCTGAAAACGGCTTTTCATTTCGAGAATTTTATTGAATTTCTCTATGCTCCTTTAAACTGAGCAACGAGCATTTTTTTTTTTGGATTAATAAAATTTATATCAATTTTCTTTACAGTTAGCGAGGAAAAAATTCAAACTCTTGAGGATTATGATGAACCCGCAGTTATGCAAAGAACATATCTTATCGGGAAGGATGAAAGAGGATATTCAATCGAAGATTTATACTTTTTTAATAACATACAAGATTTATACGATTTTTATGTGTTTGGAGGCCAAAAAGTAAGTTATTCACGTGATAAAGTTGTTAAAAAGTATTTTTTCAAGATTGGAGGCGAGTTTTGTTTAAAAAAATCCAATACCAAGGATGTTGTGCCAATTTCGACATGTGGATATTTCAAGAGATGAAACGGTAATAAATAAAATAGAGATTTCCTCGAGCAGTTTATATAAATTTTGATGGAAAAAAGCCTTTAAGCTCGGCTCCGGCGTCTATGGAGACGTTTTTCTGGCAAATTTGCACAACCCATCAATTTCAAACGAGAAAGGTGTTGTGAAAACTGTGAGTGGCTCGAAATTTGACTCCAAATGAAGATTTAACAACCAGATAAATTCTGAATTAACAAATGAAGAAGAACATTGCGCCCAACTCCAGGAAGAAGTTCAGATTTTACGGCGCCTCAACCATCCGAATATTATTCTACTCTACGGCTGGGCTTACGATAAAAAGCCGCTAATGTTCGTGTTGGAGTACATGGAAGGTAGATACACAGCTTTGGAAAGAAGGGAAACTTATATTGGATTTATTGGAACTCCAAAGTGGTCCCTATAGGGGCATCCTTAGGGCCTTCGGAGGGTCCCCTCTTGACACCACTTTACCAAACCCTATAGGGGCCACTAAAGCTTGCAAAAGTGGTCTTTTTAGGGCTTTCAGTTAGTTGTTAACTCGAAGCGAAGAAGCATTTCCATGGGAAAAACTGAAAAACTAGGCATTTTTTGAATGAAGTTGAAGGGCCCCTATAGGGTCCACTTGAGGTTTATGGGCTAGGGGGTTAGACCCTGAAATCCTATACGAACCACCTTGGTTTTACCCCTATAGGGACCACTTTTTCGGTCTTTATAGTGGCTGTTTTTCACCTGACCCCTATAGGGACCACTCTCAAATTCCTATGGCGCTCTGGCCGATGCCGAAATTTTCTAGTAATCCCTTTAGTGGCGTCATCTAAACCCGAGATCTTCTATATTCCATTTTCATGAACACTTCTTGAATCTTTTTTGGGAGCTTTGATCGAGAAAAATCCTGATTTCAGCCGGTTCCCTCGCCGAATATCTGGAAGAAAACTTCATGAACACCTCTACAAAACGACTGATGAACTTCTGCGTCGACGTCGCCAAAGGCCTCGAATATATCCATTCGGAAGATTTTTTGCTCCGCGATGTCGCGATCCGCAATTGCCATGTACATTCTAATGGAACGGTTGCAAATTTTAAAAAGCAAAAAAAAGAAGAAAAAAATTATTCCAGGTCAAAATATCGGACTTTTCTCTTGCCGTCGATTCCTCGGCTTATAGAATAAGCAAAACTGAGAACCTGCCGACGAGATATTTTGCCCCGGAAACATTAATCGATTATATTTTCACCACCGACTCGGATGTATACAGTTTTGGGGTTGTTCTCTTAAAATTTCATTCAAAAAAGACCAAATTTTCAGGTTTTAATGTACGAAGTGTTTTCCGGCGGTGAAATGCCTTATCCGGATTTGACGGCGGCTGAAGCGCGGGAAATGGTTGAAATATTTTTTTCAATGAAAAAAATTTTTTTTTTGGTGCATAATGATTGAAATCTGAGAAGGTCCCTGAAAAAATGGCGCTTTTCTTTTTTTCTCTTCATATCTGATATAAATCGTATTTTCGTTGTACGCGCTCTGAAACCTCTGACATCTAAAAATTTAGAATTTCTAAAAAAATTTTCAATTTCTAGAAGGCTTTGAATCGCGTCCTTCTCTCAGCTGTGTTTAAAAAAATTTGGTAACTTTAAAGGAGCATAGACAAAGTTTTTCATGAAGGTTTCGAGGCGACAAGCCTTGATTTAAGCTCTGTATGACTCCTGCGTCTTCAGAAGACCTAATCGATTATTTTTAAATTGATTAATTTCATCAAAACTTTTTTAATTCTAAATCTTCATATCTTGGTTTTAAGATCATCGAAGGGGGAACGAATTCACTGGAAGGCCGAATGCCTTTGGGCTGCCGTGACTGGATCAAAACGTTTCTTTGGGCCTTCGATCCTGACGACCGGTTTGGTATGGAACAAGTGAGCTTTGTTTAATTTACAAAATTCTTGAAACTTGGGCCGTAGAAAGATTCCAAGATTCCACGTTGTGGAGACGTACTTCAGGGGGATATATAGTTTTTTAAAAATTATTTTCAAGCCTTCTAGCCTTAAAATCGCCAAACTCTCAGTTTTTTTTTACGATTTCAAACTTTGAGAGGCTCCACTTAACGAGTTACGTTAAGTTACGTACTATGGATGTATAGTCTGTTCAGATTTTGAATGTCAAGTCGTCGCTCAAGCTCCGCCCCCTAATGGTGCGATATACCAATCAGAGAGCGAGCCATCCACAGAGTGTTTTTCAATGACGTCATTGCACTTGACTTCAAAAATCTGAACAGACTATAAACAAGTCAGACTTTCTCAAGTAGCGAATGAGCTTGAAAATTTTTTTTGAGATTGTTGAGTTCTTCGAGGAGAAAGCTTCAGAGACGACAAGGCTCTCCATATCCACCAATTTCAAAAGGGTGAATTTTCATTGAGAAATAAATAGACTTTTGCATTTTCAGGCCACTACAGAGGAACTTGGAAGTACCCTTGGAGGCTCTGGTGATACTCTTGGTAGCTCGGCAAGTTTTTTTTTGTTAAACTGTCCAAAATGGGATTTTTTTTTTGCCGATACTTTCCATTCTTTTTCTTCTCTTTTTTTGCCGAAACCTCCAAAAGTTAGTCGAAACAAAAACTGGTTTTTCTTCCAGAAAAGCCTCGATAGTGGAACGTCAAAACGAAGAGGGAGTGGGATCCATCGAACTAGACGACAGGTAGGTTTCGATTTGTTTATTTTAAAGAAACTAAAAAACGATTTCCAGGACGTTTTCGAAGAGTTTTCCCCGGTGCAAGAGACGTTAGAAGAGTGAAGATGAGTTTCTCGACTTGAACATGAACGTGGATCTACGCAATATGAGATTTGCAAGACTCCAGGACATTAATATATATTGTGAATATCGTTTTGTTCTTTTTTGAATTATTCGAGTTGTTTCAGAAAAAAAAGTATCTTTTTTTGTCTTAAAAGATTTGTTTTTCACTTAAAAATCAAATTTGAAAATAAAAAAGGCGCCAACGACATTAAACTAGGTTTAAACCGGAAGAAAAAAAGTAGTTTTGGTGTTTGTACGACACTCCGCTAAAACGCTTCGAAAATCGGGTGAAAGTATATGAGATTTAAGCGGAAGGTTTTCTCTATGTTTCTCCCAATTTTCTAGGTTTTTGGTTCAGTATTGCGTTTGTACGAAAACAACGAACACAAAGCTTAGGAAACCAGCGCATTTCACCATCGCAAAAAGAGGCGTGGCTCTGCGGTCTCAAACTGAGAGGTCAAAAATTGGAAAATAGGTCAAATTTGGTATCAATCGATAGAGGAGATCAAGGAAATCAAGAAAAACGAGGTCTCTAAGTTCCTAACCTCCTACGGAACGAGTTATGATTTTTCAGAAACTTCAAAAAATCATAACTTTCATTCTAGAAGCCTCAGAACTTTTTGACCTAGATTTTCCTTTTTCTGAGGTCATTATCTATCGATTGATGCAAAAATCTCGGGAACTTTGGTTTTCGGGAAAATCGAAAAAAGTGCAGTCTAACCCCTTAGCTTTTTTTCGAGCTTCTGAGGTCATGGAAGCCGATCCAGACGAAACCTATACCAATCGATAGATCTCGACGAGAAAATAACCTGAGACCAGGTTTGACCTCTGTAGATCAACTAGGAACTGAGTTATGGACGATCAAACTGAGAGGTCAAAAATTGGAAAGTAGGTCAAGTTTGGTATCAATCGATAGAGGAGATCGAGGAAATCAATAAAAACTAGGTCTCTAAGTTCCTAACCTCCTACAGAACGAGTTATGATTTTTCAGAAACTTCAAAAAATCATAACTTTCATTCTAGAAGCCTCAGAACTTTTTGACCTGCATTTTCGTACTTCTGACGTCACTTCCTATCGAGTGATGTAAAAATCTCGGAAAAAATTTGACCTACTTTTCAATTTTTGACCTCTCAGTTTGATCGGCCATAACTTAATCCTTAGTTGACCTACAGAGGTCAAACCTGGGATAGCCTTTTCACACGAAATATTTTATCTGACGCGCAAGTTAATTTTTCAAGGTAAACTTTGATATCTCGGCTCTCAGAGCAGCTACTTACTTACTTAGATACTTAGATGGTCCATCTTCGCTTTCGACCTTTTATTGCCTTTTATTGTCTTTTATTGATCGAAGCGTGGACCACACGTTTTCCAGGAGATCTTATGCAATCGGTCATCCAGTGTTGTCGTCCTGGTTGACTGGTATTCTTGCGAAAAAGTTCCATCCGTGGTGTTGAACGTGTTATAGCATAATTTTGGTCTGATTATCCTTTTTGCCTTGCCAGGGCTAAAAAAGATCGCCCATTCTGTTAACAGAAGCAAGCCGAATTGCGTGACCGGTGTACCGTTAGCCGCCATAAATGGCGTTGCCTCCCCATCACCGCGTAGAGGTGGTACTTGAAGGGGCAGCTACAGCTTATTTTATTCCATCATTCGATTCGTCTTGATATCTGCTTTCCATTTATATATGTTATCACTCCGTCAACCTCATACGAAATTTTCTGGCTTGTCTTTTTTAGCGGTATAAGGATTCGAGGAATACTGATGTGCTAGTCATAAAAAAATAAATAAATAACCGAGCTTTTCCATAATTTGCACGGAATATAGCTCTGTGTACAGTGCATCCAATGGTCCACGAAGTGAAATATCATTAAAATATTGAAGTATACAACCCCTAAATAACACCTGATCTGATCGTATCAATCGATTAGCCATAGTGAATGCTTTCCAATAAACCACATACAAACTAACTCATTTTATGACATGATACAATCCTAAAAAGGCGCCGAAGGACATGCGAATAACGTCAATTTCTTTAAAATATGCGGAATCATCAAACAATAGAACAAATTGTGATTTCTCGAAAACGAAATGAGAAATCTGTTCTTTGACTCTTCTTGGTCCCTGTCCTGACGAACTGTCATCGCGCGCAGATTCGTCTTCTCTGCTTGGAGCCTTTTCTCTAAAAAATCAATGATATGGACGAAGAATTGACGGCTTATCTTCAATCAGTTTAACGTGTGAAAATTGAAAAAAAAGCATTCAAAAGAAAATGAAAAAAATGACGAAAATTTTTGCCTAACTGCAAAAGGGTCCTATAACGACGAGCCACAGGAGTTCATTTTTTTAAGTTTTTCACTCGATTTTTCTTTCAATTTTTTGTTGTAACGATCTGAAACTATTTTCAGATGTCCTGAATTCCGAAAAGCAAACAAGATACACATTTGATCCTCCTTTGGAAAAAAAAATTTATCGGAGCGTCGAAAAGTTGGCTACATTTACTTTTTTTCAAAGTTTGGAAGCTCTCCGTACTCTTCACTGACGGTTCTAAAACACGGACAGTTTCAAAATGTCTAAATTATTGAATGAATGCTCCTGTTACTTTTTTACTTTTTGTTTCACTTCAATTCTAAACGCTACATGACTTGAAATTATTTTTTATTCACTATCCGAAAAACGTAGAAGGAATGTCATTTCATTAAACCTCATACTTCATGGCTTACAAGGAAGAACGAAAGAGTATTTTTTTTTTGCATAGTCTGTTCAGATTTTGAATGTTAAGTCCTCGCTCAAGCTCCGCCCCTAATGGCGGAAACCAATAAGAGAGCGAGCCATCCACAGAGCGTTTTTGAATGACGTCATTGTACTTCACATTCAAAATCTGAACAGACTATAATATTTTAAAAGTCCTTGTAATGAATTCTTCGATGATTTGGTAGAAAAATAGAAAAATTTTTTCGAAGTTCAAGGTAAAAAGCCATTTGCTAGAATATTTCACGCGAATAGCTCTAGATTTGCTTTTGAACGCATTCTGAGGGCAAAAACCTTCGTTCTCTCAAAGAAATACTGCTGTGTAAAATCAGTTCAATTTTGATCAGACTTTTGTTTTATATAACATTCAACACTTCAGGTTTCCAAAACGCTTCTTCTTTTTGGCAAATTTTGGTTCTAATCATCATTTTCTGCAGTTCGCCGGAGACTTTCATCGATGGTGAATTTTCAGGGGATGATTTTGTTCAAGTTGAAAAATATTAGTACCGTTTTGATTGTCACTAGCTTTCTTCATAAGTTCTTCATTCTCACTGGAAAGTCGTTGATGAAAAATTAAACAGTTTTCGTGTAAAAAGCTTAGGAAAATGCGTGAAACTCATAAAAGAGCTCCATTTTATCAGAATATCAATTTTCCTCTCGAATTTATCAGTTTATCAATATTTGTTTCAATCAATATTCTCTCAAAATTATAGCCGATTCACGGCTAACTTGGGACACTGAGGGGCGCGAAGTGTCTGCGCTCTCCACCAGACAGGCACTATCTCTGTCCTTTTCGTGTCAGGACCTTTTTTTGACGGCTCAAGCCAGCCGTGAATCAGCTATATCATAATTGAGCTGAGTGTTTGGTAAGCGCCTCTGAATCTACCTTTTTCAAAAAACGCGAAAGTAGTTTTTGGTCGGTCGCACAAAACGTTGAGCCATTCTTTTTGCGGCCAGAAAATTTTGGAAATAAAATTTTTTTTCAGCATTGTCTACGACAACGACGGGTGGATCTACAAATAATGTGATCATTTTTTATCAACAATTTTTCTGAATTTGATTTAAAGTCGATTAACGCCCGTCCACCGTAGTGGCTTGCGTTGCAGTTTGAGTTGCGGTCGCGACGCGGCTTTTCGCGGGAAGTTCGAAATTAAACGCGCTGTTTTTTGTTTTTCTGATCGATGGTTTTCAGTTGATTGGATGAATGCATTAAAAAAAAATTTCGTTACAACTTTTCCCTCAACTTCCAAAAATCCGCGTCGCGACCGCAACGCAAGTATACTGTAGACGTCCGTCATCGCCAAATTTTCTACAAAAATCCTGCAGACCCGCGCAAACAAAACGAGCAACAGTCCTCGAAAGGAAGCTTCTGAGGAAACCGCGTTTTTCAAGAAAATGGGCGGCCTTACTGGTGAGAGCATTACTCATTGATTCGAGAAGAAGCTTTTGGAAAATCCCAAAAAAAACCCTTCCAGGAATCTTCCTGATCATTTCCTCAGTTCTAAACGTCATTCTGATTGTCGCCTTCTATTCTGCCCTAATTTATGCGCTCCGGATTCGGGCCAGATACGTTCCAAAGTATCAAATAGGCCTGCGGAAACTGAGGAAGGCCAACAAAAACGCTTCAAAAGGGCCGAATCAACCGGGAAGAGGCGGAAAGCCACAAAAATCCAAGGGTTTCTGGAGCCGACTCCGTGGAGGAAACGAAGAAAAAGAAGAAAGGCCAGAAGGCGTTCCGTTGGGGGAAATTACGGATGAGAACGAACCTTTTGATGCAGCACCTGCCGTGGTCCTGAAAAGAGAAGAAGCCGAGCCGATGACGTCACTTGAAGATGAGGTGCCGCCTCTTTTCACGTCGAACAGTTCTGCATCTGAAAAGAAACAAACTGGTTATTTTTCAATTTTATTTTTTGATAATCCGAAGCGAGACATCAAAGCGATGGGGATAGACGCCAGAGAAAGGGAAAATTCTAGCTTCTCTAGCGTCTCTAGCGTCTCTTCAGCTTATTTTTCTGAGTATTTTCAAAGAAAAAAGAGCCAGAGAGTAGAACGGTGGAAAATTTAAGCTTTCGAGAGATCAGAGCGGCCTGAAGAAACGCTAGAGAACGAGAGTATTTGAAGTTCTCTGGCGTCTCTTCAGGCTGTCGTTGATCTCCGCTTCATCTTATTAATATTTTTTTCTTTTAAAAAGGGCCAGAAAGACTTCTGAGCCTGGCCCTGATTTTGTCTGTTTTTGGAGGAACCTCGTTGTACTTTGTGGTTGGGATTTACCTGAAAAGTGGCAGGAACACTCCTTGATGTACCAAAGGAAGATCCTGGAAGCCTCGACCTGCACAACTTTCTAGTTTCTGAGAAAAGGCATCTCAAGTTTAATGAAAATCTTTCAAATCTGTAAAAACAGGGCTTTGAGCCTCTATTTCTCAAAAAATGGAAAGTTGTGCAGGTTGAGACTTTCTGGGTCTTCTTCTGGAACATCAAGGAGTATTCTGACTGGAGAATCTCAACAGTGAGATGCAACTTTTCGTCCAAAAAATCAAATCACTTCCAGACGATACCTTATCGATGATGTCGCTGATTCAAAGCCAATTGCAGGAAAACTACAAAAAGAACCGTGAAGGTATTTTTTGATTAGAATCACCTTCAATGTATCATGTTTCAGTGGGAGAAGCTCCAACGCATCCTGGGGCAGAATTCAAGCAGGATACTCTAGATGGAAATGGTTAGTTCAATAAGAAACTCAATGGAAGCACTTCTAGTAAAAGGGTTACGTAAAATTATTGCGAAACTTTCAAAGTTCTGTGAAAATTTTTAGTGGCCACTATAGGGTTTTGACGTTTTACTGGCCACTATAGTAGTCAAATTCGTGGTCACTTAAGGGGTTGAAAATTAGTGGCCTTTATAGAGCCCTAAGTACTACTACTAGACTACTCAAAATTATAGTGGCCACTTTAGGGGTCAATGAATCAACATAACTGGTCCAATCCGTTTGTTTCAAACTTATCCGAGTTGCTGGAAGGAATACTGGACGAAAAACTACTGAAGTGGCCACTAAATAGAGAGCCTCTAAAGTGGACACTAAAACGGAAAATAGGGGTCACTATAAAGGCGGGTTTAGTGGCCGCTTTAGTGTCCTCTCCAAGTAGTCCTTCGCGAGCCTCTATAGTGGCCACTGAAAATTTTCTCTGTTCCAAAAACAATTGCTCCGGACCATGAATCGACTTGCGCTCATTGTTATCAAACACACTAGGGTTTGAACTTTTCGGTTCATTTTTCAACATTTTTTTTTTCTATTTTAGCAGGCTTTTGAACGTTTTGTTCTTCTCTACTTTTTCTGTAAATCTGGTTTTTTTTTTTCTAATAATCGAAATTCAGGTTCAAAAAGTACCGGAAAAGTCTCAGCTCCTTCAGAAACCCCGCGCGAAACGATCAAGAGAATTTATGGTAATTTTTTGAAATTTTCCTTTCTCAAAATTACCAACTTTTCAGGCTCAAAGAGCAGTTTGTACAAGATTTCGGCGCTGGTCGAGGCCCGTGACCGTCACCAAAAAAAGCGAAAATCTTCAATTGTTGAGAAAATGTAGAGAAAATGTCGATCAATTTTTATTGATTACTTGATCCTTTTTCTGCCCATTTTTCACTTGAAAAGACAATGAGTAAAGTTTTATCACAGTGTTTTTTTAAAATTTCTGTTGATAAGGAAGTGTAGAATGAAGCTGTGGAGAACAACCAAGAAATATGGAAAAAAGAGGAACCAAAAAAGTAAGATTTGCTCTAGAAGCACTTCTGAAGCTTATGAAAATTAATTATAGTCTTCTCGAATATTTGTTTAAAGATTACTAGGAAGATATCATTTTCAAGAATCTGTGAGAAAAACTGAGAACCTAAAATTTTTTACTATTTTTCCGATTTTCCTTGAGCTTTTGCGCTATTTGGATATCTGAGTGTTGTAGAATCGTTATATTTTCGTCCAAAAAGTGTTTTGAAAATTCTCACATGTCAAAAGTAAAACTAAAAACGGCTTCGTCTTGAGATTTGTATAAAATCTGGCTATGTTCCTTTAAAATACTCGACAGAAGTTTTTGAACTGACCTCTCCAACAAGGATTCCTAAATAAGACGAAAAATGTTTTAGTTCCGGCTTGGGACTAAAAAATTGAATTTTATGAAAGTTCTAGAAACCTTAAAAATTTTTTTTTCCGTGGGGTGGAAGAACAAAACGAAGATTGGGTCTTCTTCTCCCAAATATAGGCGTTGACGTCGTCGTTTTTGGGGCTTCCATGTGCCATTTTTCAATCTCCATTCCTCATTACACATTTTCAGTAGGAATCCTTGTTGGAGGAGCTCAGTTTTTGGCTTTTTTGCTATAGTATCTTGATTTTCTGACTCTGGCAAAATCTGGCAAAATAGATCCTGGTTTTTTTGTTGGTCAGTTCAAAGTAATTCTGAATTTTCTCTGGTTCTCCGAAAATTGGTTATCTTTTCCATCATCTGACGGCTATTTTTGAATTCCACGGAATCACTTTGTATTTGAGGTATCAAAATGTTTTTTTTTGACTCAATTTGAAAAATGCCTCATTTCTCGGTTGTGTCTTTTCGATACGTTGCTGATTTCAGATATAACCAAAGTACACCACTTTTTTCTATGATTATTTGATTTTTAGCTTGTTGAAAAAAAAGAAGCTTGAAATACGGTAATTTATAGCAAATCCTGGACTTTTCAACTGAAATTTTCAGTAAGAATCCTCCGTTTTCGGCCTAGTCAAGAAAATATGTGTTTATCATGATTTTCCGATTCTTTGATGATAAAGATCGAAATATTCCTCATTCCAACTTAACAATCATCGCCTTAACCTTGGCATTAAATTCCCATTTCCAGGAGCCCCAAGAAGTTCTACCGTAATCCTTCCCCCGTCAAAACAGCCTTTATTTATGTGCGTCAGCATCTCGGATTGGCTCACGCCTGGCGTCATCGAAAAGTTCCGGCCTTTCAAGTTGGTGATTCAAGGGGGGATGAAGCCGCGACGCGACCGCAAACGCGTCGTGACGTCATAGGGGTTTTGAGAGGAAAAAGGCGCCAAAATATTACTTGATCACCGCCAACTACAAGCTTTCATTGAGATCGTAATTTCGCGGTTATTTTTCGGAAAAAAGCTGAATTTTTGGTGGAATTAAAAGGATCGTCAGAGAGTTAAAAATTGAGAGTTATTTGAATTTCGAACTTTCTTCAAACTGATAAAAAAAATCTGTTTATGACGTCATTTCTGACCGCGGCGCAGCCGCTTGCGCGTTGTGACGTCATTTTTTCTTTGGGAAAACGCAAAAGCTTCTATTTTCAGAAACGTCTTCGTGGGGATCTCATTTTTGGCCATATTCTTCTCAGTTCTGATTATTATCGAGAACGTTGTATTTTTGGCGCAGTTCAGTCGACAGTACGTTTTTTATGGATACCGTGCGTGGAATTTTTTGACCTAACTTCCGTCAAACAACGATTCCAGGCCCTTGAAGCAAAAATAAATCTAGATACTTCTTTACCAATCTCGGTCCATTTTTAATAAAACTTGACAAAAGTTAGGCCTTTCCAACTAATTCACGTCAAAAAATAAACAGTTAGGCTCTATTGAAGAAACCTCCATGAATAAAAATTCTTTAAATGAATTACTTTTTTCTACAGGAACGCAGCCCTCCTTCTACTGCCCTACATCCTTTCGTGGATTTTGATCATTTTGGGTGTTCTTTTCGGCCGATTCGCTTTCATTCTACATTCTCAACAGCCGAAACAGTTTGGTAGGTCAATTAATCGTTTTTTTTTGATAGTAATAGGTTTATTCACTGCGTACGTAAAAAAAAATGCAGTTAAAATGATACGATCCAAGAGTGTATATCAACGGAAATCAGTGATTCCTCAAAAATTAAATGCCCCCACCCAAATATTTTTTAAAGTGAAGTTGATACTACCTCCCTGAGGCTAAAAAGTGTATTATTATAGCCAAAACCACCTTCCGGAGGTTGAAACTTGATTTTATTTCTTAATTTTCCAAAATTTTCGGATGTCGATCCTCCCACCCGGACAGTATGGGTTGTGTACTTGCCCATCTATGCTAAAAAAATGAAATAAATCGATTTTTTTCCAGCCTCAGTGCTGCCGATTTCGTCAACAGCCTGGACATCTACGGATAGCAGATCAGCTTCGCCAACTCCGGTGAGTTTTTTTATCATTTTACTTATTTTTAAATTATACCTATACCGTCTCAAACTATAAAACGCATTCTTATTTCCCACGAAAAATTCATTTTTGAGATCGAAAAGTCTTTAAAAAATGTTGGGTGCTCAAAGTATTGATCAATTTCAAAAAAAATCGAATACTCTCGGAACTTGTAAACACAAATCGGACGTGTCGGGGCATTTCTAGTGACCCCTTTAGTAGCGTCAGCACCCTTAAGTGATCCCTAGAACGTTCGAGGCGCGTCTAATTTTTGTTACCGAGGTCCTTGTTATCAAGCGTCAAACTTGGTTTTTGCATTTTTTTTAAACATAAATGGTCGATTTTTTTCAATATTTTTGGTGGGAATTTTTGGAAATTTAGGCATATTTAAAACTTTTTTTATAATATAAATTTTCAGAGTCAAGAGAACTTGATTGGATTGAATGCCTCCTACAACTCGGCAATGTTCCGAAATATGCTCTCCGTGCCGACCAGCCCGTTTTTCATATCGGATAGTGTAGCGAGGTAATTTATCTATTTATTATTTGAAAAAAATCCTGTAAAAAAATTTTTTTCTAGTTCGTAAAACTTCGAAAATGTCTGAACCGTAAAATAAATCGAGCTATTGAAATCTTTCAACGGTCATTCGTCAAAAAAAGGACCTCATATTTTTATTTTTTGCTTGTTTTCTCTCTCCTATTTTCATTAAGAAGTCCTTAATCTCATATAGGACAAAAAAATTATTAATTATCTCATATTAATCTCCAAAGAAAGGGCGATCATGACGTTTTTGTCATCTGTTTTCCTTTTTCCCACAAATTAATATTATTTTCTCTCGTCTCTCACATGGAAGCCATGTGTGACCGTATTCGAATCCTTTGTTGGGAGAGAAATTAGTTTAAAACCGGGAGGAAAAAAATTTGTTGTTGAAATGGATTTAGAGGGCAAAAGCGTGTTGAACTTTAGTCGGGGTCTGAAGATTAAATTTATATTTTCAACTAGGAAAAGGGGCATACAGGAGAAAGGATTTATCGTTTCAGTTAAATTTAAATGGAAGCTCCTTTTTTTTGAAATGCAATTTCGGATATCTTTCAATGGAAAAAAAGAATGAGGTTCGAAATTTTTAACTGAACGATAGAATTTAATGAAAAAAATTGCATAAGGTTTGAAATCAGCACATTCTTCTCATACAGACTTGAAAATACTTAAATAAATACATGGGCTGAACATTTTAAAAACTGCTAACCCTTTCTTCGAAACCTTAAATTTGAGTTGGTTAAAAATAAATTTTATTCATTTAACACACGTTCTCCGAGAAAAGCGATGATCCATTGATACAAGAATTTCAAGTTTTGTTTTGAGAGTTGAAATTATTATCACAGTTACTAGACATAGTTGTAAACTTTTCGGCTAATTACTGTGAGGCTCCGCCCCCTCCCTGGGTTACGGTAGGACTTTTAGTGAAATTTTCTAACTTTTTTCCTAGTAAATGAATTGACTCCAAATTTTTTTTTAAAACACACTAAAAGTCCTACCGTGACCCAGGGAGGAGGCGGAGCCTCACAGTAATTAGACCGAGTTTCACAGTTCAATGTGTTTTAAAAAAAATTTTGGAGTCTATTCATCAACTAGGAAAAAAGTAAGAAAATTTCACTAGAAGTCCTACCGTAACGCAGGGAGGGAGCGGAGCCTCACAGTAATTAGCTTAAAAATTACACACTATGTCTTGTAACTGTAATAATAATTTCAACTTTCAAAACAAAACTTGAAATTCTTGTACCAACGCTTCACTGCAGTTCATCGACTTGTGTTAAAGACGTTGAATGTTAAACTTCGCTTCTCAATTTTTAAAATTTCATAAGTCAGCCCCTCCTCTAGAAACTTCTTGAGTCCTTTATTCGTCCATGAATTTTTGGGAATTTCTATCTTCAAATTTGGATAAGCCTTGATCGCCATTAAACTTGGAGTTCTTTGACAAAATTTTAAAAGAAGCATTGAACTTTAGTCGGGGTTTGAAGATTAAATTTCCATTTTTAACTCCGAAAAGGGGCATAAAGGAAGAGAGATTCATCGTTTCAGTTGAATTGAAATAGAATTTGAAAATTTGCCGTGATATTTTTGAACTGTAACTTCGGATATCTTTCAATGGAAAAAGAATGAGCTTCGAAATTTTAACTGAACGATATAATTTTATGAAAAGTTGCAAAAGGCTTACTAGACATAATTTATAAACTTTTTAGGCTAATTACTGTGAGGCTCCGCCCCCTCCCTGGGTTACGGTAGGACTTTTTAGTGAAATTTTTTCTAACTTTTTTTCCTAGTAAATGAATTGACTCCAAATAAAAACACACTAAAAAGTCCTACCGTGACTCAGGGAGGAGGCGGAGCCTCACAGTAATTAGACTAAAAACTTACCCATTATGTCTGGTAACTTTGATAATAATTTCAACTCTCAAAACAAAATTCTTGTACCAATAGTTCATCGCTTTTCTCGGAGAACGTGTGTTAAATGAATAAAATTTTAAATTTCATAAGTCAGGCCCTCCTCTAGAACTTCTTGAGTCCTTTATTTGCCCATGCATTTTTGGGAATTTCTATCTTCAAGTTAAGATGTCTCGGTCGCCATTAAAATTTCCCTTCTTTGACAAAATTTTAAGAAATTTACACTCGAAAGCTGTCAAATCTCGGCGGGCGGACTATAATTACATCCACGATTTTCCGGTCTAAGAGTCTCTTTTTTCCAAAAAACTTTTTTTCCAGCTACGCCGACGAGCCGCCAGCCTACAACGAGGTGGTCGTGGCGATCTCTCCTTCTCCCCAATCTTCCCCGATTCCGCCGAACGACTCCCAACAATACTCTCCCCAACCTTGCTCCAGTAAATACTATCCTTAAGGGCACATGGGCAGTGGAAATTTTAAAGACAACATTTTTAAATGGAGCTTTATGTGGGGATTCTGAATATCTGCTTGAAAAATCCCGTCATCACTTTTAAAAACAGTAGAATAACCGAAAAAAAGACAAATACGTGGGTTTTTCGAAAAAATGGTCAAAAAATTATTTGAATTTGAATTTTAAATGCAAGAATGAGTTTCCTTCAAAAACTGTGAATTATTGTGAAATTTCAAGTAGATATTCGGAGCCAATTGAAAGCTCTATCCCTAAATGTGCATCCCCTGGATTTTTTACTGCCCATATCTCCTTGAACTGAGGCTATTTTCACTTATATCTACTATTTCTATTCATAATTTCCATTCTTATTGTATTTTTTTATTTATTGTATTTATCGACCTTGATAAAAACTTTTTTTCCCCAAAATACACATTGAGAAAGGAAAAAGTCTAGCTATTCGAAAGCCGACTTCTCGATGGACTGTTAGTCATTGAATTTTCGAAAACCCTAGAGTATGAAAAGTTTTTTTAATAAATATAAATAATACTGTGAAAATCCTAGTAATCAAAGAATCGTGATATTGAAAAACAAATATTTCCCGATCAAGCCAAAACTGAGCACTTTGAAAATATTATTCGAGATTCCTATTGAGAATTCCGGAACAGCCTAGATATTCGAAAATAAAGAAAATACAGAAGACCAAGAGATTGAATATTTTTTGAGCTTGATAAATACTTCAGAAAAAATTCAAACGGTTTTTGAAAATCGCACTTTGTATTTACAATTGAATTTGGGGTTTGAAAACTCCCAAAACTGAGAAAAAAGACCCAAAAAATAAAAAAGCTGCTCACATAAAAGCTGGAATTCGATTGTATTCCTTGAGTTTATGTTAAAAATGAAAAATTTCTTCATGAAAAAAAGCCTAATTTGAGCATTATGGAGTTAAAAAAATACTTGTGAAAAAAACCCCAAAATATCAATATTTAGGTCTCGAGTAAGATATTTTATAATGAAAAAAACTTCTTACCTTAATTTTTTTCGAGTTTTTCATTTTGTTCTGATAAAAAAATCCAGTACATAACGACGAAAAAAACGCCCTTTGCGAAGCGTCTGGAATGAAAAAAGAAAAATGAAAAAAAAAAAGCCTAAAAATAATTTTTGCGCGTAGAATCAAATGTGGTTGGTTCATTGCGTAGTCAGAACATACAGTAATCTCAAAATTTTACCTTTACTTTTTTTAAACAGGCTATTTAGAAAAAAACGTCAAGATTTTCAAGCTTGGACCCGCGAGTTTTTTCATTTCGCGAGGAGTGGCAACAAAATGTATGTTTGTGCCTTGTGCATTCATTTATTTATTTTTTTTTTTGGTTAGGGCTGAAAAATTTTTGCAGGGTTTTGAAATAGTTCTGATTTTTTTAGGGATTCCCATACGACTATTGAGAATGAATTTGACGATAAAAAAATTTAAAAATAAACTATGATTTTTTTGTAATTGTAAAAAGAATGAATGGAGGATCTCCACTTTTGCTAAATTTGAAAACATCTTTGTTGCGAGTCGTCTGGGAAAATGAATAAAACATCCATTTTTCGATTTCTTTGTTTCAAAAATCCTCTGAAAGTTGGACGTTAGTCTGAACCCTCATTTTATTGGTTTTCTCGCTGAAACCATTTCTGCAAGAGATTTGAAACTCAACTATTTTTTTCAAGTTCTAGAAAAAAATTAGAAAAATTCTTGATAAAAAGTCGAGAAAAAAAGCAAAATGAACTGGTCGACGATGTATGCGTCGGGAGTTTGTGTGTGTTTGCTACATTCGATATTTTTCCTCATCTTCGATTCAGAGGCTTTATAATACAGAAAATGAAATCTTAATTTACTGGATTTTAGAGAAAATTCTTTGAAAAATAACTTGAATATCATAAATTGTGTTTTTGTTGTTTTGCATTAAGGCGGAACTATTACGAACTCTTTGCCTTGTACCGCATTTATCAGAAAAATCGAGAACCATACGCACATGATTTTAAAGTAAACCAAGCGGCTAAAAAATTTAGTAAGCAGTCAAAAATGATTTTTCGTGGTGAGAAGGTTTTTTTCTGATATAAAAATCTAGTTACTGACGTGATTTTTTTAAAAATTAGTAGTATTTTTACTTAGCGAGAAATAAGTTTCCATTATATTAAACTATCAAAGTGTTGAGCTTGCCGTATATCATTCTTTTTCAGTAAATCATGGCGGTTATTGATCGATTCAAAAATCACAAGTCTCGTGTCCAAAAAAGCTTTAGAAAGAAGTCTAATGTAGGAACAGCCGAGGTGAGAAGAAATGCCGAAAATCTGTCTAGTGTTTTTCGAAATTAAAAAAAAATTGTCGATTCCGCTTTACAAATATTGTTTCATTGATTGATGGGTTTCGTGTGCTTTGAAATTCTTGAAAGTGAGGAATTTTCTTTCCTTTTTTTCTTTTAATAAGTATCTAAGCTGAATTTCTTTCGATGCAAAATCTTTAAAGTACTATTTCCTTCAAACGCTTCCTTCTGCAACTGTTCTAGTTCGCAGTGAGAACTTCAGGTGGAAGTAGTCCAGGTTCAAAAATAATGACCTAAAAATGGGGTTTCTAAAAAAAAGTGTCAGGAAAATAAAACCAAAGGCCTTTTAAGGATAAGAAAAAAAGATGTTTCAGGGGCTGTAGCTGTTACAAAACAAAAAGTCGATTTCATTAAAAAAAATATAAAAAAACTCTGAATTCTCGTGTTCAAAGGAACTCTTCCACTAGGATGTCACGTAGAAGCCCGATTTTTTTGAAAAAAATACTGGCCGAGAAAAGAAAAAAAGCCAAAAAAATCTATGTTCGGGGTGATTTAAATTTTTTGTCGAATCGTTGCATTTTTCTCAGACTTTCCTATTTCATCGGAATAATGCTTTTTTTACTGGTTACTTGATAAAAAAATATGTATATTTTTTTGCAATTAATTTTATTTCTCAAAAATGAACTTTTCGTCTGTTTCTTAGCACTCGCCTCCTCGATCATGGCAATCAGAATTAATAATTTTAAAATTTTTAGTTTTTGAGATGCGGATTTCGTTTCATTTCCGTATGGCGGATGTCTGGATGATGCTGAAATCGAAATTTTCCACATTTAAACTATAAAGCCCTCTCAAAATATTTCTCGCCTCTTACAAAATCTCAAATTTTCAAAAGAAAGAATTGGAAATTTGAAAAGTTTCGGATAGATTAACTAGAGTTCGGAGAAGGGACAAAAATTAATTCGAAAAAATTCCGAAGGTTTTTCTGGTTCTAAAAAAAAGAACGGCTAGAAAAATTTTTCGGATGGCTCAAAAAAAATTCAGAAAAAATCGTGATTTGAAATCTCGTGCTCAGAGAGCTTTCTCACTAGGAAACCCAGTAGAACTAGTATCTTAAAAAAATACTGATCGAGAAAAAATATATCAAAAAGTGTGGGTCAAGGATCTCGTGAAGTTGAAAGTCTGCCTAAAAAGTGCGCAAAACTCAAAAATAAAAGAAAAAATCAAGGAAATTCATATTGGAAATAAAATCGCGCTTATATTTGGCCTAACATTGTATTTTTTTATCATAAAAAAATTTTAAAAAAATCAATCAAAAAAATGTAAAAAAATCCCCAATTTATGTGTCGAAATTAACTCAAATGGGAATTTGATCCTAAAAAAATACTATTGGCCTTTTTTTGTTCTCTTAGGTTCAGCAAAAACTTATTAGACTCAAAAAAAGTTGAAAAATTCTGTTTTAATTCAAAAAGTATCTCAAATAGTTTCAAAAAAACTCATTTCCTTACTGAATGAACTTGCTTCCCTTCATAAAAAAATTCATAAAAAAATTTTTATAAAATATTAATTTAAAAAAATTATTCAGATAGTTATAATAATTAGCTAACAAATTATGTTCTTTCAGTTCAGAAAAAAATCTCATATTTTATGTGATTTTTCATTTTTTTCTTCTTATTTCTCTTGCAAAACGATTAAATTTTTCAATCTTATTCTTTTTTCTAGCACAGTTCCGCTGGGTACCGTGAAAATTTAAATTCTCTACACCATTCAAAAATTTCCCTAGATTGAAAAAACAATTAAAAATCCAGCATAAATTGAGTTTTTCATTAAAAATCTTATTATTTTTGGCTCACTCAATAAATAAAGTACCACTCGAAAAGTTTGTAAAAAAAAATCGAAAGTTCAATTTGTTAGATATTAAAAAAAAAAAGCAAAATTCAAAATCTCGTGCTCATAGAGCTTTCCAACCGGAAAATCCAGCAGAACTAGTATTTTTTTCGAAAAAAAATACTGACCGAGAAATAGAATAAAATTCATTCCGAAGACCTTGTGTTCATCAATTTTCAACTTAAAAATCGATAAAAACGCCAAGGGGAAAAATTTAAAAATAACAAAAACAGTGTATGTGTTTTTGATGAGAAACAAAATGTAAAAAAAGATGATAGACTCTGGAAACATTTTTAAAAATGGAGAACAAAAAGCAAACATTGAAAAGTTCATAATTCAAATTTTAAAAGAAAAATGTTCAAAATACCGATTTTAAAACAAGTCTGGTCTGGTCGCATTTGGAATGGCTCAACGCGCCTTTTTCAACCATTTTTGAGGCTAAAACCGCTACGCGACCGCGACGCGCAGAGCCATTCCCAAGGAGACTAACTTATTTGAGAATAAATCTAAGGAAGCTTTAAAAATAAACTACAGGAAAAAGAGTATAATAATAAATTGAGCCAAAAAAGGTACTCCATCAAATTTTGTGCTGAAGAAACGATGGGAAATTGAAAACTTTCACAAAAAAAAACCCAGAAAAAAATTTCTAAAAAAGCCCAGTTTCTCTAAAATCAGTTTCAAGCCTTCCAATACTTCGAACCAAGTAAAATCCTCTTCAAACTCTTTTTTTTCAGCCATTTTTTCCATTAAATCATTCCCTGTCGAACAATGCCTTCAAATTGATTTTTCTCGAGTTCATCAAAAAAAAATCCTTCA